GGGGGGGGGGGGGGGGGGGGGGGGGGGGGGGGGGTCGATCAGTAGCACAGCGAGCGGATTGTGATAATGGGCGCACCTTCGGTTGCTGCAGCTTGTATGTAGCTCAGAATCATGGACTCCTCTCCGCTCATATCCTTCTTGCTTTGCTTGGGAATGAGGAACGGATGGGACACAAAGCTAGGCGTACTCACACGTCAAGTTCCTTCTTCATGACCGCGCGGAAGGACACCGCGCCCTTCGCGTTCTTCAACGCCTTCAACAGTCCCTGATGCGACCATCTATAGTCTCTTGAAGCGCATACAGGACATGATCACTCACTGTGCCGAGCAGAAAGTTGAGCGCGCCGGTTCGCGCCCCCGCGTCCGGGATGAGAACCTCGCATTCTTTCTGCGTGAGTGTCTACGTAGCATTGAAGGCAGCTATGAGTTCGTATCTTATGGCGATGTTCGAGGGCGCGTACCTTTTTTGAGTCGGCGAGTGCAGCTTGGTGCAGCTTCTGCTCAAGCGGGTTGAGCTTCCTTCCACTCATTTTGCTTCGACGAGTGTCGCGGTTTTCTTCGGTGAGAGCTTCCGAGTGATGTTCGCTACCTCAGATGAGGATAGCCCCGTGAGATGTGCAGCATGTGTGGTGGTAGCAGAAGAAAGAGTCTGAGTATAATGGGGCGCTTAATGTAATCAAGCACTTTGCTTTAGGCGCCGCAGGTACAACTCCGTCTCTCATGCATACGCATAAAATGGGCCGTCCTCATTTTTCCTCACTCCTGGCCTGGTCTTTGATTTTGGTTTTGTGTTGAAGGGTAATGTTCCCTGTAAGGCTAACTGAACGTCCGTATCTCGCGACACGAACTTGCCTCGCAATGGCTTACTCAGTAGCCTCGCTCGACCGTCTCCCCGGCGTTGAACTAATTTGAAGGCTGGCTCTTAGCTTTAAATCCTAGATCATCTCCCCTACCTAGGGCTCTCTCCAGGTCTTATGGCATAACTTATGGATCGCTTTCTTAGAAAAGCTACGTCGTTGTGCTCGTGAAATAACAACGATCGTCACCAACCCTCCCGGGTCTCCAGCCAGTGGTAAGTCACTCGAATTTGTCCTGGAAAGTTCGCTCGTTGACTGAACCATCAAGCCACCAATAATTACTCTGCTCTGCCTCGACGTAGCATCACCACTGCCGATCCTGTATCCACTGGACCGGAACGCTACATATCCGCAAGATCAGGTGTCCGGCACGGTGTGGGAAAGCTGTCCCGGCTATGTGCCCACGTCCGATCTTGTACGCTGGAGTGTGCTAAATTGCTCGTTACCGGATAGTTTGAGACTGGTTCATACTGCAGGCGAGCGGCATTGCTATCGGAAGGTAGTCGCGTTCCGCGGTAACCGGCGTGCTGTGCGCTGCGTCCCGGATGGCACTCCGCATTGCGGCTCCGGGTATGCCTCTAAATTTGATTACCTCGTCCGCATAAAGACCGGAGAAGCAGCAGTGACAGTCCATAATCTCTCCATATAGGGTGTGCACATTGACATCACTACTTCTCTGACGCTCACTACCTTCTTCTCCTAGTCGCCATAAGTTTGCAAAGGAGCCACCGCTTACTGGACGTCCCCCTCCCACCTACGTCGCAGATCACCGAACTCGAGGCCACGGACTTCAAACGTATCGAGCGAACATGGTCGCCCCTATAGTCCAGCAGGCACTCCTCGCGGCTATCTTTGCAATCGCTCTCAGACTCCTGTGGAAATCGCGCGCACTCCTCCTAGCCCCGTTCACCTCCCCTCTACTGAGCCTCCCGGGACCGCCCAGCCCAAGTCTGTTCTTCGGGAACCTCAAGCAGCTGCGCGAATCCGACGAGGACCTCACGCGCGATAACTGGGCTAAAGACCATGGCTCCGTTCTCATGTATAAAGGCTTCTTCAGCGTAAGTACTGAGTCTGCTTGTACATCCGACCGTATAGCGTTGCGTCAATCTGACTTTGTGTTTACAGGAACCGCGGCTATTCACGACGGACACGCGAGCAATCAACCACATATTAACGCATTCCGCAGAGTACTACAAGCCCGCACAAGCACAGCGTACTCTCTCCCGTCTACTGGGAAAAGGTGAGGGCTTCGAGCCGAATGTTCGTCGCGGCCGTGTCGTGCTGACCGCCCGTGAGCTTCAGGTGTACTTATCACGGAAGGTGAGTTGCTGCCGATGCTCTCATGCTGCCTGACGCTGCAGCTCAATATCCCCATCAGGCGACCAGCATAGGCAACAGGTAATTAAAGAATAGCTATCTTGCAAACAATTGCTTACGGTTTCAACTATTGTGTACTCGTAGCGGAGAATCATGGTATGAACACTGATTTGTCCAATGTTTTTCAAGTACGGAGCTCACTACGTTGCAGAATCCGGCTTTCGGTCCTTCGCAAATACGCGAGCTCACGGATGTGTTCGTAGAGAAAGCGATTGAGGTGTGTTTTTCCACGTTTATCGCTCAAGGAAAGCCACCTCTGACAAAGTCACTGTGAAGCTTCGCGATGTGTGGACCGCAGAGCTCTCCGCCAACGGCGAGCCCGCCCGAATCAACGTCATCCGAGGCCTAAGCAAGATGACGCTCGACGTCATCGGCCTAGCCGGTAAGTGCATGCGATAGGACACCCCGCGGACGTCCGAACTCATCCAGCGTAGGGTTCAACTACGAGTTCAACGCCCTAAACCCGTCCGGCAAGCCCAGTGAACTAGCGGAGGCGTTCGAAAAGATCTTCAAGGTCCCCGAGAAGATCCCGATCATGATGATCTTGCGGAACTTCTTCCCGATATTGAACATCATCGTGAGTGCTCCCGGCGTGCCCGGCGTATCCGAGAGATGCTGACCAGATTGCAGAAAGACGAACGGGTGCGACAAGTCGAGCAGGCGAAGGCGACCATGAACCGCATCGGCACACAGCTGATCGCGGAGAAGAAGGCCGCGATCGCGCGCGAGGCGTCGGAGAAAAAGGGCCACGGCGGAGGAGGGCAGAGCCTGCAGGGGAGGGACCTCCTCACGCTGCTCATCAAGGCGAATATGGCAACAGATATCCCTGATAGCCAACGGCTGTCGGACGCCGATGTGCTATCTCGTAAGTCATGTCGGTCACGCAATGATTCATGTGTAGATACTAATCTATCTGTATCACAGAGGTCCCGACGTGAGCCATTACTTCGAAGCCGAAAAACTCACGTTGACCTGTACCCTCTAGATTCCTGGTCGCAGGCCACGAAACGACCAGCACCGCCACGACATGGTGCCTATACGCGCTCACCCAAGCCCCGAACGCGCAGAAGAAGCTCCGCGAGGAGCTGCTAGCAGTCGAGACCGACACCCCCACGATGGACGAGCTCATGGCGCTCCCCTACCTGGACATGGTCATCCGCGAGGCCCTGCGCGTGCACGCACCCGTGCCGCGGTCGATGCGCGTCGCGATGAAAGACGACATGATCCCGCTCAGCGCGCCGTTTACTGACCGGAACGGGAACGTACAAGATCACGTCAAGTACGCGTCGCCCTTCCTACCCAGCTGACTATGGCGTACTGACGACGGTGCGCAGGGTCCTGGCGGGGAGCCCGATCGTCATTCCTATCCTGACGTTGAACCGGTCGAAGGCGATCTGGGGCGAGGATGCGCACGAGTTCCGGTACGCCCATAGCTCTATCGTATGTTGAACTTGTGCTAGAGCTAACGAGCCGCTTCTTGAAGGCCCGAGCGATGGGAGAGCCCGCCCGACACCGTCTCCAGCATCCCAGGTGTGTGGGGCCACATGCTCACCTTCCTCGGCGGCCCGCGCGCGTGTATCGGCTACCGTTTCTCTCTTGTCGAGTGCGTGTCACTTTACTCCATTTCTCTGTGTCCCAGACGGCTGACGCAGAGCGCGCGGCGATGTAGGATGAAAGCGCTGATCTTCACACTCGTGCGCGCGTTCGAGTTCGAGCTCGCCGTCGACCCGGCGGACATCAAGAAGGGCGGCGGGATCGTGCAGCGGCCGATGCTGCGGAGTGAGCCGGAGAAGGGGAACCAGATGCCCCTTCTCGTGCGGAGGGTTACTCGGGCGTGATGTTTTGAGTGGGTATGGTATACACGGCCGTTCGGGGAGACCGATTTCTGTGAGCGTAATCGGAGTGGGCAGTATAACATACTATTTACAACTCGAGTACGTCTGCAGTATGATTTGAACCCCAGTTTGTGATGCGGACGATGGGCAATCTAGGTGACCCGGCCCTGGCTTCGCACAAACGTCTATCCTCCGAAACGATGCGCCGGGGGATAGTAGAAAGCGCACCAATGCATCCCCGGCCCGCGACCCGGGTCGCCGTAGAGACCTACGAATATTTCCTGCGCGAGCGAACTTCCCGGCGCTCCAGCCAATGCGGTGCCCCGGGGCTCGAAGCGTTCTATGTATGATCGTAGCGGACATTCGTGCAGTCGACGGGTGTCACTCAGTAATATTCAGGCGGGAGGAGCTCGGCGATGAAGAGACATATTTGTGATTGACGGGCGACAAAATGTAGTGTATTCATCGCAAAGCAACGACAGCAGGACCACAAGGTTTACATGTTTGGCCGTACACTACGAGATACTCACTTTGGCGCACGTTGGTTTCCTCGGAGGCACTGTCGCCTCGCCGAGTACTTATCTCGGGGGCCACGAAAAGGCCTGCGCCAGGGCCAGACGCGCGCGGGGGGCCACACCCCTCTGCGTCGCGCACGCCCGACCCGTACCCCGAGAATCTTGAGGCACACAGTGATTGTTATTAGTCTTGAAGCACACATATAGAGACCTGGAAGGTTGCGGTCAGTACGATCAAACAAAAAGACGCACGCGACCAGAAGACGTACAGTGGGGTGGAGCGATGTACGCCGATGGCGCGAGGTCGCTCGGTGCGTATGCCGTGGTGTGCAGCTTCGTCCCGAGGCGATCCGCCCCGCGCGTCGAGCCCGGTCGTATGCCGCACTTGGGAGCAACGCCGTATCGGGCCGACGCGCGGTGTCGCCACTCCCGCGACGGGGCACATTGGCCCGGGGTACAGCAATCGAGAGGGCAGCGAACGCACTCGCCGGAGGAACCTGGGGCGTGGGTCAGTGACGAGTCCGTTGTGCGCGATGAGGTTGAAAGACGTACAAATGGCCCTGCTACAGCGTGCGCTCAAACGATTGCCCTAGCGACAGGCACGCGTCAGCGTTCACATCCGGCGTGAACAGAGAAAATCAAGACTCACCTGCAGGATGTCGACTTCCGCCGACATGAGCGCAGTTGGCTTCCCCGCCGCCGTGAGGCAGCAGGTACTAGTCCCAGGGGCCACGAAGAGGCCTGCGCTATCCCTGGGGTCCGTCCACCCTTCAACGGGGCCGTTCCTGTGCGGTGTCCTCATAACTGAGGGTGGACGGATGCCGTCCCTCACAGCGGGGCCGTTACCGCGCGGTGTCCTCATAACTGTGAGGGGACGGTGCAGGAAGCGGGGTCGCGGTGGACCCCGCTGGGCGTCGGTCGGTGGAGACCTGAGCCCGTCACGCGATCTCTGGCTTGGGCCCGGAGTCGGCGACGCTGTAGACGCGCGCCCTGCAACGCGCGCGTCGACTATAAAATGAAAGGACTCACCTGGAGCTAGCTGGCGAGGATGCGCAGGCGCTGCATGCCCGGTAGGTGTTCGACAACACCCCTTGTGGGGTGGTGTCCCGCAGGGCGTCGGTCCGCGAGAACGTCCGCCCCTCACGCGGGCCCCAGGTGTTTACCCGGGGCCCGGCGCGGCATGTGCGAGGAAGGCTTGTGGCCCCACTGGGTAAGGGTTCCGACATAAAGCCAGAAACCCCAGTCCCAAGCGGGAGGGTGGGTTGGGCCCCACTGGGTAGGGGTACTGACAATTCGTCAAGCGCCCCAGTCCCGAGCAGGATGACTAGCACGGCGTGTTAATGATATGCGCGTCGAGCGGCAAAGGAGATACTTACTGTCTATAACGTTGAACAGAGCTGCCCACGCCGCCAAAGTGGGCCGTCCGCTGCCGACTGCTGGTGGCGGATGCGACACTGTGGAGAGGATGCTCGTCAGAAGCCCTGCACGTACACAGTGAGGAGGCGCAGCGGCTTACCGACTGCGTAACGCGTTCTGTAAGACGAAGGTGAAGGGTGATCAGCGACCACGCCACCGTCGAAAGACATGAGTAGGCTTACCGTCCAAGCCCTCACGAGGGCGGCGCGCGCCTTGGAGACGACGCGCGCTGTCTATAGACCTCGGAGGGACTTGAGCTGGCGGGTGTCGACCGAGAATGCCTGGGGAGAGGGGAGAATGCGCAGGCCGGCTTATATACCTTTGGGGGGTCCCACCCCCGGCCCTCGACGGGACGGAGATCGCGCCCATCCGCGTGGCATTCCACAAAGGCTTCGCCCATTCCGGATGGCTTTTGTGAAACGTGTTATTGTGCTCCCACGCCGCACCTCACATGGGCGTATCGATGGAGGCTCGTGTCGCGCCTTCAAGCTTCCCTGAGCACCGCCGGCGGCCTCAGGGAATGGCGGGACAAACAAAAGGGGTGGGCGCCGCTTTCCACGATGGTGCGCGAGATAATCAGAAACCCGAGTATCATGTGGTGGGGGTGTGGGCACAGAGCGGCGGAGATCAGGCAGAAGCAACCCGTCGGAGTGCAGTTATGTCTTCTGGGGCGCGACGTCAACTGCTACCGAGTCCAGGCTCGGTGGCGACAGTCCTCCAGAGCATCTCTAAGGATTGTGAGACATATCACAGATGTGCCGAGCGTGTATATGCAAGCTCATCCTTTGAATTTTTGAGGCGATGTTGAATGGCCGATGCGCGCGACGAATGCGTTGAGTTGAGAGAGGCAGAGACTGACAGAGAGCGCCCATCCGCCACCGCGATGTGTGTGCTTCTATTTGGCCGTGTGGATAAAGCGCCGGCGCCGGGCGCACCCGGGCCACTCATGGGGGCGGCAACCCTCTTTCCTGCCCTTTCCTGCCTCCCTCCTCTTGACCCCAGCCCGCAGATACCACATCTCCCATGAGGCGGGCCGATAAATTGCGGCGTCCGCACACGTTGTATTCGCACTCGGATCGTCCAGTGTCGTAAGAGGAACACCCTGTCTACAAGTCACCGATCCTCGGAGCTGCCTCTCTGGGTCAAACGGCGCCACTAGTGGGGCTAATCTGGTGACGGAAAATTGTCAGCGAAGATGGACCCTGAAACTCTACATCGGCACGCACGGTCGGCGAGGCGCACAACTTCCGGCGCGGCCACAGGCATCGCCTCTCTTTCAGAATGCGCATTTGGGTCTACTCACGGAATTGGAGGCGGAGATCCGCTCTCGCTCCGAAGAGCTCTCTCAGAGAAGACTGCCTGCATCGTCCTCCGCGCTCGTACAAACGATACACAGTGACTGTGGGTCACTCGTCGTCGAAGCTCCTTCGCCACACAGCCGTGCAAGCTCGACAGCACAAACTCGTACACCTCCACTATGCAAGGGCAAATCTGTTCGTGAGTGAAGTTCTGCGCTCGATATTCAGTATCGCCGAGGTCTGATGTTTATCTGCAGGTGGATGAACTTGAATGACGACGTCATCGGCTCGATTGTAGCAGAGTTAACGACACAATCCCTGCTTGCACTGTCCACAACATGTAATCGCTTGCGCGAGCACTGTCTTCGAGCCCTCTTCGGAGACTGCCATATATCGTGTTATGGAGCGGTCGAGCACGACTTCTTGCCGGACACGCTGTGGCGCTTTGTCAGGTATTACTTCCCGCTTGCTTGCCCTACAGTATTTGGGCTCTGACATGTTTGCGTAGATCTCTGCGCCTCCACGATGAGTGTCCCGACATGCCGTCGGAAGTGGATTTCAAGAGGTCGCGCCCATCGGGAGGCAGAATCCTCAAATTCACAACGGATCCGGTCGTTTGTGGCGTCTACAACGGACCTGCCCTACTACGCGCGTTGCGACATATGCCGGGACTGCATACGATCGTTCTCAGTCACCCATACAAGACTGTCCACGGAATACCGTGGTCAGTTCTACAGTTCATCATCTCCCTCCCGCAGCTCCGAGAGTTTTCGCTTCGCTTTCACCACTTCGCCCCCAAAACGCCACAGGAGGATATTCGGCTCGCCTGCCCCGCCCCGTTGACGTCTTTCGAGCATACGCTAAACGACCGCCGACCACACAACACGTTCTATACCCCGGGGGAGGGCGAAGAGCACGCTCTCTCCGTCGTTCTGAGTGGTGTCCACAAGACGATACAGCGCCTAGCTCTCACGACCGAGATCGCCCCTCTTCACGCTATCTGTACTACCCTCGACTGGCCCGACCTCCGCGAACTGCGGCTCCGCGGTGAACCACGCACGGTCGGTGACCCTCCTCTGCCCTTCATCGCGATGTTCGCGCATATGCCTCGGCTGCACATCCTCGACCTCAAGCTCGCTCAGCCTGCGGGAGCCCCGCGTCAGCCCATCTGGCCCATCGACTACCACACAACGTTCCCATGGCCGGATCTGCAACAGCTCACCATATCATTCCCGGCCGATGACGACCAGATCTACGAGAACCTGCCGGTTACGCTGCGTAAGCTAACTCTGCAGTGCTTTCCCCATATCACGTCGAACTTCCATAGGTCTGGGGCCGAGGGCGTGTCGGAACCTATCCATTCTTCCGACTTGCTGCGGATCTTGCGCCGGTGCGATCTGCCGCTTCTCCGCGGCCTCGAGCTGGAGTATCGTGAAGACGAGGTGGACGATGAGTTGTTACGCCACATAGGCGTCGCCTTCCCTGCACTTAGACAACTGAAGGTGCGGAGGTATCGCCACGCCGGCGTCGGCATCGCTGATGTGCAGACGGTGTGTTCTCCTCTTCACGGAAACTCCTCATGTCTTCTGATCGTTTCGTATAGGAGCATATCGCACGCACGCTTGGGAGTCTCCCGCAACTCTCAGACCTCTCGCTGTACTTGGACAACGTGGTTCCCCCGGATACCCTCGTGAGGCAGACGTACGGAGGATTCTATCACGATGAGAAGGACTTGCGCAAGTTTCAACAGGCCCTCGACAAGGTCGCAAACGCCGTCGCGCGCGGGCTCGGCGCTGCGACGGCTGTAGACTCCTTCGAACTGCTGTCACCACCTACATTCAACGTCCTCGAGGCTCGTTGGCTGACGTACCGCGTCGAGCGGAGGCAGCAGCCGCTGCGAGCTATGTGTGTTTCGGGCGTTTGAATCATTGCGCGCGTCCTTAGCATGATTCTGACCTCTTCGATTTGTAGCAGCGACTCGGAACATAGTTCTCTTCTAGCGGCTCATCCATTCGTGTGCTGTGCCTTGGCCTGCGGCAGGTTGTCCCCGCTCGCGCACTCGAGGGGTCGAAGTCGCGATCAAATTCCCGGCGAGATACCCACAGCGAAAGCTCATGACAATTATCTAGCGAATGCAAGCCCCGCAACTGGGCGAACGGAAAATATGTACCGTCTTCGGGAGCCAACATCAGCACTCTCACTAGCCAAGCGAGTTCGGGCTCGGGTCTGGCGGTAAATGCAGCAGAACGAAATAAGAGCAACGGCGCCCGCAAGAAGCTATGCGTATGATAAGATGATGCAAAGACAGACGCACCACTTAGTAAATCGGTATCGACAGCCATACTTACACTGCCAGATTGCTCGCATGCGCGGCGCAACTTGCTCCTGTTCCGCCGTGAGCGCCTTCCTCGTGCGGTACGCGGTTCCAAAGAAACCGGCTCGCCTAGTTCTATACCTCTACATGCAGAATATTAAAGGAGATCTAGGGGGCCAGCAATGAACTAGAGGCTGAGGAGCCACTGAGGCAGGTCCAGAATGCGGGATGAGGAGACGAAAACGATAATCATAGAAGCGCCCGGTGGCGGGTCTTCAACTTATCATAATCTTATCCGAACCAAAACCCTTATAAAGCTTTCTCTCAGCTGACCAATCGCTCACAACACTCACATTACGATTCGTATGCGGGAGGCTAGGGGAGGCTGCTCCTCGAGCCTTTTCCGACCCCTCTTCACCGTTCATACCATGATGTCAGATACTGGACGAGGGCGGCAGACGTCCGATATGTGAGTATATGCAGATTTGCTTCCGCATACATCCTCATAACCTCCCAGTCTCTCTGTGCTCAACAATGATGTCTTAACGGCTCTGTTGGAAGAGCTCCCCATCCAGAGTCTATCAGCGTTCTCCAAGACCTCAAAGTGTGTTAGAGCGCTCTGCCTTCCTTTACTTTTTCGGGATTGTCGTATTTCATCGTGGGTCCCGCTCGAGGAGGTTTTCCTTCCGAAGATGTTGTGGCGCCATGTTAGGTACTATCCCCGCTTGTAATATCACCTCCAATAATCTGATATTGACCCTCCCATACAGAACCCTGCATCTCAATGACGAATGCCCCGACATGCCATTGAGAGGGGACCTTTACATGGGCGACCCCCCTGACCTGACTCTCCTCGCGTACGCTAAAGATCCAGTGATATGCTGCATCTACGACGGGCCTACCCTACGAAATGCGCTATCAAGTATGCTGGCGTTGCATTCAATCACTCTTAGTATCGAACACCGAACTGTCCACGGCATACCGTGGCCGATTCTGCAATTTATCCTCTCCCTCCCGCAGCTTCGGGAATTCTCGCTCCGCTTTCATCACTTGGCTCCTAAAACACCCCTACAGCATATTCGCCTTCCTCGACCTGCCCCACTAACGTCTTTGCAACATATCCTACACGACCATCCATCACAAACTACTTTTTATGATGCGGGAAACGGCGAAGAAGCCGTTCTGTCCATCATTCTAGGCGGCGTCCACAAAACGATGCAGCGACTGGCTCTCACCACCGAGATCGCCCCTCTCCACGCCATCTGTACCACGTTCGACTGGCCCAATCTCCGCGAGCTCAGACTTCGCGGTGAGCGCCGCACGGTCGGTAATCCTCCCCTGCCCATCATCGCAATGTTCGCGAACATGCCTCGGTTGCGCATCCTCGAGCTGAAGCTCGCACACCCTGCGGGTGCCCCGCCACAGCCTATTTGGCCTATTGGCTACCGGACAACGTCTCATTGGCCGGAGTTGCAGGAGCTGACCTTATCCTATCCCGTGGAAGACGATCAGATCTACGTCAATCTGCCTGCTTCGTTGCGCACGCTGACACTGCAGTGCTTCCCCCACCGCACCACGAAATATAATTACGTCCGTGGGGAAGGAGGATTGCTACCCCCTCTTCTGTCGTCTGACGTGCTACGAATTCTACGCCATTGCGATCTTCCGCTTCTCCACGGTCTCGAACTGGAATATCGCGAAGACAACGGAGATGACGAGTTGTTGCGACACTTGGGCGTTGCCTTTCCCACCCTCAGGCAGCTGAAGGTGCGGAGGTATCGCCGGGCGGGCGCTGATTATGCTGATGTCCCGGTGGTACGTGCTCCCTCAAGAGATTCACGTCTAACGTGTCTCACTTACGCCACACAGGAGCATATCGCGCGCACGATAGGGACTCGGCTCGTGTGGCTCTCGGAGCTCGCACTATGTCTGGACAACGTGAAGCCCCCCGGGGAAGCTGCCAGACAGAAGCTCGGGTTACTCTATCACACCCAAGCGGACCTGGAGAAGTGCCAGCAGGCGCTCGACGAGGCCGCCGACGTCGTCGCCCGCGGGCTCGGCCCCGCGGCGATAGAGGCGTTTGAGCTCCTGCATCCGCCTATGTTCCCCGAAGTTGAAGCGCATTGGATCACGTACCGCGTCGAGCGCGGGCAGAAGCCACCGCGTGCGGTGCGTATGACGATGTTTTGGGTACGTACTATTGTGTAGCCTCACGTATCGTTTGTTCTCGGCGCTGATGTCTTTCTAGGCATGTGGGTAGATAGATGTTCGTGACTATCGCATCCTCACGACGGGCGGGAGAGGTATGCCGTTGTCTCCTTGGTAGCGCTGAGTAACTCACAGCGTATAGGTATGTCCGTACACACGCCGGGTTCGAGATGCATTTGTGAATTAAACACGATTTATCATGCCTCCCGACGAGTGTATCGCTTGACGAGAAGCGGCAGCCGGCTCGCTGCATCTCCCCCAGCCGTCACCAGTGGCCGTTGTAGGATCCCCGGCATCTTGGTGACCTGACAGGGATCGACGGCAAGCGAAAACTCAAACGCCCGCACGAGGGTGAATACGAGCGCCTTCATCCTGCGGCACAATCGCAGGCCATGTCAGCGTCCAAGTCAATTTCCCAGCTGAGAGCACGAATGCGAATGCACATACTCGACGAGCGACAGGCGGTAGCCGATACATGCGCGCGGTCCACCCAAAAAGGAGAGCGTGTGAGCCCATACCCCGGGGATGTTAGCAGTCGGCTGCGGCGGGTCTTCCCATCGCTCCGGTCTGTGTCGGGGTGGCCGTCAGTGACGATACCAAACACACCAGTTCACTACGAGCCTGAATTCGTGGGCATCTTCGCCCCAGAGCGTCCTGGACGTGTTGATGGCCAGGATTGGGATGAGGATCGGGGTGCCCTCCGACACTCTGTCAACACAACCGGGTCAACGCACCGCACCCGGGCAACCCAGCCATCCGGCGGCTTACCGGATAGAGCTGTGAACTGTGCCATCGATGTCCGTGAAAAGGGCGCTGACAGGTATGGCATCGTCCTTCGTCGCGACGCGCATGGTGGAAGCAATGGGTGGATGCAAGCGGAGAGTCTCGCGTATGACCATGTCGAGGTAGGGCAAAGCTACCAGTTCGTCCATGGTAGGGCTCTCGGTCGTGACGGCTAGTGCTTCGTCGCGCAACTTTTCCTGTACGCGTGGAGATTGCGTGAGTGCGAACAGGCACCATGCCGTCGCGGTACTTGTAGACTCATGGCCGGTCGCCAAGAAGCTTGGTTCGATGAGCATATGATACGCAAACCGGATAGGGTGGTAGCTTACGTAGGGAACTCTATCCGCCACCATAGTCGTGGTCAGATATAAGAACAGATGGCCAATAAGTGAGTGAACTTACGAGCTAGTACATCTTCGTCTGAGAGTCGCAAACCGTCAGGCGCCATGTTCGCTTTTAGGAGCAAGGTCAAGAGATCCCTGTTCCGCGGAGAGTCGCACACCCCTGAGTCCTTCTCATGTACTTCAGCGGCGATGGAAGCCTTTTTGTCAGCAATACGTTGCAGACCGATGCGTCGCATGATGCTATGTGCATGATCAAATCGCCGCATGATGTTGTTGCTCTGCAGTTACGGGTATACGCGTCAGCGATGGAATGTCTGATGATTCGCATAACCCAAACCATACTCACAAGACATTCGAGAATGGGGAATGCCGTCTGCAGCACTGCGAGGGCAGGAATCCTTTTGGGTACGTCAAATATGTCCTCGAAAGCTTTCGCTAGCTCATTGTCGCAGGTCTGCTGAGAACCCAGAGCACCGATGTTGTGGTCGAAGCCTGCAGTATATCACATGTCAATGGTAGGGAAGTACGGTGTCCTAGGGGGCACTGACCTGCGAGACCAATGGCGTCCAATGTTACCCTGCTAAGCCCCTTCAAAACGTTGATACGTGCTGGGGACTGATCACTGGCTTCGCATGCCCATGCGCGACGGAGCTGGGATAAAATTCAATCGAGACGTTTATAGACACGAGCGGAACGTGGAAGCTGACCTCCATAGCTTTCTGCATTAGCATTGGGGTAAGCTCCCGAATTTGCGCAGGGCCGAAGGCGGGATTCTAGAAGGTCTAAATTGAATGCACGCGGGCACATCACTGTCTACTGGAACCGTACCATAATCTTTCGCTATTCGCAGAACGCAGATTATGAGCGAAAGTCATGAGCGTGTACGAAACAGTGCCGACCTGCTGCTTGTGCCGTTCGCCTGCCGTCAATCGTGTCAAGGGGATGCGATGCATATATCTTGTTATGAACATACCTTCCGCAACGAGAAGGCCTAGCATCAGATGGGATAAGCGAGATTGTAGTAGCATCATTCGAGCAGCATACCTTCACCAAGGATTCTAGACAGGCTTCGTCGGCCATACGCCGACTTCTGGTATATCTCGCAGTGTGTCAAGATATGATGGAGTGCTCGAGTATCCAGAGTAAACAGCGTTGGCGACTGAATGAGGGGTGTGATCTACATCATACGGATGGCAGACAGACAAGGTGTTGAAGAACTCACGTTCAAAAAGCTGCCAAAGCGAACCGCAGGGCCGTACGTCTCCGCCCATCGGTCCAAAAACATGGATTTGTGCGCGTCGTAAACTTCGCCGAGATCTCCGTAGAGCCAATGTGCGCTCGGCGGGCCGGGAAGCTTGCGAAGCGGAGACTTCAGTCGCCACCAGATAATGGGAACGAGAGACCACGAGAGAGTGATGCAAAGAACTAGCGCCACAGCTAGAGTACATTGGACGGCGTAGGAGGGCAGGTAGTCAACCATAACGCGCCGCTCGAGAAGACCCAGAGTTGTTGACTGTCGACTCGATCCCTTGCTGGATGATTCGCGCGACCTCACAGTTGAATAGAATCTAAAGAGCCGCGCCTTCCCGTATGGCACCATTTGCTTGAGCGCGGAGCAATTAAGGGCGGCAGCTGATCTTTGCTCGTAACTGCGACCAAGAGCTTGGGAGTCGCTGCAAGGCCCGAGTGATCCGTTTAAGAGTCGACGTGCCCAGACTTGGAGACAGCGCGGCTTAACGACCCAGCGCAGGCACTGCGACGCTAATGGTGGTGCGTCCTGTGCATAATTTGTCAGCCCAAGATGCGGGGGATGTCAACATACCATTGCGCAGGACCGCTGATCCTACAATCCGACGAGCGTTGACAACTTGGTACGTCACGACATCAGGGTCTGATACACGCAGCCTCTGTAGGAAGGATAGAATCAGCGGGGGTACCACACGACGGACAGATGTATCGATAACGGCCGGACACGCTGCATCATTATGTTGGGCGCGGCCGGGTCGCGGACGCTCGAACGAATACATGATCACTGACGCTAAGCCGTTTCTGAGTATGTCTGCAGCCCAGATGTTGCTTTGCTCGTCATCGACAGTTCGTAAATCAAACGTCCAAATTGAAAAAAATAGTGAGTGCTCTTAGCCGGAGCGTTGCCAGATTTGCTGTTCGTGATTAGTGCGTTCAGCACGATCAAGCCAAACTCCATGCAGTGCACCCAATCTGCCAGACTTCGTCGTTCGCACCCACGATACAGACTCACTTCAGCGGCACGCCGAGCAAATGGGAAGGACCAGGCGCCCCTTTTCAACGTTTCAACGCCCTGTCCACACGAAGGTCAGACGTCGCCGTACTTCTACTTTCAGAATGCTCACTTGAGTATCACTTGAGCCACGCGCGGACCTTTATCTTGGGCATAAGGGCCACCTCTTCCCAAAATTGGGAGGCATTCACGATGAATCCCCAAGTAATAGCGCAGTTTTCCGTTGTACCTGGGCGACAGAACAATAATGCGTTGTCCTTACGACCGTATACGGTGCAAGTCAGTAGGATGCAAGATGAGATCATGGAGCTTGCTGACCTCATTTGCAGCCAGAAATTGGTTCGTAGCTACACAAAAATAGCAGAACCATATGTATAACTCGTGAACAACGGTTCTTCGAACTAGAGAGAATCGTTGTGGAGGTCAGAAACAAGAGCTCGAAGGACTGCGCGGTGGCACCTTGGCACAACCAATCTAATCGCACGGCTCCTCATCTTATCTTATCTGCGTCCTGAGCATACATACACTACCAATACTACCGCCTTTTCCTCCATTTCTCTAACGCCATCATCCCTCCTACCCATCGTTCGTAGAGAGTTGGGACATCTATTATCTGTGTTTTTAGAATGTCACGCTCTGCTTTGCCTCCAGGAACCGCGCCGATCAAGCCAGAGTAGGACACTACCCGCTGGGAGATATCCTTGTGAAATTGAACGCCATGCAGGTTTCTGGTCTCCGTCCAACCGCGCGACATCCCGGACGACGATGCTGCAGAAGGAGGCTCGAGCCATGTCAACGGCCGTCAAGATGGTGGTCCCGGTGGTGAAGACGCGGGGGAGGGTGGCAAGAGGCAGTCCGGCGCGCAGCGGAAGAAGTTCGCGAAAGACAAGAAACAGCGAGGCGCAAACAAGGGGAGGCGGTTCCAGAAAGTGCGCGACGACCTTGAGCTCTGCTTCAAAGTCGCGAGCGGGAAGCCTTGCGAGTTTGGCGACGAGTACGTGCGCTCGGCGTGCTCATGGATGTGCAAGTTGACCGTGAACCTCGTAGGTGCCGCTCCACGCATGATGTCGCGGCGTATCTTGCTGCGAAGCCAAAAGACATACACTTTCCCTCGCCTGAAGACCTTTCCAACACGCCCCCCTTCGTGCGGCTCCCAGATGTTGAGATGGTCGAAGACGGAGACGCCTCAAGGAGTTCTCTCGACGTGACCACGACGTGCGCGGTCTTCCAGCGTACGGGAGAATGCAAATATGGGCTGAAGTGCCGCTTCCTCGGCAATCACGCGAAGTTGCAGGAGAGTGGAGAGCTGGAACTGATCGTGGACGAGGAGAAGAAGGCTCGTGCGGCTGTGGCCGAAACGGAGCTCAACTTCATCGATGCCGACAGTCTCAGAAAAATCCGCACGAAGAAGGTATGTCTCCAGGTGGACGAATATGCATCTCGCTTACCCATATAGTTATTCAGTATCCTCACCCTATATCGGACGCATACCTGAAGGAGCTCCAGGACAACGCCAATGAGCCGCCGAAGAAAAAAGAAGACAATCCGCAAACGACGGTCGTCGACCCTGAAACTGCAGCTGAACCTGCTCCCGTCGAGGGTGCTGCTAGCACCGAAACGCCGGTTGCGGCGCAGGAAGATACGCCCGACGTTCCTGTCCGGTTTGCGGAGAAGAAACGGCTTCATTGGAAGGGAAAGACCTGTGAGTGCGTCCGAAGACAACAGCTTGGCCTTATATCAAACGTGCATCCCAGATCTGGCACCACTCACCACGGTTGGCAACTTGGTAAGCCCACGAATCCAGTTTTCCACTAGTAGACTGACTATATGCGTCTGGAATAGCCGTTCCGCCGCTTATGTGTCGACTACGGCGCCGACATCACCTGCGGAGAAAGTATGTCCCCTTGGAACCTGTCGCTGCCACCCAATTTTCTGACAGCTATTACAGTGGGACTGGCGATGTCCTTCCTCCAGGGATCCAAGGAGGAGTGGTCGCTCGTACGGAGACACCCCTCCGAGACCACATTCGGCATGCAGATCGCCGGCAGCAAGCCGCAGCTGCTCGTCCCCGCCGCAGAAATCATCGGCCGCGAGTGCGTGGGAAACCTCGACTTCGTCGACGTCAACTGTGGTTGCCCCATCGACCTGGTGTACAAGACAGGCAGCGGTTCTGCGTGTGCGTTTGGATTTGCATTCTGCTGCCAGCGACCACTGACCACAATCCGAAATCGGCAGTGCTCGACGCCGCGGGGAAGTTGGGCAAGATCGTCGTCGGGATGAACAAGGCGCTCGGCGACATCCCCGTCACCGTGAAGCTCCGCACCGGGGTGAAGGACGGTAAGAACACGGCACACAAGCTCATGCCGCGCCTTGCACCCGAGTTTGGGGCGTCCGCGATCACGGTTAGTGGGCCTCACACTGGACATCGCTCTGCGGCTGACATGGTACGCGTAGCTGCACGGCCGCACGAGGCAGCAGCGGTACACGAAGCTCGCAGACTGGGAATACATCAAGCAGTGCGTCGAAGCTGTCCGCGCACGCGAGGAAGAGGAAGATCGTGCGTCTCCTTTACCTCATGCTTGCGATCGAGTGCTTATGCTGCTGCGTGGGCTCGACAGTGGCGCCTGTACCCATATTTGGTGGTGGCGACTGCTTCTCGTCGGAGGACTACTGGCACAAGATGGACAACTATAACGTCGACGGCATCATGATCGGCCGCGGCGCCCTCATCAAGCCCTGGATATTCACCGAGATAAAGGAGCGGCGAGAGTGGGACATCAGCGCGCGCGAACGGCTGGAACTCGCCCGCAAGGTGCGTTCCGCTCAATCATGCATCTTTTCTCTCATTCAACCGATACACTAGTACGCGGAATACGGCCTGAAGTGAGTGCCAAGACCCGATCGTGAGCTGGAGGCACGCTAACGTATGATATAGCCATTTTGGATCAGATACGGCCGGCGTGAACACGACGCGGCGATACCTCTGCGAGGCCCTGTCCTTCCAGTATCGCTACATTCCTATCGGCCTGCTCGAGACCTTACCTTCCCGGATCAACGACCGCGCCCCCGCATTCAAGGGGCGTGATGAGCTGGGTAAAATTATCTTAAGGATCGTCAAATATGCATGAGGTGCTAACCACCGCGAACAGAAACCCTTCTTGCCAGCCCGGACAGCCGCGACTGGATGAAGATCTCCGAGATGTTCCTCGGGCCCGCACCTGAGTCTTGGACATTCACGCCGAAACACAAAAGCAACGCCTTCGGGACCGAGGAGAGCCAGGGCTGAGCGGGCTTAGGCCCTGTGTAGACTATCGCAGGCAGGTACACGAACGGACACTGTGCGCGCTGTACTAGTACACACAAATGTTGTGCTATTGATACATTCCAAGCTATTCGATGTCGAGGGGACCACGGGAGTGCGGCCTAGTCAGATAGATCCATCGGTTCGTCGCGCGAGCTCGGAGGCTCGACGCCATCGGACTCGATGGTGTGCTCCGAGGGTGTCGCCGCGACGTACGGCGATGACGGTGGTGAGTTGGGGTCGGTCACCTGCACTGCGATCTCTGGCGGTATCTGCTGAAAGAACATGTGGTTGTTGTATTTGACGGTGTCCTGAGGTCGTTCGGGTGAGCAAATCTAGCAAGGGAGCACATGCGGATTCCGAGGACCCACCTTGATGCTGTCGTACCAGGGCGCACGAGCTTCCTCTTCTTCCTCAGACAGCGCACGGCTATATAGCAAGAAGTACGGGCCGGTGCCCAGGTGCAGACCCGTGGGGTCATTCAGTACAACGTCCTCGGGTACCTGGATATCGATGAGTACTCGATCTAGGGAGAACGGAAATCAACGAACCTCGGTGACGACGTAGTCTACTGTCTTCCACCACTTTCCCTTGTACTTGACGTACGAGTAGAGGTGGCTGCGACCGAAAAGACCGTCGTGCACGATGACTGCGCGGAGGTCATACTGCAGATGGCTTCAGTATGGCCAATGGAAGTCGCTGTATGCACGACATACCTGATTTTTCTGTAGCTCGGGACAGTCGAGTATGCCACTAGCTTCGCTCTTTAGCCGTTCCACCGTGGAATCGATGGCTAGAGTGTTGTTAGCATTCGGTGTGTTAACCCAGGCGAAATGCACGTACTCTTCGCCTCCTCCTTGACCTTGTCAATGATTCGCGCGAGCTTCTCCTTGTTCTCGCGGATCTCCTCCACACGCGCGGGGTCGTCATTGCTCTCGGCCACACTCTCATAGTAGTAGAGACAAGACTGCAAGTCGGCTAAGGTATCCTTATCCTATAGGCGCCAGTTCCCTGTCAGCGCGAGCCATAGAGGATCGTGCAGCACTTACTTTGAAGTGTAGCAGGTTCTTCTTCTTGGTCTCCAACTCCTTGGCGTCTTGCAGCAACTCCCGCTGAGTCGCCCTCTTCTCGTTCGCAAGCTCAAACGACTCCTTCATGAACTGGTCCAGATACACGCTCTTGGGATACTTGAACGTCGCGCGCTCCGCCCGACGGCCGACGGCCGCGTCGTACGCCGGCGGTACCGCATCGCGCACCAGGTGGAAGGAAATTACATCTGGGGCCTCGAAGATCACTTGGCGTTTCGAGTTGGGGAACTTGGAGATGTCCGGCGCGAGCTCGGCAGCAAGGGAAGAGACCAGGTCATTCACGTCCGAGTTCAGCCCGATGTTGACTTTCACGCAGCAGAGGTTGTCCGTGTTCCCGCTGTCTGGCTCTGCATCGTGAGGTCCGTATTGCAACGAGAAGAGCCTGCATTTTTCGTGAGCGGAGTGAAGGTGAGTGCCTCCATTCTTGTGCGTACCTGAGCTGCTCTCGCTGGGGGTTGTGCAGGCTGTTGTATTGCATTGTATTTTCGACTGCATATACGAGTCTCTCGTAGAAACCTGGTGCAGAGGTGGGCATGATGAGACGCGTCTTGCGACAATCAAAGTGCTGAGGACTTACGAACAGATGCATCCCCAGGTCGATCGGCGGGGTTATTCCACGATTCTGCAATGAAAGCATTCATGGCAGCATCTACGCTCAACTCGCTCATCCGTGCTAGATCCATATTGGCGAATAGTTCCATCATGGTCCAGACTTGATATGCTGCAGTTCTACTTCATCAATTCACAGACCACGTTACGAAGGTAGAAGACGCACCAGGCCCAGAGGTGGGAGGACCGATTTCCGAAACTAGACTGTCGTCGGTACCCACCTCTCGCGCTGGTAACCATCGCGCAATGGTGTTTCGGACCTGGGGAACAAAGAAAAGTCCGTGTAGGATAAGGGCAGCATACGTGACTCCAGAGGACGTCGGGCGTAGAGCTACGGGTCTGCGAGGATGGTTGTGAGCGCACGTACACCCATCATACGAGGATGTCTTACGTATGGTCCTTGCGGATCCTCTCTTCCAGGGGCAGTTCCTCAAAGATATCCTCGCCGATGTTGTATGAGAGACTTGCTTCAATCGCGCGACTCATTGCCTGCTCGTCCTGCGACATGCCTGTGGGCGCACTGACTGCTGCCTACATCAAAACGTGAGCACAGCTCCAACGCGAGAGCACCAGCCGTACATTCGATGGCACCATGGCCCAGTTCGGGTCGGGTGCCCTTGTGCTTGGTGCAAAGCTAGTCGATTGGTCCTCCAAGGAGGCCTTCAGCGCGCGCGCGAGTTCGTCGTCCCCGTCATCCTTCGTGAGGTCGATCACCGCCTTCTCAGGTCTGGATGCTGACCTCTTCGTTCACCCTGCATTCGCGCGGCCGGGACAAAGAACGCGACGTACGGGGAGGCGTGCGGGGCCCAATAGTTGCTGTATCCAGAGGTTCCAGGGCCGGAAGATCGGCAAAGGGCCCTGAATCGTTTTCGCCGTTGTCGCCCTCGAGGAGGGCGGAGGCGGCCTTCTCGAGGTTGTTATTGTGTTTTCGGAGCAGGCGGAGGGCGTGCGCAGGGTCGAGCGAGCCTCCCATCAATCCAGAGAGGATCTCTATGTCTGCAGCCTCCTGAGGAGTAGCCGGTGCAACTCTTCCGGTGCCCATGGTCGATGTCTTACAGACCCCGTTCTTTGAGTTGGCACCGTGTCCAACAGCACTGCTTAAGTACTCACCACCGTACCCGTAAACTCCGAGCTGCACTGTTACAGTATCCTTGCGTGCGTGAGCGCGTTTCGCGCAGAAACGCTACAGTCTTTGCTAGAGGTGGCTGATCCTCGCGTACAGGGCCGCAAGCTGGAAAGCGGATGATCGGTACTGCTCCGGGCTTCAGACCGAAGTCAGGTTATGTGTCCGTAGATGGCGACTTGGGGAGTAAGGCAAGCAGCAGAGAAGAGCGCAAGTCTACACCGGTATGTATTCGGGAGCTCGGAGAGTGGGAGATGAGGACAAGCTGCGGCGGTGGCGCGCCGCCGCGCACGAGCCCTGACGCGGAGGCGTCGCACGCGCACGATCGTCGAAATAAATCACGGATAACTCCAGGATATCTTCGAGAACAATCAACAAGTACCTCCAGTGCAAACAGCATGAACCCTTCGTCTATAGCGTCGTTGTGGTTTCGTACTCTTCTTTTATAATTACAATAGGGGCAGAAGGTAAGTAACGATAGGTTGTCGTCGACAAGAATAGTGAAGAAGCGTAGGGTATATCTACAGGGTAAAACAACCAACCACCCAATCCACCAGGCCAGCCAGCCAATCCAGCGGCCAGGCAGGTGCGAAGTGCAGGAAGACCGAATAAAAGGGTCAAGCTGCAGAACGGAATCACGGCATCTCGGGCATCTGCACAAGCTCGAGCGCGCGGCTGATGATCTCCTCGACGGGCCACCGCTCGCCACTCGCCTGCTTCAGGTCGAGCACGTCGCCGATCTCGTCGCACGCGCGGAGGACGGTGTCGATGTCCTCCTTCGTGTGCGCTGAGCTGAGGCAAAAGCGTACGCGCGAGGTGACGAGAGGAGTGGCGGGGTACCCGACGACGACAACGACGATGGGTGTTGAGTACGTGCGCATGAGGCGACTGAAGACGGCCATCTTGCCCGGGTGGAAGATAAGGAGAGGCACGACGGGGGAGTCGTCCATGCCGTACGTGATGAAGCCGAGCTTGCGCAGACCGCGGTTGAGGTACCGGGCGTTGAACGCGATACGACGAAGGCGCATCAGCCCATCTGAGCCGTCAACCATGGTAGGTGCAAGGGGCATCCAGGAGGGGAGTGCAGTTGCAGGAGCAGTACCGGGGATGAGGTCAGACTCTGAGATAGCGGGGGAGAAGTCGCTCGAGCGAAGGAGGGCCAAAGATGGGGAAGACGGCTTCTCTGCAGGAAGTGTGACACCCATGATGCTGGCCATACTAGCGACGATCTGAGTCAAGACGGGGGGCGTCATGGCCTCAGCATACGCGCCAGAGTGTCCCTGGATGCGAAGTCGGTCGACAACAGCCTTGCTGCCAGCGATGTAACCACCGGCGGCACCGAAGGACTTGGTGAACGTGCCCATCAAGATATCCACCGAACGCGGGTCAATACCGAAGTAATCGGTCACACCGCGGCCGTGGGGACCGATGGCTCCGACAGAGTGCGCTTCGTCGACGAAGAGGTAGAACTGCCGCGTATATTATTAGCTATTGCCTCCGAAGTGCACTTAGCAACCGTACCTTGTACTTCTTCTTGAGCTCCATGATCACCGGAAGGTTGGCCATCGTCCCCTCCATCGAGTAGAGACCCTCGACGATCAGCAGGATCTTCTTCCACGGACGGTGCGTCTTGGGCTGGCCTTGGCTGATAACTTCCCTCAGGAGGTCCTCGAGCGCCTTCATGTCGTTGTGCTTGAACATCCGGACGTTAGCGCCGCTAAGCCGCACGCCAAACCGGATAGAGGCATGGTTAAGCTCGTCGGAGATAACGAGGCAGCCCTTGCTGACGAGGGCAGGGATGATCGTGGAGTTCGTGGCGAATCCCATGGAGCTGACAAGCGCGTCCTCCATGCCGAGGAACCGGGCAATGAGCGCCTCCGTCTGCACGTGCAGATCCAGGGTGCCGCCCTCGAGACGCGTTCCGCCCGCCGCAACACCGTACTTCTCGATGGACGTCTCAACAGCGTCGGTGCAGGGGCCACTGCTTTGCGCGAAGCCGAGGTAGTTGTACGACGAGACGTTGAGCGCGCGGGTGCGCGTGCCAGTCGGAACCATGGTCTTGTTGTAGTCCGAAGAGTACCTGTCGAGGAGGACGATGGTGCGTCCGGGGACACCAGTCGTGGGGTGGGAGAAGCAGTCATCGATCCTGAGCTTGAGACGACGCGTGTAGAACGAGTCGAAGTCCGAGTTCAACGCGGCATACCCCTATAGCAACGCGTCGTTCAACACGTAGCGCGGAAAAGTCGTCAACGAGGTACTCACTTTCCAGGGCAGCAAGTGCCTGTATTGCGCCGCACGGAACCGTTTTCCTACGAAATCCCGAAGGTGGCCGAGACAGATTACGAGGATGTAGCTTATGTAGGTCGTGAGGAGGATGTAATAGGGGGGCTCCTGCTCGGGGATGCTCTTGTAGGGCGTTCCCTTGGGGTGCTGAGAAGTGTAGCGGTATTGCTCGTTCGCGCAGTGCCCGAACTCAGAATGAACCGTCGCGAAGACCTGGTCCGAACTCGGAGGAACGCGGGGGTAGGAGAGTCCGTCCGTGAAGTCGAGGTTGTTCTCGTCCAGTACGGTGTCTTGCGAGCTCGACGTGATGGAGGAAGACATGGAGAGAGCAGGGGTCGACGCGGGAGTTGCTCCGTGCTTGCGAGCGCGAGCATCCGCCTTCGAGACAGCTGACAGGTACGACGCGGCCGTCGACATCGCTGGAGTAGACTTCTTCTTGAAGATCGACTGTCCCGGCGACGCCGGGTTCAAGGCAATAGGGGACGACCTTGAGGGCATTTCCAGCGGGCTCAGCGACGATGCAGACGGTCGGGATGGGGGAAGCTGCACGAAAAGGAGGGGAGCCAGGGTGATTAATTATGGGGGTGTCGGTTAATTGGCGGGGTTTCAAGCACAGGGGATCGGAGACAGAATAGAGCGAGAGTGAGCCGTCGGGGTTTAAAACAGTAGCGGACGGAGTAAATGCCGAAAGTGTCGGAGATAAATGGAGGGGATCGGTCGGAAACGGAGGACACGAGCGCTAATAATTAATCAAATGAAGAAGGTAGGCTCGGGAGTTGGGAGGTCCCACGGCGGGGAAACGACGAACAGACGGCAAGAAAATAGGAAGGACGGCTCGGAAGCAAAGAGAATGGGCGAGAAACCAGGGTGAGGTATACGTGCACACTATATATCAGACAGGACAAGCGTCTGGGTCACTGCGACTTTCAGGGCGGGCCTGCGCTCACCTGCGCTCGCACAGCGCGCGCACAGCACGCAAATTCCCCAAAATGCAAATCGCGTATACATAGATGTCATGGTGATGTTTGCATGTCTGGGTGTGGGATGTGACATTGATGCTTCCTTCCGGGCGGCGGTGCCGATGTCGGAAAAGTAAACGCCAGCAGAATGCGGTACAGGGTCTTCACGAAGCACAAGAAACAGCGCGCCCACAACAAGCGAACCCTCCTAATGCAAATCGTATAGCTCTAGTCCTATTATGATTGTTGGTATCAAGGAGGGAGTACAGTACACCGGCCGCCGGCGTGCTGCTGCCTGACAGCGCGCGCCCATCTTATATCGTTTCAGGGGAGGGAGAGGGAGGAGCGCACGAAACCCCGGCGACCGGTGGCAGGATGGCGACATACCGCCGCGTCTATCGTGAGAGGTCCGATGTGATTGCAACCCAGACGAGTTACAGACGGTCGCCGCGCCCGATGACCTTGACCTGCGAGTGTAACAAGTGGTCAGGGCAATGAACAATGAACATGCGCCGCAGGCGCAAGGCGGTCCCGAGTGGGAGAGAACACGTACCGTGAAGCCAATGTTCCGCAGCGCCTCGGCGTCGAGGATCATGCGCCCATCGAACACAAACGCGGGCTTCGACATTTGCGAGTACACCGTCGTCCAGTCGATCTCCTTGAACTCCTTCCACTCAGTCGCGATCACGACCGCCTCCTTCTGCTTGCACGCGTCGAGTGCCGAGTGCGAGATCGTGACCTGCTTCTTGATGGTCTCGAGCGGCGTCGCGGGGCACGCCTCGGCGAGGTCCAGCCAGATCTGCGCCTCGTCCACCTTCGGGTCGTAGATGGTGACATATGCGCGCTCCGACAGGAAGTCGCGGATGAGCGTGATCGCAGCGGACTCCCGGGTGTCGCCCGTGTCCGCCTTGAACGCAAATCCGAGCACCGCAATATGCTATAAAACGCCGCGTGTCAGAAAAGATGCGCGCACGCAGATAGGCGGACGCAGCGCCGGGGGTCTGCGGTGGCTCAAACACACACCTTGCCCGTGATAGTGTTGAAAAGCGTGTCGACGACCGTCTTCGAGAAACGGCTCTTCTGGTACTCGTTCATCTCAACGACCTGGCGCCAGTACGCGGCGACCTGTGGCAAGTGCAGGCTCTCGCTGAGGTACACGAGGTTGAGGATGTCTTTCTGGAAGCACGAGCCGCCGAAACCGACCGACGCGCGCAGGAATTTGGGCCCGATGCGCGAGTCGTAGCCGATGGCGTGCGACACCTCGTCGATGTTCGCACCGGTCGCCTCGCATATGGCGGACAGCGCGTTGATGGAAGAGATACGCTGCGCAAGCATAGCGTTTGCTGCGAGCTTCGAGAGCTCCGAAGACCACAGGCCGACAGTCAGGATCCGCTCGCGCCTATAATAAGGAACGAGTCAATATATGCGTGCCACCCTGAGCGTCACAACCTTTCAGACACTGTAGCTACTCCACCGTTAGTACACCTGTCTCGATTGGAACAGGTACACCAACAGACGGTAGCAGCGTACCGCGCCGCCTCAACCCCACAGCGCCCGCGGCGCGTAGATGAACGCCCGTCGCGATGCGACAGTTGATGCGTGCAGACACGGAGCGACGCGACATATAGCAAGCGGGACACTCACGGAACCCAGTTGGCGTAGACCTCCTTGAGCGAAGCACAGGCATCCTTGCCTTCCTCGGTCTGGAGGGAGCCGATGAGGACACGGTCGGGGCTGAAGAGGTCGGAGATGGCGGTGCCCTCAGCGAGGAACTCGGGGTTGGAGAGGATGTCGAAGCGAGTTCCCGGTGTGGAGTTCGCTTCGAGGATGGTGCGCATAGACTCGGCCGTCCTGCACGGCACGGTCGACTTTTCGACGACAATCTTGTTCGACGTCGCGACAGCGGCGATGCGACGCGTTGCCGACTCGACGTAGCTGTCCACGCCCCGCATGCATTAGTGCCTCCGGCCGCAGAAGGGGTGTGTACCAAAAGGGGACGTACGTGAGATCTGCAGAGAAGCCCGCTCCCACTCCCGACTTCTTGGTAGGTGTGTTGACCGATACGAAGATCAGGTCCGCCTCACGGATACCCTTGTCGACGTCTGTGGAGAAGAAAAGGTTGCGGCCGCGCGCCTTCTTGACGACTTCCTCCAGTCCGGGCTCGTAGATGGGTAGGTTGTCGCTGTTCCACGCATCGATACGCGCCTGGTTGAGGTCGACGATGGTGACGCGGATGTGGGGGCACTTCAGCGCGATGACGGCGCACGTCGGACCACCTGCGACGTTTCAGCGCGCTGTTAAGCACTGGTCCCGGCGAGGCACTCACCGACATAGCCAGCGCCGACTGCGATGCACACTTGGTCAGTTCCACGTTCTACACACCCTGCAAATACTGAGACGCACTGCAGCAGATCTTAGTAACTTTGACAGGTGCCATGGTGGTTGGAGGGCGAGATGAGGGCGAGATGAGGGCGATAAGGGGAGCCGGCTGCGGGCTTATAAGATGATGGTGGTGGTACGCGTCCAACCTCCACGCGACGCGCCGAGGTCGACTGGGCTTGATTCGAGCCTCATCCGCGGCCGTTCTCCTCGTTCCGGGGCTCCCCATCCATTCGCCAAAACTTCCATCTCATCATTTCGGTGCGAAATGCTACAATGCGGTATCAAAGAAGCTAAATGGAGATCACCGCGGCAGTGTGATTAACGAAGATGCCAACTCCGAACTGTCATGCTACCGCCCAGGTTTGTAAAACATGGTAATGACGCGTATCTAAGCTCGCAGATACGTAACCTGGCGGCGTGTAATAGAGCAACCTGGCATGCACGATGGTGAGCGTCGGACGCGGCTGCAACGTGAGCGAGAAGGACGGAATGATTATTGCACGACGTCGGACGATTAATATTATTGCCAAGCAATTGACCGCCACCGGAGGCGCTGCGGTCCCGAGAAGGAAACCCTTCCGAATATCATAACCCGGCAACGAAAGGTCGTTGGCCACCGTTCGCCGTTGACCTTCTGCGGCGACGTTGGCCGGAACCTAGTCCGACTTGGATGGCCATTCATATGCGCCCCGGCAAGGCCACCGCGAGCCGAGACACCAACGAAGACACCCGCCTTGACGAGATCGTCCTAAAGCCACCGCTGACGCCGGGCTACCGAAAGATAGGACGAGGAGTATCCGCTGCAACCCGAAATTGGTAAACGGGGGAATGTGAACGGCATCACTAAAGCAGAGTCGTGTCTCGCGTAAATGAGATGACACCCGCCAGTATGCAGGGTGGTATCGTGTGTACTGCACATGTGGCATACACGCCCCGAGTGAGTAGGTGCCACGTATGTACTGTAGAAAGTACGTTAGTCTCTTGAGGCCCTGACAGCTAGACGTACTCACCCGGTCGAGGTCCGTTTGCACCGGGGCCAGGAATGTCCGGCCGGCCACACCTGAGCACAATTAGTCGAGTTTTCCATCGATTGAGGTACGTCACATATCACAACTAGCGCAAAGCACCCAGTTGAAAGAGGCGGTAGGAGACTCCAAAGCGCGCGCCCGTACCCAGCAGCTTATGCTTCTGTAGGACGTGAACATATTAGGTTCGCGCTCGAGCCTGAGAGTAACTCGTCAGCATGTCCGAGCGCACCGGCCTTAACACCATGGCCCACCGACGGCGAGTATCCTTCCCAATACCAGCGACAGCGAACCCCGGGGAGAATCCTCGTGCTGACCAGGCGGCGTTGTCAGCTACACATTCGCTGTAGTGCAACGAGCGTTCTTACGTACCGTCTTATCGTAAGGTCTTTTGTGCGGCCACGCCCCAATCCCCAACGTCTGCAGCATATTAGCGATGCATCGCGGCTTGAGAAGAGTCTTCGCACGCCGAGCCCCCGTGCTCGTGCCGAGTACACCGGATACTCGGCCGAGCTCACAAAGGCGTCTCGGGTTCCCGAGCCTGATGTCGACCTGGGCTGCTTGTGTGCCAATTGGACGGCGAAGAAGCCCTCATGCCCGAGCGCCCCGCACGCCGCCTGTAGGTCACACTGGATCTGGCTGATTCGAGGCGGCGCCAGTGGTGCGCTGCTAGCCGCCTGGAGTTGCACGACCTATAACTTGCTACTTGAAAAATGAGCTGATGCTGTGTATGCAGCTATGCATGACCGTTCCAAGACCTACACATCTACTGAGCACAGTAAGGCGATCGGCCCTGGTCCCGGCGAGCAAACAGGACTTCTATCTTCCGCGCAGCTTGGCTAACGACACGGACGCTGTCGCCGTTCCATCGCCGAATTGCCCTGCCGAATGTGCGATCAAACCTGCCTATGCCTGGTGAGTCCCATGCATGGTGAGTACGTGACTCGGAGATCCTTGTATGCGTATGATTTTCCTTCACACTCACCTGCCTACATGCGACGCGTCCGTACAATTCGAACTGTCAATAATCTGGATGCTTACCAGTTTCAAAGTCTGCTAGATCCGAGTCGCTCGGCCTAGTAAGTGATATCCAGCTCGTGTACCTCGACAGGAGGGAAGATGGGTTGGTGTGATCGTCCACTGCGGGGAGACAAAGAAGACGGAGGTGTCATGGAAAGCACGGAAAACAGATCACATCTACGGGTATCATACACCATCAATACAGCAGCATATACAAGCACTCACGTATCGTTTCTGCTTATGGCTTCCCACCACCCCTCCTCTTCCCCCTACGATTTGCAAATCCCTTCGACTCCCCACTCTGATCCCGCCCCCTGGGCGACTTCTGTCCCGTTGTTTCAGCGCTTGGGGGACCCTTTGGCTCCCGCGCAATCGGTACTGCAGCTGGGGTCGCCGCTCGATCGCCCTTCGCTTTGGGAGAGGTCTGAGCACGGATGCCCGGCACAGATTCTGAGCTCTCGTCCACGCCGCCCTCCCCGAATATGCGCTCACGGGCGGCATGGTAAGCCGCCTCACGGGCCGCATACGAATGGGATGCACCTGTCTGGGTACCGGTGATCGAGGACCCAGGGGAAGATGTGCCGCTGGAGGAGGGCGTGATATGGGAGGTAGCGGATGGACGCTTCAGGATGCGGAGTACGGGCTGTATCGCAGCGGGAGGCGGGGAGAGCGTAGCTGCCGTGCTCGTGCTCGAACTTGCGATCACTACTTGGGGCATTGGTGCCCGCTTGTTCCTGTTCAAGTCTTAGTTTCGAAGCGCGGTAACATTGGTAGGAGGGATAGAACACCACTCACGCTTCTTCCCAAAGCCTCTGCGGGTCTTCGACGTCCGCCTGCGCTTCATCATCCTCATCGTCGTCCCAATCGTCTCGTACGTTCGTTACGGATGCATTCGGGAAACTTGAGCGCGACGTGGTCGTCTGGGGCGCGTTCATACAGCGTGCCCAAGGAGGAAGTGGGCACGGAGACGTACTGCGGGGCCGCCCCAGGAGTCCGAACCGGATGTCGGGGTACCCGTGCTAACAACCGACATTTCGTCCTGCACGTCGCAAGTTTTTTTTGGTGATTTCTCCTCAGTATGGTGTTGTATAAGTTGGTTATATGCGGAGTATGGCGAGAGAAGCGGAAATGTGTATGGAGGTGCTGGTTAACCGCGGATAGTGGTAAGCGCTTGCATAGTTATGGGCGCTAGTGTATGCCTTCGCTTCCTTCCTGCCAGTGCTGCCACGAGCGACGGCCGATGTGTGCGTATACCCTCGGCTTCGCTTTTATCTCCTCCACGAGCAGAAAAAATGTCGAAGAGATACGCCCACAATACTTCTCGACCCGCTGCCATCGTCCCAGCTGTTGCGCAAGCTTGTGGCAGTATCGGGTGCGACCATCATGCTTCAAAGTTCACCACCGAACAGGCTTGACTTGTATAACCCATGGCCGTCTCAACGCGATGTGCCTGACAATATAGATGAAAGCGACGGTAGCACATTGGCGTTGAACTGTACAGATGTTATACAAATGTTGGACGATGATGCTATCAGGGTCAGTCGAAGTGGGCCGTCGGTCAGTCAATCCGCCTCTTCCGTTCCTCGAGACTCTCGTGCTGACCTCATCATCATCACACTGCGTTCACGCCCACAGTGGAGAACAATCTTCAGACACGTCCCTGAGGTCGCACTCGCGTACGCGTTGCACGTCGGGGTGCGAGGGGTTCGCCCACGACGCCTGCCCGCGTTCACCTCTATGAAACTACGGGAAATCTACACCGGTCTTGGTCTGGCATCAATAGCCGAGGCGGCCGCAACGGACTACATGTCACAGGTTGCATCGGACGACGACCTTTCAGCTTGTGATGTAGCTGCGTATGCTTGGACCAGCCGGAAAGTGAATATGGCCGTAGGGGGAATCTCTGACGACAACATCTCATGGCTGAGGGCATGGCGCTTGGGTATGTGTGCTATCGGCCAACATCCTGCAGGCTGTGGGCCTGCAAAGTGATCGAACACTCATATCTATATGTGCCAGGCAATTACGACAACCGCGACCTCTTAGGGAAGCTCGCGTGGTGGCACAATCACATATGGTCCGACGAGACGACCTGGGTTTGGGCAGCCGCTCTGTGGTTCACATACTTTTACGACGAAGAGAACCCCGAAATCCGAAACGACCACAACATATATATCACCCATCTCGCAAACGTGCGCGGGGCCCATCTCTCGCGAACCTTGAGCCCGGTGAGCATGGCGAGCTTATTAGGCTTCCGAGTGAGTCTCTTCCTCGCCATATCCATGGTGCCCACACTGATTGTGTACGGTGTAAACCGCCGTGCAGCAATACGTGCACATTCCTCTTCTAGCCCTGGCTGCCTCCGCGCCGCTTGCCATATTCGCCCGCCGTACCGGGCGGCTCTTGCTCTACCTGCCCATCAACGCCTTACAGCGGCTTCTCTTCGGAGCTACGTTATACTGTGGAACGATGCAGCGGCACCAGCACGCTGGGCAGCTGACCGCCCTGAAAGAGAAGCATGCTATGGCGGCCGCGGTCAAAGCTGCGCTTGTGCGCCTCAAGCAAACACAGCCGATGCCTGGCTGTTAAGGCTTCCCACTCCGGAACACCCTAGGTTCAGTGAGTATTGCAGTCGCTGTTGTAAGCTAGGACGCGCCGGAGACTCGCGGAACATGCTGCTGACCGCTTTGCAGATACAGAGCACAGCGATACTTGCTTTGTCTACAACGTTGATGGCGTATCAGAGTTGTAACTCTATTGCTTGCTGTACCTCTAGCTTTCTAGCTCTCCACCCATTGCACCATCTTGCATCTTCCCTACCTGTTTAGATCGTCCCTGAGCCCGTCTCCTGATCATTGCTTTCCGTGCTGTTCGGCTCCTTCGTCACCTACTAGTCGCGCGCTCCCCGCTCTCCTACGCACATGTAGCATACATATCCACATACATAGCCAAGCCTCCTCTCTCCATTTGATAACACCCCTCCTCAACCAATACCCCACTCATCCAATACTCACTCAATCAATACCCCCAGTCACTACATATCTCGCGCTCTCGACGATTTCTCGCTCTGCATAATCTCTGTGATCTTCAATGATGCTTGCTCCTTTCACGCAACAATGACTGCACGCACTGACTGCGACATCTCAAAACATCCATGATTAAGCACATCACATCATCACCAACAACGCGCGCGTGTACAGTCGTCACTATCGTATCCGACCTGCACACGCACATCACTAGTTCTTGGCACTCGCGGCAACCTCGTACAAGTACACTCCCAACATCTTGCTCTGTAAGAAACAGGGAATGTGTCAGTGCCGAGCCTCGCAATACACCTCGGGAGGAGACGCACCCCTTCGATGAAGTTCGAGCGGTCGATCTTCTCGTTGGTAGAGCTGCACGCGCAAATGTCAGCCTCACGCTATCACGCCCAAAGGGGACCAGGAGCACGGCACTCACTGCGCGCCATCGTCGCCACGGCCCATGGGCAGCAGCACCACGCTGACGGAACCCGGCAGGTTGTTCGCGAAAGTAAGCGTCACTGGGATCGACCCGCCCTCTCGCGTCAGGTCCGGGGTGCGTTTGTATACCGCCTGCCAGTGTGCCACGTCGTCTCAGCTGCTGCTCACTGAACACGGGTACAGCAACAGACGGCCCACCTCAGTCGCGCGGATAGCGGCCTGGTAGTTCCAGTCATCCTTGGGGTGCTCGGTGACCCACCCTTCCGCCGCGTCGAGTGTCTCGAACTTGAGTTTGTTCTTCGTGTCGATCTTCGCGAACTCGCCCTCAACAAACTCCTGCACTGCCTTAGCGACCTCTTCCGAGGGCTGATACGGGCTCACGATCCTGCAGACAGGCGTGTGGTGTCAACCGACGACCCGAGCGAGAAAGGGGCGCATTGCGCACCTGATCGAGAACTTGGCAGTGACCTTCGCGGGGATCACGGTCTTGACGCCTGGCCCCGAGTACGCGCCCTCGATGCCGTGGAGCGAGAGCGAGGGGTAGCGCATGCGGCCCATGAGCAGCTCCGCCGGGTCGTCCGAGAGCCCGATGTCCGCACCGACGGCGTCGACCAGGTCCTGCTTGGTATAGTCCAAATTCTCGTACTCCTTCCTGCACAACATAATCTATCAGCCGTTGTCTTGTTCAAAGGAAAGAGGTGAATATACCTTTCCTCGTCGGTGGGCGCTGGGACCATGTTCTCGACCTCGTCGATCAGGATCTTGCCGCAGGGCGCGACGAGCTTGCTCATGAGGATCGCGAGGTCCGTCATTGGCTCGTGCACCATCCGCCCGAACATGCCCGAGTGCAGGTCTTCCTTGGGCCCGCAGACGGTCATCTGGAACGTGACGACACCGCGCAGCCCGTAGGTGACGCACGGCGTGCGCGCGTTCAGCCAGTAGTTGTCCGACTGTGCAGCCCTCGGTGAGCTAGCCCGTTCTGACTAATAGGGAGAAAAGGCACTCACGATGCACACACCAGACACGCCGTCGAAGTATCCATCTTTGCCCTTGGCCGCCTCCGCGGCTATAAACTCATCGAGGCCATCGCTACCGCTCTCCTCCATACCCTCGAAGCAGAAGCGGAGGTTCACGGGAAGCTCAAGCCCGAGCGCATGGTGCGCTTCGAGCACGTTGAGCCACCCGAGGACGGGGCCCTTGTCGTCCGTCGCGCCGCGGCCCGTCAGGCGTCCGGTGTCGTCGTTCTGGTCGAGTTTCCAAGGGTCAGTGTTCCACCCGTCGCTCTGCTCCGCCTGTGACCACAAGTGTCAGCGCCAACACACACGAGATGAGTGTAGGACACGGATGGACGCACAGGCTGCACATCGTAATGTCCGTACACCAGAACGGTCTTCTTTGCGGGATCTTCACCGACTCTGCCTAAAATGAGGGGCGGGAGGTGGAGCGACTCTTCGCCATCCCCCTGCCCGTCCTGGGGTCCTAGGTCCACGCACTGGGTAGAGACCCCAAGGTCCTCGAGCTGTTTTTTCAGCCAACAGCCCATGTTGGTGACACTGGGGCGGAGGGCGGGGTCCCCGCTTACGCTGGGCATTACAGATAGTCAGCGTTGTATCGAACACACACGCATACTTGACGGACCTGCGTATGGCGACAGCCTCCGCGAGCCGGTCGATGAACTGTTGCTGGTGGTCTTCAATGTACTGCGAGAACTCGGGGGGTACTTCTGCGTTAGACATAGTGGGCTTGTGTGGCAGAAAGGGTTTGGGATATGTGTGAAGTCGTGAATGAGCACGAGAGAATGCGAGAGGAGGCGCAGTATTGTGGGGAGGTGTTGGATGGCATGCTACTTGAAGACGGTGCTTATAAGCAGTTCTGGCAATCCGGTGCGTCGTGCACCGTGCTGGACGACTCCACCATGTGTTCGGGGCGCTGCATGCTCAAGTCCATCTTCGTGGCTCACCAGGGCATGTGATGAACGGGCGAGCCGCGGATGTGCGCCCCATTGCTTGAGGAAGAGATATTCTGTATTTTTTTGGGAGACCTGGTCCATTCATCTCGGCACAATGGGTATAGAACTGTGTTGCTCCGTCCGAAGTGCCCATGGGTTTGGTATTTTGGACGCTGTACCTGTTGGCAAACCCTGCGTTGTGGCGACGAACACATGGATGTTCGTACGTCACCATGCGAGCTGTCGCACTGTGAGCACGGTGTTGACGTAATTTTGGAGAGCATTGGACGTACGGCTTGGATAGCACACCATCCCAGACCGTTGAGTCCCTCTTTCGCTGGTAGTCGCCCCGGTGAAGGTGGCAACCGAGCCGATGGGGCTGTGAGGATGCGTTCATGATCTGGAAGCGCTCTTAAACATGTCAGGCCATCCCAGCAGACTTTTCTGCGCGGTACCTCTTGCGGGGAATGCGAGGGTTGAGCGCTGGGGAGGGGGGAGGGGGTGGAGCGTCCCAGAGCGCCTTGCCCTCGCGATTCACCTTGAAAATTTCCGACATTCAGCGATTATTTCTTGGGAGTGAGATGTTTAGCGTGGTGCTACGTTTCAGAAGGCATTCGCGGATATTGTTCGTTCAGATATCGCGGTTTGTCATGAAGGAACGAGTTTAGGAGACGCCCCAAGCGCGCCTGGAATGGGCGCTTAAGATTGCCTTCTCGTGATCGCGTTTGACGCGTCGCGCAGCCGCGCGGGCCCCACAGCACATCCAGGCTCTTGATCCCACACCACCACCTCCACCACCATCACGATGTACGACAACGAGCGCGAGGACGCTCAAGAGGATCTCCTCTCCGTTTACTTCGAGAAGAGCGCAACGGCCGTGCGCCATTCCTTCGGTCGGTGAGCATACGCTATCTGGGGCTCGCATGCGCATACAAGGTACTCATTCTTGGAGGGCATAGTTTTGAGAAGGACCTAGCGAGGCCAACAGTGCGCTATGTGCTCACCTCGTTTCAGCAACATCCAATACGTTCGGTAAGTCTGGCGGACGAGTATATTTGAAAGTTGTCCGGCTTACGCTAACCGCGTTTCGCGCGTCCTCAGACATACCTCACCACATACGCGGCGCTGAGTGCCTTGCCCTTACTCTCCTTCATGTGAGCACTTTCTACGCGTATGGATGCGTTTTGAATGACCTAGGTGTCCCCAGAGCAATCTCGATATTCGTGTGCTCTACTTTGGTGTTTCTCGCGCTGTGCGCTGCTCTCCTCGCAGGATCCGCCGTTGTTATCTTCTGTGGTACGTCCTTACTTCCTCGCTACTCTATAAACCCCATCCAACACGGCCCCATAACCCCAGGACTTTGGCTCGGATGCACACTCGCCTTCCTCGGCCTCCTCGCCATCCCACTCACCGCGGGTACGCTCCTGACGTATCTTTTCCTCCGCTTCGCCTTCATCGTTCGACAAGAAGGCTCCCCACGTACCGCGCTGTCGCAATGGGCCCAGGAGACGAAGGGTCAGTTCATCAGGAGGCCTCTCGGGGAGGACAACGTTGCTCAGCCCGGAGCGGAGAGTGCGCCGGAGCCGGTTACGCTGGTCGTTGGGTCCATCGTATTGGACGGTTCAACGCCGACGAGGGAAGATAAGAAGGCGGATTTTGTGCAGTCGGACGGCTTTTTGGCGGAAGAGGCTGTGAAGGTAGAGGGGTCGCCCCAAGTCACCCAAGGCTCCCTCTAATCGCTAGGGCTCCCGCTATCGTTGTATTCTATCATTCCCGCCCTTTCTTCATGTTCACGTTCACGTAGGTTCACGTCCGTGGATACATGCGCGCGCACCGGTTCACGGGTAAGAGTATATCGGGCATCGATCTGTGGCGATCACCAAAGGTGGGTTAAGCAGTCGGAACTCTAATTCTGGACCCCTTGGACTGCGACCACAAGGTCCTACAACGTCTTGTCCGCTTGTAGGTCATTATGTCCTCGGTTTCTCATCAGCATCCAGGCTACTGATCTCTGCGACATAGATTATTGGGAAAACGGCGATATTGAAAACTCGACACAATTCCCAGATTGATCAACATAAGCTGGATCACTCGACCCTCCGGCTTCCATTTGCACAAAATATATACCAGATCCCGCTTTTCGAGCTCGTTCTGTCAAGCATTCCACACGATGAACGTCCTCGTCTACTCCGGACCGGCCACCTCTCCGCCCTCACTTTCCCACACCCTCTCCACGCTTCGCGCCATCCTCCTCCCGCACTACGCTGTACAACCCGTGGCACCGCAGACACTCGCCGCACACCCCTGGGCCGCGACCTGCGCCCTGCTCGTCTTCCCCGCGTTCCTCCCCACGGCCACGTCTCCCGGTGCTGTGCCACCCCCTGCAGCCACGGCCGTGCAGAAATATGCCGAACGCGGCGGGAAGGTGCTCATCCTTGGGTCCGACGTGCGTGTGCACGAGAGCAGGGCGCGCGTATCGCTCGCGGCGGGCATCGAGAGTGTGACCCTCGCTGATACTGGCCTACTTACCCTCACCGACGGGGAGTCCAGGTTGAATTTCTCGGTCGGCGCGGCGAAGGGGAACACGCTGGACGCGGCCGGCGAGCCTGCTGCGCTCACCTTGCCCGACGGAACAACTGTTGGCCCATTGCTTCGCGTTCCAGGCGGGAAAGTAAACTTCACGGATGTGACGGGGACAGATGGCCTCTCGGTGCTTGCGCGCTACGGCTCTTTGGACGACGCGCGCACAGCGGCAGGTATCAAGACATGTATCGGGGACGGGGCAGTGGCCTTCTGGAGCACGCATCTGGAGTACTCCACGCGCGAAGAGATTGCGTCTTCTATCCTCACCAAATCCTCTGCGCTAACTCCGGACGAACTCGCGAAGGCCGAGGACGGACGGATCCGCGTCTTGCGCGACACACTCGCTGGGCTCGGGCTCACGCTTCCTGCCCAGGGAAGCGGTGTCGCACGGCCAACTGCGCAGGTCCTCACCGGCGCACCGTGGCGTCCTGCGATCGTATTGAGCGTCTTGAAAGAACTCGAGGTCCCAGATCTGCTGACGATCAGCGAGAAGGGATACGAGTTCAAAGACAGCAACGACACATTTATCATACATCCCGCCTCAGCTGCCGCGAATGTGTTCGGTGTCGATCAAGCCAAGCGCTATCCGAGCGAGGATTCGACAACGTGGAACCCGAAGCACATCGTAGTTTTCGAGGGTCGCGATCTTCCTGCACGCGAGCTCGTTCCGCGCTTCGATCTGGAGGCGTACTACGCGGCATTGGAGGACGCGCGGAAGAAGCAGGAATGCCCTTCGAGCTATACCGACGAGGGTTGGGGGATGGGCGAGGCCCTCCTCTATGGCGAGGTGGTGACAAGCACACAGACGATGCTCGATAAGTGCGTTCAACTCATTCTCTGCACGTAATTCGACAATACTTATGATACCTTACAGAAACTTGCGCCTTCTCTCCATGCTCCCAGTCCCCATCCTATCTCTCGCCTCCTCCCAGCTCACCGGCCGCGGCCGCGGCGGGAACGTATGGCTATCTCCTCCGGGCTGCCTGCAATTCTCGCTCCTCCTGCGCGCCCCGTTCTCTGCGTTACCCGCACAGAAGATCGTGTTCGTGCAGTACCTCTTCGCGCTCGCCGTCGCGGAGGCGTGCCGCGACCCGGCCGTCCTCGGCGCGGAGGGCGCGCGCGTCCGCATCAAGTGGCCAAATGACATCTACGCGGAGCTGCCAGGCTCGGGCGAGCAGCGCAAGATCGGCGGCATCCTGGTGAACACGAGCTTCGGTGGGGGCAAGGTTGAGCTAGTCGTCGGTGCGTCTCTGCCCGTACTGCTACCGTCTTGGCGCATTGCTTACCGTTGGATGGCATACGCGCAGGGTGTGGGCTAAACGTGCTGAACCCGCCGCCGATCTCGTCACTCGCCCAACTCCTGCCTCCGGGGTCAGAGCGACACCCCTCAATGGAACGCACACTTGCCGCGATCATGGCGCGCTTCGAGCACATGTGGACCGCGTTCGTCGCCGCGCGCGGCTCGTTCGCGCCCTTCATGGACCTCTACCTCGACCGCTGGCTGCACTCGTGCGTCTTCCGTCCTTACTGCCTTCAATTTGCTAACCCGAGTATACGTGTGCAGGGACCAGCTGGTGACGCTGACGACAGTGACGCCCCCGCGGAAGGTGCGCATCGTGGGCATCACGCCCGAGCATGGTCTGCTCCGCACGCTCCCGGAGCGCGATGGGTGGGGCGGCGGTGGGGGGCAGGGTGTGGAGTACATCGACCTACAGCCGGATGGGAACAGCTTTGATCTTATGGCGGGACTCATCAAGACGAAGACTTAGCCCCGTTTGAGAATCGGAACGAATACAATCGTCGCAGGGAAAAGGGTGCACATGAAGCTTGGAGGACGCAGTAGGCGTTGCAAGAGCAGTTAATACCTGTGATGTATACTAGTATCAAGAATAAGAGCAGATGAGTGAACACGGGAACCTGAGGCAAAGGGGCGAGGAGTCTCGAGTCAGTACTTGTTGGTTCGTCGGGATTGCGTACATGCTCCAGCCAGTGGAGTTACAATTCTACCCGCACTGCAACCATCGTAGTACGGTACCCTACTGTTCGTACGAAATTTGACGTCCTGGGGCCTGTACTCCGACGTTGCACCTTGGTTACACCTTGTCCCAGGTGGCCCGAGTCGGACTGCCCGGGAGTGAGACGCCGATATGTTATATAGAGGCCATTGATGACATAAGCAGCCAGCTGTGCCTCTCAATGTCGCTGAGTCGTCCGGCTCCCTGCCTCTTCCTCACTCTCGTCTCTTCTCTCCTACACTCTCTAAATCCCCATATTCCTATCTGTCTGGCAATGTCAACGACTCTCATTGAATATAGAGGCTCCACTGGCACCCCAGGGGACGCACAGATTTCCGAATACAACACGCTTCCTCGCGACCTCCGGCTCTCTGTGTTGGACCATGATGTTCTTACCACACTTTTGGAAGGGCTCCCTATACGAAGTTTGCGATCGCTCTCCAGCACCTCTTGGCACGTTAGACGGCTCTGTCTTCCGGTCCTTTTCAAACGGTGCCTTGTTGCCTCGGAGTGTCCACTTCAAGGCTATAGCTTCCTGCCGAAAGCATTGTGGCCCCACGTCAGGTACATAGGACACACACTCTCTCCGGAAAACTCTGACATGGTCATATAGACATTTGCGCCTGGCGGATAAGTGCCCAGACATGCCAGAGCACGAAGACCTGTACAGGGTGCCTTTTGAAGACCCAATACTTACGTTCGCCACCGATCCCCTTGTCTGTTGTCTCTACGACGGCCCTGTTTTGCCAAACGCCTTGTCCCATATGTCACGCTTGCATTCCATCTCTCTCGAGCTGAACTACCGGACCATCCACGGTATACCATGGCCGGTGCTGCAACACATCCTCTCTCTCCCTTCACTCCGAGAATTTACACTCAAATACCACCGCCTAGCTCCGAAGACACCTCCGGAGGAGATACACCTCGACTTTCCCGCTCAGTTGACGTCTTTCCGGTTCACGCTACACGACCGTCGCCCACGCAACACCCGCTTTCAGCTTAAGGAGAATGAAGAGCGCGCCGTAAACATTATCCTGGGCGGCGTACACAAGACGATGGAACAACTGGAGCTCGAGACGGAGTCCGCCCCCATTCACGCCATCTGCACGACCCTGGATTGGCCTAATCTCCGTGAGCTCCGGCTGCGCGGTTTACGCAGGGCCGTCGGGAACCCTCCACTGCCCATCATCGCCATGTTCGAGCATATGACCCGGCTACGCGTGCTCGATCTCAAGTTGGCTCAGCCCGCGGGCACTCCGGCGCAGGCCGTCTGGCCTGCAAACTACCAGACGACATTCCCCTGGCCAGAGCTGCAGCACTTCTCGATATCGTGCCCAGTGGAAAATGACAAGATCTACGCCCACCTGCCCTCCACGCTCCACACGTTGGGTCTACAGTACTTTCCTCATGTATCTATGCTTTCGTCCAACTTACGGGCCCCGGAACTGCAGTGGCCTCTCCAATCGGCCTCCGCATTACTCGGAATCTTGCGCCAGTGTGATCTCCCCCACTTGCGCTGCCTCGAGCTGGAGTACCGCGAGGACCACGCGGAGGACGAGCTGCTACGCTATCTTCGCTTTGCCTTTCCAGCTCTCACGCAGCTGAAGCTGCGGAGGTATCGTCGCGAGGGCGCCTACGGTGCCGACGTGCGGGTAGTGCGTGCTCTCTCTTACTCCACTCGATCTTGCCTCTCACCCAAGGGACACAGGAGCATCTTGCGTGCGCCGTTGGGGCTCTCCCACACCTCTCGGATCTCTCCCTGCACCTCGACAACGTCAATGTCCAGGAGAGCAGCACGTCCCCGTGGAACGGCGGATTCGGCCACAGCGCCCTCGAAATGGCGTACTATCAAAACGCGCTCGACGACATCGCAAACGCGGTCGTGCGCGGGCTCGGCGCCGCGACGTCGCTGGAGACGTTCAAGCTCCTGCGGCCGCCGAACTACTGGCTCCCCTCATTGTGGATGCCGTATCGCATCGAGCGCGGGGAGGGGCCGCCTCATGCGGTGTGTCTTTCGGTGCGCATCGCTGAGCCGCCGTTGTTTGTTCTTCTCGCTGATGTCTTGATAGAGGATGTAACACTTTCCTCGAAAAGCCCGATTTGGGGAGCGATCAACATACGGTAAGCAGGAGTGGACATCATGCGTTTGCGTTGTGAGAAGCATATATACCAGACATCGGGGCGCAACGTCTATGGGATGTAAGTGCGGGCTCGCTGTAAGCCTACAAAGACGAACAGTCATCCCGCGAAGAGTCATCTCGGCGAACGAACACCACTGTGCGCCCCCGCGATGCACACCCCAGGAAGACACCGCATCGCGCGCGCGGGCTCCTCGCCCGGAATGACATGGTATTCCCTCCAAACGGATGCAATGTCAAAGTTCTCTGGAATCAGCAGCGCAAACGTCTCCATCACAGCTGGGGTGCCCGCGAGCCCCCGCGCGACGGCGTCCGCCGCCCTATCGAGCGTCTCCTGGAACTTGTGGACCAGGTCCTCCTCGTGGCCGTGATGGAGACCCCGCACCACCCTGGTATCCGGGGCCTCGATGTTGTCCAGGTATAGAGAGAGGTGCAGGTGCTGCGGAAGACTCCCAAGCACGTGCGCAATATGCTCCTATATCATGTAGTCGGGAAACATGAATATGAGCGGTCTCTATTGTCCAGAAGCGCGAGGGAATACCTACCACTTGCACGTCGGCCATGTGCATATCTGGCCGGCGATACCTCCGCACTTTCAGCTTCCGGAGCGCGGGGAAGGCGGCGCCCAGGTGGTACAACAACTCGTCGTCTTCATCGTCTTCGCGGTACTCCAACTCGAGGCTGCTGAGAAGCGGCAGTTTGCAGCGGCGTAAGATCTGCAGCAGGCTAGAGGACTGGATAGGCCCCGACACACCCTCGGCCCCGTACTGGCGGTATTTTGAGGTGACGTGGGGGAAACATTGTAGGGTCAGTGTGCGCAGCGTGGCAGGCAGGTTCGCATATATCCGGTCTTTGTTGACCGGGAAGGACACGGTGAGCTCCTGCAGTTCCGGCCACGGAAACGTTGATTTGTAGCGGAGGGGCCAGAGAGGCGTAGGGGGAGACTCCGCAGGTTCACTCAGCTTCAAGTCGAGGATACGCAGGCGAGACATGTGGGCGAACAACGCGATGATGGGTAGAGGGGGGTCTCCGACGGTACGGGGTTCACCGCGGAGCCGCAGTTCGCGGAGGTTGGGCCAGTCGAGGGTGGTGCAGATGGCGCGAAGCGGGGCGATCTCGGTCGTGAGGACCAGTCGCTCCATCGTCTTGTGGACACCACTCAGGACGACCGAGATAGCGTGCTCCTCCCCATCCCCCGGGTCATATAACGTGTTATGTGGGCGGCGGTCATTCAGTATGTGTTCGAAGGACGTCAATGGGGCGGGGCAAGCGAGATGAACATCCTCCTGCGGCGTTTTGGGAGCGAAGTGGTGGAAGCGGACTGAGAACTCTCGGAGCTGTGGAAGAGAAAGAATGAACTGGAGAACCGGCCACGGGATACCGTGAACAGTCCTGTATTCTAGGCCAAGGGTGATCGAATGTAACTTGGGCATATGAGACAACGCGTTGCGTAGGGTAGGCCCGTCGTAGATGCCGCACACCAGTGGATGTGTCGTGAATCTAAGGGCTTTGCGATTCGGGTGCGAGGGGTATCGCGCATAGAAAATCCCTTCCCAAGGCATGTCGGGGCACTTGTCATTGAGGTGCAAGGTCCTGCGTAAGTGCGTCAGAGCTCATGTATCGAAGGGGACTGGTAAGTGAACCGTCGAAATGATACCTGACATGATGCCACACTGTTTTCGGTAGGAATGCGTATTCGAGCATCCGTTCAGACGAAACATGGCAATGTCGAAAGAGTATTGGAAGACAAAGCTCTCTCAGATGCTTGGTAGTTCTGGAGAGAGGTAGCAGAGTCTGTTGAGAGAGCTCCGCCAGTATTATCGCCCACACGTCGTCGTCCAACGAAGGGAAGCTTTAGGTGTGTTTTCTGAGAACATCTGCACAAACGAAGCTCTGTGAGCTTACCCGATCGTCTGCCGTTCAACACAAATGGCAGTGGACATCGATGGGACAGAGAGCAAGGTGCAGATGGGGGAGCGAGAGACGCGGAATTGAAGTAGGTATGCACGAGTCACTCGAGCTCACTCGGCCCCGCGGTATGCTGTGGCAGTGTTCCGAACAAAGTTTAGACCTCTCCGGCATCCCCGCTGGCAGGTATGCAAGAGACTCGCACCCCCTCTAGAAACATCGACGCGTTCATACTAGGCCCGAGGAGATTTGGGTGTTGTGGACGAGATCAATGAGTGCTCCGAGTCAGAGTTCGTACCGCTGACATTTTCCGAGAACGTCGTATACCCGTGACATTCGGTTGTAATACATATATGTATACAAAAAGCACACATTTGAAGCGTCCTCCAAGCCTGCAATCCTCCAGATGGACGACGTTTGTGTAAAAAGATACTATCCAGCAACTTGCATACTCACTACGTACCGGTCATAACACAAATCAATTTGACTAGCTGCGTCAGACTGGAAGTGGACACCATATTCTCGGGCCCCGGCACTTGAAACACGTTGTCAAATGATATGCGCCTGAAAAGACGAGATGTCAGCGCCGCGGATGAACACTATGCGTTCATCGATACTCAACCCAAAGAGATATCGGGCGAGGGGGCTCCGTGTCCCTCCGCACAGAGTCGAGGAAGGGCGCTGATCGGAGCGACAACGCAAAAATCTCCACACGGCGCCGAACCCTCAGGCTCAAGCAAAGGCGTCTGCAACTGTCAAACCCCTTAGTGCGAGTAGGGGGCAGTCTTCCGCTAAGGAAGGATGGGTCCGCCGCTATGTGGAAAAGTGGCGAGTATGTACGGTTACACACGGACATATAGTTAGCCTACGCTCAGACGCCAAATTCCCCAATGCTGTAATCAGGTTGGTGAGCCTTCGAAGTCCGGCGCTCGGCATGATCATATTGAATGCACTCACATAACGTGAAGCATATTCCGACCTAGTAGGAGACGGTTTGGATCTCGCCATGCACATCCGGAGGCGCTTGTCCGGTTTGCCCTTGGTCGGTTTCGAGACCCTTTTCCTCCACCGCTGGTTCGCCCTCCAAGTCGGCTTCTTGCCCACCGTCGAGCACACTGGCCACTGATTCTCCTGGAAGCGATGCGCCAATAGATCCCAGGACCCTCGATGCGAATTGCAGCGTACTACCATTGGCGTCACCGTCACCCGTCGACTGTGTGCCGCTGGGATGCTGGCCGAGGGCCTTCTGGTTCGCGGATTGGAGTGCGAGGAGGAAGCGGCAGGTGAGGATGGCTACCAGGCTGCGGGTGCTCACATATGAGCGACTGGAAGGTGGGGTCCACACTTTGTACGTACGGGTCTACAAGCAGTATCAATGGGCTGACTGGCTGAAGAACGTCGTTAATCTGTTGTGCACATACTCTTAGTGGGCGGCGTAAGACAGCATAATACTGATTAGAACCCACCGAAAGGAGCGTGAGGGCGAGGTGAATTGTGTTTAAAGTGGCGAATACCCTAAATGATTCTCCCTTAGTACGAATTGTCCCTCGGGAGTTGATGTCAACATTACAAGAAGTAGATTGTGCCTGATTATCGGGACTGGCGTAAGTATGTCAAATTCAATGGGAGGAATGATGGACCTGTCTACTGACCATTTATTATTAGAATGCTCCCTAGTGAGGATAGAGACCATCTAGTAGCGATTGCTAGGCCCATGATCCCGGAGCGAAAAGTCACCATGACCACAAGGCTATCTGCAATGATAACAGACGCGCGGGACGCAATAGTGGCTACCGATAGGCCCACAGCGATCAATAGAGTCGTGTACTAGACCGTAAAGTAGTCTGAGCGGACTTACTACTGTGTGCAATGTCAATAGTGGCTGGAGTCTGAATGCATGATGGTGACGTTCGGACTCACAACACAGACATTTGAGGCGTCAGGTTGGAACCTGTGGCGCACCCAAACACGGGAAGAATGACCCCCGTTATGCCTTGCGCAAGTATCCACTGTTTATACTGGTCAGACCTCTGCCATGGTAAAGAGTCGGGTTCTAAGCATACCGCGTTTACAACAAAGGGACCGAGCGCTAGGACAAAGACAATAGCTGCCAATAGCCAACTCATCTTGCTCAACACGAGAACGCGTAGACCGGATACCGCTGAATGTTGATCGTGTTGTTGACCCGGAGAGGAATGAATGTTAGAAGGCTTCGCATGAGCATTCACGTTCATCTTTGACAAACTGTAGGCTTACCAGCCCATATAACATACTGGGAGATATTTATTATCGCCTGGGCAGTGATGGCTTTTGTACAGCTAGGTAGTTTGAACTTGATGTTAGCCCAAGTTTTGCTAGTAGATGACCCCATCGTACGTCTTTAGGGCATAGCGGAAGTTAGTATGAACACCACAAGTTTAAGATATCGTATGTGTTGCGTACCTTGTCTGACATAGGCGCGTACGTCGCTGCGCTGAGGGCGTAGCTCAGCAATGCTAGGTAGCGCACCATCAGAAACAACACCGTTGCGCCCGTCGGCTTGCGTCTCCAAAACAACGTGACTTCGCGATCGAATGTGATCAAGTATTCGTACGCAATCATCGCTAGCAGATACGAAGTCTCAGGTCGCTGTAAGTCACTGTCGTTTGAATGGGCACGCACTTGTCCCGACCATCACAAGGCAGGTCTGTGGGAAGCTACGTGAGGGCGAGGCGGTAGCCAGATGAGAGGGTGCTAGTGAGACGAGGTGCGGTAAATCGAGCGTACGCTGACACAAAAATTTGAGCAAGTGCATCTCCGCCTACCGGAGCGGACATGACGAAAGACGCGATACGGGGGCGAGGTTATGAGGTTGTTTGGGTGAAGAGGAGTTGGCGGTCGGAAGATGAGGAGGCTCAGTAGGAAGAGCACGCCGATTGCAGACTGGATGGATGATACCTGGTTAGCTCGAAGTCAACTTTGTATTTGTGCAGCGACAGAAGCTCGTCAGCAGGATTCGTTAAGAAACGAAAAGACGCTTTGAGATTCTGTTGCACTTGACACCATTCGACGGTATTCTCAGAATTAGCGCAAGGTCTGTAGTCGGGATTCAAAGCTTGAACCGGCAGGGGCAACACTGTTGACGAACTCGCAATGAGGATGAAACTGCATCATGGTATCAAAATTGAACTCACAATGGGGATGGAACAGCGTCATGATAGATCAAGTCTCGAGAAGGGGGCCTCTCATGACATCGGCTGTTGTCTGAACGGCGCCATGGTCTACTAGGACCGGTATTTCTGAGCGCGCAATCAAATTATCAGACAAATTCCTGCAGTTCTGTTCGACCGCAAGAACAGAGAAGCATCTGGGCTTCTTCACAGCTTCAGTCGAAGCGCGGACGCCCACATGAACATCCTGCGTGGGGATGAAAACTGATATATACATAAAGGGGTGCTGGACGTCGTCAGAGTCGCAGGCGGGTTGCCCTCAATACTGGATAGTTACGAAGCGAAGCAACGTACTGGGCTAACAAGCAAACGTCGCGCGCCACCAGCACTCACAATCGACTGCGCACTTTGCCACCCTCAGCGTTCAGCGCGTTCCAGAGCGCATTAGCGAGCCCCTCCGGCTGCATCTGCGGTATCTGTGATAACGGCCCGTCATCAGCAGACCGAAACAGACACAACGTCGCACGTATGCGCTTACCAGATGCCCCGCCCCCCGAACACGCTGGTCGGACGCGTATTTGCCCTGCGCCCCCTGAGACATGACCGTCTGCTTCAGCTCCTCCGACCTGCGCAACAGCTGGGTAAGCACCCCCGTCATGCGGCAGGCGAGGGCAGGACTTACAACACGGAGTCCACTATCTCGCCCCAGATGAAATGCACAGGCATGGTCGCGCATATGTGCGGGAGGTAGCGGTACGCCTTCGTGCGCCCGAGTCGATCGCGGAAACTAGCCTGTACGCGTCCGACGTTAGTATTGCCCTACTAACTCTGAGTCGTAAGGGACATACCGCTTCCTGCGCTTTCGAGCACGTCAGCGTCACGCCCTCCGTCTTGTCCGGATGCTCCGCCGTCGGCAATTCGCGCAGCCCATGCTCGACATACAGCTTCAGCACGCGCGGATCCCACCTCTTCCACGCCGGCCGGCCGCTGAACTGCGCCCACGCCTCCTCGCGGCTCGGCCACACGTCGCGCCTCTTCTCCGCGCCCTCGAGCAGGGGATTGCGCGGGCTCCCAGCGACGATGTCGATAGTTGCCGGCAGGATCATCGGGTCGACGAGGATGGTGGCGACAAAGGGGAGTGCGGGCTGGTACGTCTGCGAGAGGATTCTTCGGGGCATCGGGGTGTTCAAACCTCCGGTGAGGTGCGCACAACCCTTGGATGGAGGACTCACATTCCGGTCGCGCCCATGGAGTGCCCGACGCCGACTAGCTTGCGTGTGGAGAAGTCGACGTCGACGCCCGTGCCGAGTCCTGCGAGGAGGACGTGCACGGCACGGGCGTACTCTTCCCAAGGGACTTGCGACGATGCCCTTCGTATGAGCGCAGCCAGTAGGATGAATATGGGGGAGGACATACAAATGGGAACATATCCCCACTGCAGCGTCTTCTCGTTCAGCTTCGCGGCCTCGCCGTGGTTGGGCGCGTCTATGCACCACGCGTCGCGTATCTTTACCTTCCCAGAGCCACGCAGGAGAGCGAAGAGGTGTTCTAGAGTGGGTTCGAAGTGCTCCTTGTGGTAGCCCGTCGCGTGCGCGAAGACGAGCGTGAGTGCCTCCGGATCGTCGCGCGCGCAATCAGAGGACCAGTACTGGCGAGCGGTGACGAAAAGCGGGAAAGCAGGGCGAGGATCTAGCACATACGACTTGTTCTCCATAGCGGTTCTGTAGCCGTGCGGGAGAGCTAAGGAGACAGGGGCACCAGACGTGGATGGGCGTAGAGGTTTAAATCAAGAGCCTCGGCGAGCTGCATAAGCCGGGCCGTGTGGTCACTTGTTATAGCGATAGTTCTTGTCCCTGAGCGCACTGAGGCAGTTCACGTATCGCACCATAGCGAGAGCGATAGGCAGACATGAACAGGAAACAGTTTGAACGCGGTTGAGAGGAAGATTTTGGGAAGAGGGAAGAAGCGGAGTGAGTGCGCGGTGCCGGGACCATAATTGAATAGGCGCTCAAACTCAAGCTCAACCGTGACATCTCCGAGTCTGAACCTGTCTGAACACACTCGAACGCAAATTTTGTCCCTCGCTCTCACCCAGTGCTGCTCCTTGAGCGTTTCGAAACGTAGGACGGGCAATAAAACGACAGCTGCTGGAAACGACAGCAATGCCATACCGAAGCATCAGGGCAAATCTGACGCGGGGTTAGGGGCTCGCGCGCTGGACTCCGTGCGAATCGGATTTCTGCGCTCGCTCACTCTGCCGCCGCGTCTTTCCCTCTCGCTGCGACCGTCCAAGACGTCCGGGTGTGTCTCGCGCTGCGTCTCCGGAGCAACGATCTTGCCGCCTGCCCTGTGCTGCTGTCTGCTCGTCTGCCGCCGTCCCCGCTTCTTTCCTGCCCTCCCTCGTTCGCTCCCGTGCTGTCCGCTGTGCATCTCGCAGCATCATCCACACACACTTGCCCGATCTTATCCCGCCGTCCTCTGCGCCAGAACTCAGTCACACGAACAGACAGCTGGCATTTATTGTGCTGTAATGATCCAAACCCGCTCGTCCCGGCTCATGATTCTCACCAGACACTCGACAGGCATGCTACACGCCCCATACAAAAGAGCATGCCGCCCGCGCTCGTTCTGCGCCCGCCATTCGACCTGCATCGTCGCAAACGACGCCCACTAATGTCCCACCGTGCTCATGCTGTCACTGGCACATACGAGACTCATCAGGAATCGTACACAGCGCTTCGATCTCGAATCTGACAAACCCATCAGCCGGTCCGACACGATCTGCGCCCGCAATGCCCGGGCAGGCGTCTGCTATGGGTGGCCTGCGGACGCTTCGTGCCGTCTGCACACGTCGATGGCCGCTGCAAGAACGACATCGGCACCTTGTGCGAGCTCGAATGCCAACGCCTGCGCACTGACGAAAGCGCCGCACGCGTCCCGGGCCTGGAATCCCGCCCACGGGATGGCGACCTCCGGCCAAGCTCCAGCAGCGACCCAGCGATGTGCCGAGTACCTGCGCGCGCCATTTAACGATGAATCGATGCATGGCTGCATGCACCGTCGTCTGGTGCGTTTTGAGCTTGCACCCTGACGAAACGCGCTGACGGTGTCGGTTTTTCAGCCCTGCCGCGCGTAGAAATGCCATTCGCACACGCTATATGCATCACCTCGGTATGCACTGCTACGAGTAGGCTCGTATGGCCCATGTTGACCACCCACGACAATTCCAAGGCCGTACGACGACGCCAGCCGCGGGCACACCGCGCCGTCCTCATGGCCGAGCCGCCGACACGACGTGCCCCCGCGCTTCGACAGCGCCCTCGGGCCACTGGCAATCGAACCTCAAGTCGTGTACGACCCTCACGGCATACACCCGCACCATTTCCGCGCCATCCGAGGAGATGGAAAAACTCGTCATATTCGCAGGCCCCAGCCCATACTCTCCCTTCCCGCCACCGCCCCGCGGCCGTCCCGCCTCCTACAGCCCCGAAACTCAGTACGCACACGACGATACACCCCCACGACCCGCGCCACCGCTCAGAATGCCCGCGCGCCGCCCCGTTCGCCCCAGACAGCCTGACGCATCCCCGCCCCACACCATATCGTCGCCCTAGCGCGCCAACGACGCCCCGTGAGCCGCTCAAACCGCGACCGACAGCTCCACTCACCTGGACGTACGTACACGCCCAGTTGCGCGGCGATCGGCGCACAAAAAATCCGCGTCGCCGCGGCCAATTTCATGAGCGCCCGCCTGGACCCGGTCGTGCTACGCCCGCCCTGCGCGCGTCCCGCCCACCAGCGCCTCGCGGTTTTACCGGCACGGTCGTAGGCATGTCCTGCGGCGGCACCTGCGTTCGCAGAGGCGTCTGCCGAGTTTGTGTCTGGACGACCGAGCGGGAATTTCGGCCGTTTGGGGGGGGGGCAGACGCGACGCACTCGCGCAAGACGCGCCGTTGCGCGAGGGGCGGTGGCTGCTGCTGCGCCGTGCTCCCCCTTGCTCCCCCGTCGTCGTCGCAGGTTGTGGGCCGAAGCTATGGGGGAGGAGGCAGAGTGGTGAGTTCGGGGATCTGGCGTGCGCGCACGGGGGATCTGCTCACCTTGTGAGTTAGCAGCAGCAGCAGCGCGACAGACGAGCCACGGCAAGACCAGACGGGAGGCCAGACAGCGAGGGGCGACGACGAGAGCGGGGCACGGCGGTCAGACCCCCGCCGACGCCTGCCTTTAATACACAGACCGCGCACGCACGGGCCACCGCCGCGCCGCGCCCGTGTACACAACCCCACGTCTCGCCCGTCGCAAGCGTCGGCTGCGTCTCCGCGTCTCCGCGCCAAGTTCCGTCCATGCCGCATCCCCGGGGTGACCCACGGTCCGTGTCTCGCCAGTGCAAACATATTGTGATTACTCACTCCCGTCCATCAGCCGTCCCTTGCGTCCTGCGCACCGCGCGTTCCCCACAAAGACGGCGACACGGCGCTCGCCGGCCGCCGACTGGATACGATCCTGCGACATATGTGTCCTTGCGCCGCGTGAGATGCGTCCCAGATCGACGGGACAGCCCGCTCGGGTGCAATCTCGTCGCGGCCACGCGGCCTTGCCGCCTTACGCCGGGACGAGCGCATCGGCGGGCGGAGGGACGGTCTCCAGCCGCGCGGACTGTCGTCCCCTACTCGAATGAATTCTTTTCAAAACGTCGGTGGCTGTTATGCACGCCTGAGGCAACACAACACGCGCGGCTGGAGGGAGGGAGAGCCGTGCACGGAGCGAGTGGAACACGCAGAACATCGCAGGGTACGACCCCGGCGTCGACAGGCCCGCCGCGGATAGCACCACGACGTGCGTACACAATGCAGAGCAGTCCGCTCGCACGTATACGAGGACGCCGTCGTGCTCACACACGTCTAGACACCAGTTCGGTGCGTCGCCGCCGCAGACAAACGGTGCGCCGTATGACTTTGGCGCGGCGTTCATGCCTGGCAGCTCACCCAGGCCAGCGGCCCTGCGCCCGCACCCAGACTCGCCACTGCCCTTGCACATCACGCCGCCGGCCCTCGTGAGCACCGCAACGAGCAGTATTGAGCTGAGGCGCGTGCATGCAGCGCGGAAGGTGTGCCGCGGCGCCATTCGCATCGTCTCCGGCGATATCATGTGCTTCCCTCGCCGAGCCTCGTCTCCCACCCCGCCCGCGCCGCGTCCTTCGGCATACGAAAATGTGCGACACACCCCGACATCGGCGCGTCGCGTCCAAGTGCGTGGGGACGACGCGGAGGTCGGCTCGTGCGCAAGATCCGGGCGGACGGCAGACAACGGGGACCCGCAGATACGACGGCGTGGACGCCCCTCCTTGCGGCGTAGACGGCGCGTAAATGCACGGCGCACTGTTCTGCGTGTGCGGCTGGCCGTAGAGATGCGCCCGGCGCGTAGAGGGCCTTTGGTCGAGGCGTTCTTTGACCGGCGGCCCACATGCACACCCAAAATCGACTTTCAGGCGTCCGCATCGCGCCGTGGAGGCTCTCAATCACGATCCCGCATGTCTTTGCACCAAAAGCGATGTACTACGTGCAGTTTCGGCGTGATACGAGCAGACAAGTCCTTGCTGCCATCGGTTGATTTCATGTGCATTTGCAATGAATCTCAGTTTCTGTGCCTCTCGTCCTTCGTACGCCGCCTCCCTTGTCTACCTGCGTTTCCCTGTCGACTGGCGGACTGCCCACGGACACTCCAGCCGCGGCACGGTTCCCCAGCACCCTCGGAACGACGCGTATGCTTGTTGCGAATATACGCGAGGTACATCATTCGCCTCGCTCAGCGTTGCACTCGATGGCCGGAGCTCACAGATCGCACACGACCCTGCAGCCCACGACAACATCTTCAGGCCGCTCTCCCGCCTGCGCTCGCCGTGGTGGGTGTCGTGGAACCCATCCGTTCGCGATCGCCAAGCAGTTCTACGTCTGCGGGCCCCCGCCCGTGCACAGAATCGGCTCTCGCGAGTGCACATCGCACCCCGGGGGCCCGGAGCACCGATATCGCACACACATGCACCACAACGGGTGTGCTATGCGGAGGGTCGGTGCGATACGGGCACGACAAATTGGGCATCAGCAGGGGATTTCATGTGTGTTTAGTTTGAAACACGAATTCCGGCCCATCTGCGCGACGGGCGACCACATCCTTCTACGTGCGCGCTCCTGCGAGCACCCTCGACACGCCTGAGGGGTATCCGTGTGCGTCTGGACGGTTTGAATAAATTTCGGCAGGATTCCTTGCGATATGGGCGGCATGCGGGCGGATTGGCCGTCTGCCGCAAGCTCCGGGGCATCGTGGGGGCGCCGGAATGGGGTGTCCTCATCTCCGAAGTGTCACGCACGCGGCATGGCATGAGTTGCGAATGTGTGAGGTACGTGGCTTGCCTCGTAGCGTTGGCGGTCGGGACTCTGATCTGACACCATTCTCACACAGCACTGCTCCCCAAGCCCGTCCCACGCGGGGTTTCTCTCGTCTCCTGCCCGCATTTTGTGGGGGGTTTGGGCGGGAGATAGTGCAGCGGACACGGGCAGAGTCATGGCGGTGGACGACGTCTCGCGAGCTCGGGGCGCGTGCATGCGGGGATGCTTCGGACAAATTGGTTCTCGCTCTGTGGGCCTCCTCTCGCGCGTGTACCTTCGGGAAGCGGCAGCGGCACCCACCGCATCTCCGTCTCTGCGGCGTGTGTCCGTGTGTGCGCCGCGGCCCTGCGCCCTCGCCTCCGAGTCTCGCACCCCCCAAGCCTTCCCCGCACCGTGACGACGCGAGGGCGGACACAGCACACCCGCGCCGCGTCGCCGATGCCGTCTTCGCGCCCAGGGCTTTGGTCCCGAGTTGTTGGGGTGGGGCGGCGCTGTGGTTGCGCGCCTTGGCCTGGCATGCGCGATGCGCGTCGTTGGCGTGTCGAGACGCGGGCGAGCGTGGAGGGCGGTCGAGCGGCGGGTGAGTGCCCGAGTCCTGAGTGGTAGAGGTCAATAATTGACTGGCTCGTGCTCGTAGGAGATACTCCGGCCCCGCCTCCTTCAACACTTCGAGAGCAGAGGACAACACGTCCAAGGACTGAGTGAGAACGACGCTCGAAACCCCGAGTGGCCAATGCTGTAAACTGACGGGATGGGGTTCGTAATAGCGGGCTGCTCGGGCAGGGAGTGACACTCGCGTCCCCTCTGCCGCTCGAGGCAGAGACTCGCCAAGGCCAGAGCAAGCTACTTCCAGGGGTGGAGCGGGAATGCGCCGCTCACGGCCTTCGCGTACACCGGCAAGCGCGATGTAGCACGCTGTTCGCGGGGCGCCGTCGCATCGACTCTGCCCCGGCAATGTCGTCGAGCAACGGGGCGCAAATGTCGCCTGCGCCGTCTCGCGTCGATGTCTCGCTTGTTAGGCCGCCGCACACCCCGTCACCGCCGTCTCCAAGTCAGTCCCAGGCCCCGGACGCGACGCGCACGCATCCGTCTCCCGAGGCGGCGGGAGGCACTCGAGCACTCGCCCGGGCGTCCTGTACGTGTACGTGCACGTCCCTCTGCACGTCCTGCATCTCCTACACACAATACACCCCCGCCCTTCCCTCGCAGCGCGCGTCTTCGGCCGCAGGACAGACAGGCCCTCCCCCATGCGTGCGGGACGCGCAGATCTCGCGTCGAGAGACCGAGACCGAGACCGAGACCGAGACGGCGGGCACCGACGCGCGCGGAAGTGTTTCGGCGGACGCGGATAGCGTAGTGCGTTGCGAGGGAATGCACCCGCTGCGTCCCTGGGCGCGCGTCGATGGCTGCGCGCCGCGTACAAGGCGGGGCGGCCCCCTTGCGCAGGCGTGTGCCGCCTGGTTCGACGCACGGCGTGGGCACTGGGTGTGTAGGTTCGGGCGGGTAGTAGTATCTAGACGGACGTTCGAGGGCAAATACTGTATTTTGGGAGACAATTTTGTAATGTACATGAAGAGTCGAAATACACATCGTAGACGTGCGAATGTGGCCCTTCCTGACGCGGAGTAGATCGCGAGCTCGCCGTGTGGCCGTCGTGTGCGTCCAACGACCCTCGCGAGCACCCGATAGGGCCGTACTTGGCCGTTACGAATGCGAGTAGCCGGAAATCTTGTGCATTCTGGGCGATGCAGGCTTCTGGCGGCGCAGAAGCACGGTGAAACGGTTTGGGCATCTCTCCGAATGCACCCGGGATCCCCAAAAATCGTAGACTGGGCTCGCTTGCATCGCTCGCCATCGTTGGGGACGACCGTGGCCCTGGACGATGTGCATCAATATCGCTTCCGGAGAGTGGCAGGCTATGGTCTCGTACCTTCTCCCGATACAGCGCGCCGGCCTCGCGTAATGACATCCAGACCGCGGAACTGTGCGCAACGCAGAGTATTCGCTCGCGTGCGTGAGATACAGAAGCTTTCGGCCCTGTGTGGACGTGCGCGATGTCGATCCACGAAGGCGGCCGTACTCAACGGAAGAAGGGTCTCCGCTCGTTTCGAGCTTGAAAGCGGACACACAATTGCGCCGTTCGCGATACAAGTATTTACGACGCGGTGGCGGCGCCGTGTGCACAGAACAGATATTGATTGTATCATGGCGGCGCCGGCCCGACTCGCGTATTCTGGGATTTGCGAGCATCTGGTAATGCGGACGATTAGCGGACGGGATAGTGGGCCGTGTACGTACCTCCGAAATTACCTAGGCTCGCCCCTGCGCGTTTATCGAGCTCGCTTGCGCCTGTCGTCATCGCGGAGAACGCCCGCGGACCTGCTGGACACATATTCAGTTCGCTTCCGAAGAGCTGGTAAGCAGCGATGGCGTACCTGTTACACAGACGAAATGGCGATTCCGCATCATGACGTCCAGACCGTGGTGCTGTTCGCCGCGCCGCACGGTACAGGTTATGTGCCGGTGTGTATTGAACTCGGGAGTCCACGGCTTGAGTCTGGCTGATTTATGGAGTGGCTTGGTCTATCCACAGAGGACATACTGAAAGGAACACTAGTTCAGAACTCGAGCAGCTTGGCCGTAAGCGGCTGCCGAGTATAGACGATGACCTTACACACCGGCTGCCTCTCAGCGTACACAAATGGCCGTCCTACATGGTCTCCAAGACGCCGAAGAAGACGTCAAGCGAGACTTCCCGAGGCCGCCGCGCACATTTGAATATTCTGCCGTCATTGCGACCAGATACACCACGGCGATTAGGCCCTATTCACGAAACCGGAAAAGATATTTGAAACTCACGGGTGGGCGGCGCTCTCCGATGCTTCGGGCAGACGATAGCCCAGCCTCCCGGACCGTGTTGGGCTCGTACTTGTGCTATGCCCGCTGTCGAGGCCCATGCTGGGAAACAACCTTTTGTAGAGTGCGTACCTGCGCGCCCGGCAAACTATCGCTCAGGAAAGTCAGTCTAAAGCTCTCAAGAAGCCATCGAAATGTGTACAAACTCACCCACGAGGGGACGGGAGGCCAACAGCCCACGAGAAAGGACTCCCTCGTTTAGGTTCCGGGCCGCTCGTTATCGCACGCGAAGGCTAATCCAGAGGGCTGTTCACGATGGTTCTCGCTCGGACCCTGCAAGTGTGGAAGCGAGGCTCGTTTAGCTATCGAGATGCGAAGGTACACACTAAATCGCACCTCCTGCCGAGACCAGACGGGTTTCCTACGCCACCGTATCGAGATTCGCGCTTGATGTGCAGACTCCGCGGGGAACGTAGGCTTCACGAATTACGAGAAGGTTCCATGGAACCGCCCCACGGCGGACTGATGTACAAGGGCTCGTAGTCGATCTACGAAGTCTTGCAAGAGGACGACGTCAGTCTGGAGCGGTAATCGCGATACACAAGCAGACGCACCGCACCGCGAGAGCATTCGCAGGCACACACAAAGACCACATGCACCGACACGCCGTAACGCGTGCGTAACTCCGTGATCGAAGATTTCGATTCCCGGGAAGCAAGGCTTCCCTGCGATGGCGCGCGCGCATTGAATATTCGGCCAGAGCTGTCGCGAGAGACGGTAGACCTAGGCGCGGAGATCAGTACGAATTAGGAGGCCCAACTTGAATTGATAGTAAACAAGCCTGTGGACACTGATTCGTCAATTCCGTTGGAAACCGGCTGCTCAACGCACAGCAGCCCTCGTAAATGATATTCATATCATACACAACGCTGTCTTCAGGCTCGTATCTGTGTGCGTGAGCTGCAGCGATCCTAGCCCGTACGTGCAAGCGTCCAACAGTGCCATTAATTCACGGCGATGACAGTACTCGAAGGAAGTGCGTAAGCAAATCGTTCGAAACCCAAAACTCGGACGCAGATAGCTACCAGGAAGGGAACAGCCGCGTGAACCGAGCGCGTCGTATCGTGGAGATGCCGCGGGATCCGTATATCCTAGGAGTTACAGGCTTCTGGCAACGCGGAAGATTGGCGAAAGTACAGGGCGGCGCACGTACCTCTGGGTCATCCAAGACCGTGTATCAGCCCCGCCGCTTGAACCTGCTCCGGAGGAGATGGACCGTGACCCTGAAGAATACGAAGTCAATTCGCTACCGAACTTCTGGGAGGCTGTAACGGCATACCTCCTACGGAGAAAGATTCGTGTCCTCGCTTGAGGACGCCCCGCCGCCCGGCCGTCATGCTGCTCGTAAAGTGCTGCTCGTGAAGCACAGGCCGAGCGCACGCTCTATGGCCTCGACTGTGGGTGCTGCTCGACGACGAGTTGGTATAGTTGGTTAACAGAGGGCATGGTGAACGGAAGACTCGCCGACTCAATTCGAAACCTTCGCCGACGGAACCATACACGGTGCAAGCGTCTGCGCCGGCGAGTAGACCGATCTCTCTAGCGTGCACTGAACACCTAAGATCACGGAAGAATGCCCGTCATAAGCGGTCGCCAGAACGCCCAAGCAGGCGTGGATAGTGACCACACGGCGACGTCGCGGAACCGCGTACTCTCCTATCATCGCAGCGGATACCATGCGCTACTCATAGGAACGAAACGTGGTGCGAGAACTCACCTGTGAGCCGCACCCAGAGCCGCTTCAGCAGGTCATAATTCTGTCTCACTTCTGTCTGCTATCGAGAGGTCTCCGAACTGAGGGGACTCGATTTACGATCGCACATCGCAGACGGCAGGCTATGATCACTGCAGAGCAAGCGTACAGGAAAGTCAGCATATCTGGACGTCACTCAGATCTGCACGAGTACCCACGAACGAATCGGAGATGGTCACATGGAGACTGACATTTGGGGCAGTACGCGATCACTCTCACCACCCTGCAAGTATTATCAGCGATAGGCTCATCCAGCCGACGAGAAGACATCGAAACACACCTCCTGCCGGGGCTGGGCGCGTTTCTTACGACACCATATCGAGATTTGAGCGGGTGACAGCCTCTGGGCGTGAATCTTGGCTGCACGAGCTACGGAGGCCTGTACTAAGCTTTCAAAGGGCAGACTATGTATCATGTGGGCCCATGTGCGATGTACAAAGACATGCTAGAGGAAATCAACGGCATTCAAATGCGAGCTTCTCTCAGAGACGATAGACAGAACCGCACCGCGAGAGCTCCCCAGGCACGCACCCTGGCCGCCACATGCGCCGCAACGCGAGCGCAGTCCGAACAATTTCGGTCTCCAACGAGCCCCGAGAAGCTTGGCACAGAAATTTCCCGCGTTGCGAGCGCATTGGATATTTGGCCGGCGTCGTTTCTACCGATGCAGGTGTCAGCTCTGGACATGAAGATCAACAAGGGGGAGCCTACCTGTGGCGAGTTTAGCGGCGGATCCGACATCCCAACGCACAGGATCCCTAGCATATGTTTTTATTGCCTTCCAGCCCTCAAACCGTCTGCCATATACTAGATACGCAGCCCGCCGCGAAGATGCACATTTGCGTCCCTTACGTGCGCAGTGTCGTATCTCCAATAGATCTTGCGGAGGGGTCGTCGAGTGCACTTGCGTACCCACAGAGCAAGTCGAATGGAGTCGGCGAGGCGTGTCGCGCAGGCGTCGCGGAGGGCCGGGCGCGCGAGACGGGCCGGAGTACGCGAGCGTGTACGCAGACGTGCGGACTACGGGTCTCCGTTGATTCTGGTGCACGGGAACAGGCATATACGAGCGGTGGCGGCGGCGGTGGCAGGGCTTGAACTGCCTCACGAAGGTCATACCATCAATGTGGGCTATTCCGTGAGGACGGACTAGGCGTGCAGGCGCAGCTAAGCATCAGGGGCGATCAATAGGCAACACCCGCCGTGAGATCATGGTGGGTACACGTACCAACGTCGCACACTGCCTCGATTCCTATGCAGTCCACGCGGATGGTTGAAGCGGTATCGGAGATCTGGCTTCAAAGCTCTCCTAGCCGTACGAACTACAAGCGATGGTACACGCTGAGAGGCGAGATCCCGGCGCGCGGAGAGTTTGGGAAGCTACGGGCTGTGGCAGGGCGGAAAGAATCGCAATTAGCGGAGCGGCTAAGACGTGAAACCATGCGTGAAATGGCGTACCTGCCGGCAGTCCTACAATTTCCGGGGCCATGGTTCGGACGGCACATCGCGAGCGTGGCTGGTGCAAGGTGAGGACCGCCGCGCGAGGCCATTATGAGAATGGACGGGTTCGCAAGTGCTGCAAGATGTCGACTCGGAGTCCCGACGTGCATGCACCAAATTGGAGATACGGGCGCGGACGAGGTGTTCCCTCCTTACTCGATGCTATTTTTCAAACCGTCAAGCGGATATGTAGCTGTCCGACGCGCGAAAGGTGCCAGCCTAGACTCTAGGCCATCGCTTGGAATGGCGGCTTTTCTCAAACACGTGGAGCAGTTACGAAGGGTTTTACTCGCACTCCGGTGCGGCGCCTGCGCCTATGCGCGAGTGCTCTGCTAATGTAGTCAGCACACTGACTCGCAGGATTCGGTAGCAGACTCGCCTACGTCGAGTCGTGCCTGGGGCAAAATCCGCCCACGCCATCTGGGCGTAACGGCTGCGGACGACCGTTGTGACACGCCGTACGTAGCGAGCTCTCTCCCGCAGAGAAACAGGCGGCGCGGCCTGGCAAGCCAACCCTACCCGAGATCGAGTGACCGCCGTGCGCCTACCCGTTCCGGCCGTTTCCGCTCTTTTATATGGACTGTTTGCGAGACGTCAGCCTTCTCCTTCGCACATCTCGCCCCACACTCACCGTCGCTCCCCATGTCAACGCACTACAACCCCATCTTCATCGACGCTACTCCGACGCTCCGCGAGGACGATCGTCCCCCGCCGACTCATCGTACTCGACTTCGACATGAGATTTCGGGCTTCCTGGTCGGGAAACTTCGTGAGTAACGGTCCGTCATACGCCGTACACGAGAAGCTCACCATGTACAGGCGAGGTGTCTGGCAACGAGGATGCGCAGATGCACTACGCCGCGAAGTCCTACGCCAGCGAGACCGTAGTCAGAGACCGCTGCAAGATCCTGGGGTGGCCAGAGGACATACCGTTCAAGCCCCTCAGTGAGATCCGCGGCGGCGTCGGCCCGCTCCTCGAGCTCCGCCGGCGCTGGAACCTCCCGGACGGCCACAAGCACAAGCTCCGTATCGAGCGCGCGACGCACGAGGACGCCTTGGCCGCCGCGCGCGACCACACCAGCGTCCATCCGAACCCGTTCCAGCTCGAGCAGGAGCGGAAGGAGGCGGCGCGCCGTGCGAACTTGAAGGCCGCAGCGAACACGATGTTCGTCGCGTCGTACACATGGCACCCTAGCGACCTCCGCTTCTTCGGCATCGAGCTCACCACCACGCAGCCAGTCGGGAAGCGCAAGCGGAGCCAGAGGGTGGACACGTGCAAGCGGCGCGCGAGGGCGTCGGACACCTCGCACCAGGTGCGCAAGAGGCTGCCGATGCGGGGCATCACGAGCATGCGGTATGTGATACCTGGGCTGGACGGGGCGAGCGGCGGTGGTGACGGGAGGGCGGCGAAGAGGGCGCGGCTGGAGGACTGCCCTGTGGACGACCCTATCACGGAGTTTGAGCTGTCGACCGAGTTTGGCGGGCGGCTCTCCATCCACTAGGTGTCCGAGTCGAGCTAGGGTGGTACATCGATCTATGCGTTGTTTCGTTACATTACAATTCACTAGTTATCAGTCTTCGAGCTCGAGCAGAGGGCACGGCGTGATGACGGGAGCTCGACGATAGTGGTGGACGTCGAGAAGAGAGACGCTCTCGAGCCGCGGGGAGGCGTCGGGCGCTCTGAATGGCACTGCTTTCCTAATATGGCACACTTCGTTAGATCGCCGCAAACGTCCTCGCGCCGCTCTCTATCGATTTCGCATCTGCGCCGCATATCGAGCCTAGACATGCGCGTACCCTGAGCTGGGCGTGGAACGTGGAGAAACGGGCATGTCCCTTGGCGGACTGCGGGCGTGATCGGGATGGGCGTAGACGTCTAGCAACCGTATCGCCGACACTCGAGCAGGGACAAACGGCAGCTCGGAGACGCCAGAAAAATACACGGTGCGCGGAGAAGATTGGCGCGCTTGGTGCAGGTTGGATACTGCCGAGGGGGACAAATATAACACCCAATATGGGCCAATCATTCAGACAGAATCAGCCAAGGAAGAGGGCGGGATGAGCAGGAGATCTGCCCATCCCAGCCAATTTCTGTGGCTGGTTCTGTCTACTAGTGTGCTGTGGACAGAGCGACTGAGCAAGTGAGTGAGTCAGAAAACGTGAGCATCCCTGAGGAAGCCGTGGCAGGCAATCGGGTGCAGGACCCTGAAGTGAGCGAACTCAGTCTGGATTCCCAGCATCAGCACCCCTCACACCGGGCTGTTAGATTGGGAAACCTATTACGTGCTAAGTACAGGAAGATGCCGGTCGCACCATCCACGGTTCGCTTGTGCGGAGCCGTGGATGGCCTTCTCTACCGCCCTGGAACAGCCATGCCTGGGCCTTCGCCCTCACCTTCACCCACCGCCCACATTCCCACTCCTTCCCTCCCTCCCCTTTCCATCTGCCGCTTGAGCACATCATACGCACCGCCGCCGTTCATGCGGACGAGGGGTGAGCCTGGATAGGTGAGTACAGCACTCCCAGGCCATCTGCAGCAGTACTCACTGAATTTCGCCGTGCAGCTCGCAGATGGCAGCGTGCGCGGTGATCCTCGCAAGGAACAGCGTCGGCAAGGGATGTGTGCCGCCAGCTGGGGCACAAGGGTGCATTCCTGTGAGTTCAGCCCAGATTGGCAGTGAACGAGACGAGCGGGGCGCTGATACAGAGCTTCATCGGGCAGACAGATGGGAGGCAGCGCAAGCAGTAGCACAGGACGTCGGCGCGCGCCGCAGGCCCTGGCAGATAGAAGATAGCAGTGGGCGCGGGGCACGAGGAGGACGGCGGGCCGGGTGGTTGCGGACGGTCCGACGGGAGGCCGACTGACTTTGACGGGACTAGGACAGCGAAGACAGACTGGCCGTGGTGAGTTGAAGTTCTTCTAAGCATGATCTACACGACTTACCTGCTCGTCGAACTTCGTATCGGCTCGCAGATAGCCACACGCAGCTGCAGCACGAGCATGCGGGCCATGCGATCATGCAGACGGCCAGTTGCCCGTATGACTTACTTGCTCGTCGAACTTCGTATCGGCTCGCAGATGGCCGCGCGCCGCCACGGCGCGAGCCCGCGTCGTCGAGGCAGATGTTCATGGGAGACCACTGGCTGGAGACACGAGAAAATGCACCCGCGGGACGCCCAGATGGAGCACTGGCAAGCTCGAATTCAAAAGCACACATCTCGAACAGGTGAGCATCGAAGGCTTAGATTTGCAACTTGGACTCACTCGAGCACCGCAGGTCGGAGGCACGGCACGCGATCCCGTGCACACGGAAACGGCAGCAACCACGCGAGCAAAAGGACGCCCGGCGGCACGCACAAGGCGCGGGAGCATTCGTGCGAATCTAAAAATCGTCTAGGTAAGCCCCAGAGTCGTTCTCGCGTGTTTCCTGTTGCTGAAACGGATGCCGCAGGTGGCCGAAGAGAGTACGCGAGCGCCAGCGTGAGCATCCCAGGAGAAGAGTCGGCGCGCGCGAGGCGGGCGGGCGTTGTGCGCAGGTCAATTCGCGCAGTCGCGGGCTCGCGGGCTCGCGGGAGAGGCAGAGAAGACAGCGTAGAATTGGCACTAGTGCAAGTGAGTTCAGGATATGTCCACGAGAGCCAAAGACGAGGTTCCTGACAGTTTCGCCATAAGGCCGCGCGAGTTCGCAGACGCCGGCGCGCGAGATTCCGGGCAAGACGGGTGGAGACAGTGCACAAGTACCACTGGCAGCGCGAGTGAGTTCTGTAGACGTTCACGAGACCGATATACGAGAGCTCTTACATTTTCGCCCTCAGGATCCTAAGACGAGGCCTCCCGAGTAAGGCGGAAGGCGCGAGCTCGAACACCCAGGTCCCAGGGCAAGATTGCCGGTAGCCACGCGAGTTCGCAGACGCCGGCGCGCGACGGGAGAGTCGGACAAGGCGGGGGCGTGTCGCACAGCACAAGTACCAGGGCGAGTGAGTTCTGGACAAGTCCTCGAGAGCGATTGACGAGAGCCCTTACAATTTCGTCCTCAGGTAGCACAGAAGAGGCACCCCGAGATGCCGCGCGAACTCGAGTACTCCAGGACAAAGCCACATAAGTTCGCAGACGCCGGCGCGCGAAGAGAGACTGTGCACGAAGGTTCCAGCGCGCGAATGGCGACACAAGTGAGTCCAGACTCAGTTCACGAGTACGAGACTATCTGACAGCACCAAAGACCATAGACGAAGCCGAAGCCGCACTCAAGAACACGCAAGGCGGACGCGGGGAGTCGGAGATGGCGGCGGTGTGGGTGCAAGCCGAGAGGCGGTTAGCGAGGTTGTGGGCGCGGAGATGGATGCGGGCGCCTCTGGGTGCGCGGGCGAGGTGCATGTCCGAATTTCTTGCTGCAAACGCAGAGATTTTCCCTGTCGCGATAGCGTCGAGCAGAAGAGCTGTAGTGCTCGTTTAGAGCGCATATAGTCAGGTTCTGCCCGAGTGCACGCGTTCTGCACGCCCCGTTCGAGTGTCCTCAGCGTCCCGTGAAGATGTCCCCCTCCAGACGTCCCCCTACAGACCGCCTCCGTCGAAATGCCTGTCTGGTGTTCGTCCGGAGTCCGTAGATATTCGCCTGGCAGTTTCTCGCCTCGCAGTCGAGACGCGGTGTCGTGACACGACGCGCGCCGCCGATGACCAATATTACGGTAGGATGGACACTGAAGAGGAACTCACCATGAGGGTAGAGCAGCGTAACATCATCGAGAAGGTAGCAGCTCGACGTCAGCCTTGGTTTACGGAGGCCATGACCTTCCACAATACCAGAGCGCGCAATCAGGTTCTCAGACACAGGTACATTGAGTTCTGTCCAACTACGAAGATGGAGAGACATCTGTGCTTCTTCACAGCCTCAGTCAAAGCCCGGACTCCCTCGTGAGCTATCGTCGAAACACTTTGGGTAAAATAGGCAATAAAAGAAAATCCAAACTTTGTATACACCGATGCGGCCGTCGCCAGGATGGCTGAGGTTTCGCTCCACCCTGAGACACTCACGAAGCAGAGAAATCCCACACTGGAAGGCAGTCGACCAGCATTCACAGTCTACTGCGTGCATAGCCGTGCGTGCCGTCTGCCGCCCTGACACTCTCAGCATTCAGCGCGTTCCAGAGTGCGTTAGCAAGCCCCTCCGGCTGCATCTGCGGTATCTGTGATAACGGCCTATTATCAGCAGACCGAAACAGACACCACGTCGCACGTATGCGCTTACCAGATGCCCTGCCCCCCGAACACGCTGGTCGGACACATGTTTGCCCTGCGCCCCCTGAGACATGACCGTCTGCTTGAGCTCCTCCGACCTGCGCAACAGCTGGATCAAGATCCCCTCGTCATGCGACGGCTGTAGACACGACTTACAGGACGGAGTCCACAATCTCGCCCCAGATAAAATGCACAGGCATGGTGGCGGATATGTGCGGGAGGTAGCGGTACGCCTTCGTGCGCCCGAGCCGATCGCGGAAACTAGCCTGTACGCGTCCGACATTGGTATTGCTCTACTAACTCTGAGTCGTAAGGGACATACCGCTTCCTGCGCTTTCGAGCACGTCAACGTGACGCCCTCCGTCTTGTCCAGATGGTCTGCCGTCGGCAAGTCGCGCAGCCCATGCTCAACATACAGCTTCAGCACGCGCGGATCCCACCTCTTCCACGCCGGCCGGCCGCTGAACTGCGCCCACGCCTCCTCGCGGCTCGGCCACACGTCGCGCCTCTTCTCCGCGCCCTCGAGCAGGGGATTGCGCGGGCTCCCAGCGACGGTGTCGATAGTTGCCGGCAGGATCATCGGGTCGACGAGGATGGTGGCGACAAAGGGGAGTGCGGGCTGGTACGTCTGCGAGAGGATTCTTCGGGGGTAGCGAGATGCTTAGGACCGTACCCGTCTGCGCGGGACCCGTGTGGAGGGGACTCACATTCCCGTCGCGCCCATGGAGTGCCCGACGCCGACTAGTCTGCGGGTGGAGAAGTCGACGTCGACGCCAGTGCCAAGTCCGGCGAGGAAGACGTGTACGGCACGCGCGTACTCTTCCCAGGGAACTTGAGACGATGCCTTTCGTATGAGCGCAGCCAATAGGATGTGTTAGAGGTTATTCGCAAACTCGATACCCAAAACTCCTTGCGATTTGACTCGCTGAGCCCAAAATCCCTGCGTTTTGGTTGGTTCACAATCGCCCCACTTTGAGATGCGCGTTGCGTTTGCGAATAACCTCTATTGGAAGGAGGACGTACAGACGGGCACATATCCCCATTGCAAAGTCTTCTCGTTCAGCTTCGCGGCCTCGCCGTGGTTGGGCGCGTCGATGCACCACGCGTCGCGTATCTTCGCTTTCCCGGAGCCACGCAAGAGCGCGAAGAGGTGTTCGAGAGTGGGTTCAAAGTGCTCCTTGTGGTAGCCCGTCGCGTGCGCGAAGACGAGGGTGAGCGCGTCTGGGTCGTCGCGCGCGCAATCGGAAGACCAGTATTGGCGAGCAGTGACGAAGAGCGGAAACGCAGGGCGAGGATCGAGCACATACGACTTGCTCTCCATGGCGTTTCTATGGCCGTGCGCGAGAGCTAAGGGACAACTGGCGTGGATGGGTAGGAATTAGGAGGCGAAATCAAGAGCCTCGGCGAGGTGTGTGAGCCGGGCCGTGTGGTCGCTTCTTGTAGCGATAGTTCTTGTCTCTGAGTGCACTGTGACAGTTCAGGTATAGCGCCATGGTGAGAGAGGTGTCCTCAGGAAAGGCAGGAAGCAGCTTAAGCAATATTGAGAGGAAGACTTTGGGAAGAGGGATCAGGAGCAGGACGAACTTGAAGGAGTGCGCTGGGCCAGCTGCTGGGCCGGGACGTACCGGGACGCCATGGTATCATAAGCGCCCAAACTTAAAGCTTAACATCTCCACTCGCGCGCGTACTTTGTCCTTCGATCTCACCCAGTGTTGCTCCTCGAGCGTTTCGAAACGTAGGACGGGCAATAAAACGACAGCTGCTGGAACTGACAGCAATACCATACCGAAGCATCGGGGCAAATCAAAGGACCGACTTTCAAGTTCAAGTTGCTAAGTATGCTTGAAGTCACTGTGCCAGTCTCGCGCGTTCAGAAACAAGAGCATCGCAGAGGCAGAGCATATAGAATTATTATCGGTATGCGGTCTCAGTATTTTTTATCTTTTGGCCATGGGCGACTTACGCGTAGCAGCTATCGCGTCGCGCATACCTTCAGAGACTCAGCGATCATCGATCATCGCCGGCCCTTGCTTTATGCCCTATTCTCAATCTTACGATTTACACCCTTTTTTGCTGATCACTCGCATACACTGAGAATCTAGAACCGGCCATTGTAGCATTTTCTCTTGCTATCGACGACGTTTGCGAACCCGTGCTAGCGACACCGGGCAGACGTCCCGCATAGAAAGCCCCTCAGCGCGACCGCCAACGGACCCTGCGGATTACAAGGTAAATCCGTTATAAACCAATACGCACAGACACTACTCAAGAAGAACTCGTCAGAAGACTGGGACTCATCGGAGGGTGAACGACGCAATACCACGAAGAACAGCGAGGAAGATGCGTACGCTTCCACCGCAAGCGATACTCCTCTTCTTCCCTGGGGATGGGGGTGTCCTGAGTCCGCATCCGTCGCAAGCCTTGCATTCGTCATCACGGTGTTAGCACTGGCACACGTCGGTGCCAGTCCGTTATTGGCGGGAGCCTTGCCCCTCCTTCGCCACGCGCACTGCATATCGTCTTTCCGTCTCTTTCCTCCCTCATTTTGTGTCACGCCCACCTGCATGGATGTACTGTATGATGTACGTGCGTCGGCCTATTTTTTTGCGGCAGCGCTATACGTGGCTGTGGCGATGTTACTTTGCGGACGATTGCACCCAGCCCTTCAGTGCGAGCGTGGACACATACAGTCGGCCTGCTCTCTTCAATCTCCTAGATGGCCTGCGGAACGCCTTCGGAGCGAGGGCCGATTTTGGGTTCCTGTCTGTCTTCGCGAGAGGAACTAGTGCGAGGCCCCGTTCCGAAAGAGCGGCGAGGCGTGTCTCACGCCCGGCGATTGTATGCGCCGTTCCCAGTGGGTGTCACGCACAGGTCCAGGGTCCTAAGCTGACAATTGTCCGTCACCAGGTCAGCCCCACTTCAATACGTACGTACAGTTGCGCCCCCGGGTCCGCTCTACCCAGAGAGGCAGCTCCGAGGATCGCTCGCTCGCAGGCAAGGGTTTTATTTTTCCGACACGAGGCGATCCAAGTACAGCGTGTGCGGGCGCAGCAAATTATCGGGCCGCTTCCTGGGAGAAGGAGTCCTGTATGGAGCATGCGCCCAAGAACATCGGGATGCGCCGGCGCTATATCCACACCGCCAAATAGAAGCACACATCGCGGTGGCGGGCGGGCGCTCTGCGCCACCGTACTCGACTTCGAACTGGTCGACCACATCGACAGGATGGCGAACGCCCAGAGGGCGAGCATTCGTCTGCGACTCCTGCGCCTCTGCGATATGTCTGACAACGATGGCACGGACGCCCTGCAGGACAGCCCCCAGCGAGCCTAGGCTCGGGAGCAGTTGACGTTGCGCCCCAGAAGGCCCAGCGCGACTCCGCGACGCGACCGACGAGCTGCTTCTGCGTGATCCCCGCCGCTCTCTGCCCACAGGCCCCCCGCATGATACTGTACCATTTCGATCAATTCAACAGGGCCTGTGACCGGTGACATGGTTCGACTAATGGACAGGTTCGACGGCGCCGGGCGGACGGTGTGACCGACCGCCACTTTCGACCGATTTGGGCGCGCGTCAGCGCGCCGGAAATTTGGCGCCCGTTTGACCTCCCCGACGGCGGACTTGGTGACCTGTGACACGACCGGAAATTTCGACCGACAGGGGCCTCTGTGACCCGTGACATGTCGAATTGATCGAAATGGTACAGTACTCGGATTTCTGATTATCTCGCCCCCCATCGTGGTAGGCGGCGACCGCCCCTTTTGTTTGTCCCGCCACTCCAGGCCGCCGGCGGTGGCACAGGGCAGCGCGAAGGCGCAGCACGAGCCGCCATCGATACGCCCGTTGAAACTCAGCATGAGAAGACTCCAGCACGCGGCATAAGGGCAGCTGGATTGGGCGAAGCCTTTGTGGAATGCCACGCGGACGGGCGCGACTTCCGTCCCGCTCAGGCCCGGGGTGGGACCCCCAGAGGTATATAAACCGGGCTGCTCGCCCCTCCTCTTCCCCCAGACCTTCACGGTCGACACCCGCCAGCTCAAGTCCCTCCGAGGCCTATAGACAGCGCGTGTCCTTCCCCAAGGCGCGCGCCGCCCTCGTGAGGGCTTGGACGGTAAGTTTACTCGTACCTACGACGGTGGCGTAGTCACTGATCGCTTTCGTCTTCATCTTCCAGAACGCTCAATGCACTCGGTAAGTCGCCGCACCCCCCACGGTGTACGTGCACGGTTACTGACAAGCATCCTTTCCACAGTGTCGCATCCGCCACCAGCGGTCGGCAGCGTACGGCCCACTCTGGCGACGTGGGCAGCTTTGCTCGACTGCATAATCAGTGAGTACCCCGGTGCCTGCCGACGTGCATATTACTAACGCATATTGTTTCAGCCATCCCGCTCGGGACTGGGGCGCTCGACGAACTGTCAGTACCCCTACCCAGTGGGGCCCCAAACCCTCCTCGCGCACGCCACGTCGGGCCCCGACCTCGGGTCCGCGTGAGGGGCGGACGTCTTCATTGACGGACGCCCTGCGTGACACCACCCCACAAGGGGTGTTGTCGAACACCTTCCGGGCACTTAGCGCCCCCGCATATCCACAGACCATCGCCAGGTGAGTCCCCAATTCCATCTTTAAAGTCGACGCGCGCATTGCAGGGCGCGCGTCGACAGCGTCGCTGACTCCGGGCCCCAAGCCGGAGATCGCGCGACGGGCTCAGGTCCCCACCGGCCGACGCCTAGCGGGGTCCTCCGCGACCCCGCTCCCTGCACCGTCCCTCACAGTAATGAGGACACCACGCGGTAATGGACCCGCTGTGAGGGACGGGTCCCGTCCACCCTCAGTTATGAGGACACCGCAGAGGAACGGCCCCGTTGAGGGTGGACGGACCCCAGGGACAGCGCAGGCCTCTTCGTGGCCCCTGGGATTAGTACCCGCTGCATTGTTGCGGCGGGGAAGCCAACTGCGCTCGTGTCGGCGGACGTCGACATCCTGCAGGTGATTCTCGCTCGTTTTTGCTCGCTGCTGCTGCGAACGCTGACGCATGTGTCTCTAGGGCAATCGTTTGAGCGCACGCTGTAGCAGGGCCGCATGTACGTCTTCCTCCTCTCCACACCCCCTAAATTCGCCGCTGACACACATCGCACAGGTTCCTCCGGCGAGTGCGCTCGCTGCCCTCCCGATCGCCGTACCCTGGGCCAATGTGCCCTGTCGCGGGAGCGACGACGCCGCGCGTCGGCCCGATACGGCGCTGCTCACAAGTGCGGCATACGACCGGGCTCAGCGACGTGCGCGGCAGGTCGCCTCGGGACGACGCTGCACACCGCGGCATACGCACCGGGCGACCTCGCGCCGCCAGCGTACATCGCTCCACTTTACTGTACGTGTTCCGTTCGCAAGTGGTGTGTCGCTATGTCGTGCTGATTGTGGGGAATTTGTAGGTCTCTGCCATGCGTGCTTCAAGATGACCGACAATACTGTGTGCCTCAAGATTCCCGGGGTACGGGTCGCGCACGCGGCCCTGGCGCAGGCCTTTCCGTGGCCCCCGGGATAAGTACCCGTTGAGGCGTCGGTGCCTCCGGGGAAACCAACGTGCGCCGAAGTGAGTATCTCGTAGATTATGTTTCTGCATGTCGTAGTGAGCGATGTAAAGTGCTCGTCCTTCGACGCGGTTCCTATGGAATATAGGGTGCTTTTCAGTTTTTCCAGCAACGAGAGTGGCGAGCGACGTTGTGAAGATGCCCCGCGCATCGAGGTGCACGAGTACCGCAGTGAAAGCAGGTCACTCACAGCGGGTGCAGTATTACTCTGTCTCGGGACTCCTCTTTGCTTCCTACCACGATCTCGGCGATTTTCCCACGGTAGAGTAGCCTTCAGGAGTGGGCGAAGAACCGTGTGGCCCCACCGGTGCCAAATTTTCGTTTGAACCCTTGTACAAGCTTTCATCAGTCTCTAACAGCGCCCTATGAGGCACTGCAGAGGTTAATGGCGGCTTGCACGACTTAACTCATGATGGAATGGTCCGTCGGCGCCGCCCCCACGGGCGCTAATGGAGAGGGTACCGGGAAGGAGACCGCCACAATTGCATTCAAGGATCATATGAGTCTGATTTCAGTCCTCAAATCCTCAAAGTGCATAGTGATTGGTTGGTAGATGGGACAAGACTAGGTCAAACCTCCACATCCCGCCCTATATCTCTTCCAAGGCGCGGGTAAGCGCCCACTGCATACATACTGACTACTAATCGATTACACCCCAATAGACCGTGGGGGTAAAGTAATCATAAACAGTATACGGTTCTAATCGATTATAATCAGTAATTACACTAATGGGTTGGAGCCTTACGTGTGGGCCTAGACTATCCTACTTTCCATCTACTATAAACTCTGGAGACTGTCTCAGCTATGGCTGGACCGACTCCTTCAACTAGTAATTCTGCTCCGTCCGCCTCCGCTAAGCCGCGACTCGGACGTGGCATGGGCGTTTCCAACGTCCCTACGATAGCTGAACTTATGGACAATCCGCCCGATAAGAATGCCGCCGTGCACTCCGTCGAAACCGCTTCGAAGTACCTCAAGAAAGCTCAGTGGATCACGAACGATATTCAGGGACTCTCGGTGGAGGAGGCATGCAACACTTTGCTGTGGGCTAACACGCTGAAGGCGGGCGCCACGCAGACCGATGCAGTCAGGTCCGTCGTCTTCCTTCTCTATAAGTCAGAACGGGCACGCGCCGTTCGAGGCAGCATGGAAGGCACCGTCGAACGGAGGCTCGAAGCTGCAATTGGCAGGCTCGAGGCGGCCACTGAGCGCGCCGCAGAGCACCTCGGGCGGGCCCAAGCTACGCCGCAGAGCCCCCCCTCCGTTTCGTTTGAGCACGACTCTACCGCGCTCTCTTATGCCGCCCTCGCGAGCCGCAACCTCCCGCCCCAGCATTCCAACGTGATCGAGAAGAGCATGGCACGACGCCGCCAAGTCGTTCTCGAGTGCACGTCTCTCCGCGACTCTGCTGGCCCACCGCTCACTGAGAAAGAGCTCGTAGCGTGCGCGGGCCTCGCGTTTAATGACATGGAGGAAGCAGCGAAAGCCGATGCACCCAGGGGCTTTGCTTTCCGTGGGGCTCGTAAGCTTCATGGCGGCAAGGTGGCGTACGACATGGATTCTGCCCAGTCGGCCGACTGGCTCAAGAAGCCGGATGTTATGAGCCGATTTCTGGTCACCTACGATGGTGGTCAGAGCTCGCTGAAGGTCACTACCTACTTTGTTATCGCTGAATTTGTGCCAGTGTCGTTTGGCCCTGGCGACCCCGTCGCCCTCCGCAAAGCCGAAGTCAACTCCGGGTTAGCCGACTACGATATCCTGTCCGGGCGCTGGATCAAGCCAGAGAACCGCCGCTCGAGCACTCAACGTGTAGCACACGCCATCCTACACATGCGTAGCCCAGAGAGCGCCAACCACGCTATCCGCAACGGCCTAAACATTGAAGGCAAGACTGTATCGGTGCGTAAACTCCTGCAGGAACCTCGTCGTTGTCTCCGGTGTCAGAAGTTCAACCCGGCGCACTTGGCGGCCGACTGTACTGTGAAAGACGAGATATGTGGAACTTGTGCGGGGGCCCACCGCACGGCAGATTGCACAGTCACCGAGCACATGCGGCGCCGTTGCGTTAACTGCGACACAACGGGTCATGCTTCATGGGACAGAGACTGCCCAGAATTCATCGAGAAGTTCGAGAAGCTCAGTGCACGGCAGCCGGGCAACTGGTATCGTTTCTTCCCGACAGCAGACCCGCGGACATGGGAAATGCTTGAATCCTCCGGGCCTGCTCGCCCGCCCCCCAGCCGTGCGCCCTCTCCGCCTCGTTCACAGCCCAGTCCTCCATCATCTCAGATGCAACAACCTACTACCCTGGGTAGTGTCCCAGTGTCTGCGCCCCGGGAGCGGCGTCGCAACAGCAAGGCGTCGAGTGCGTTTGTAGCGCCACAGCCCGACCCGGGATGGACGAGCCGGCAGCGGCGCCAGCAGCCCTCGTCGTCACAACACACCCGGCAGTCTAGCCTAGAGACATTTGGCTGGGTACGCAATCACACCTCGCAAACTGGCTCTCTTCCTTCTGTTGCAGAGGATGGCGAGCTACAGGACCTCAATGCGGCTACTAACCTTGACAGCTTCCCCTCACCCGCACTCGACTCATGATTGACGACCCATCCACCTTCCCAAAGACGACATTTCGTGACAGAAGTCGCCTCCGCATCTGGCAACAGAACGTCAACCGCTCCCACACCGCACAACTCGATCTGATCAACAAGCTTCATCCTGACTACTTCGACATCATTGCTCTCCGGGAGCCCTACTTCGACGCCCTCCGCAACAGCCGTGGGTCTCAGCGATGGATTGCGGTATACCCCCCGAACCATCAGAACCCTCAGCAGCCCACCCCACGCTCATTTCTTCTAGTCAGCACGCATATCTCTTCAGGTTCCTGGGAACCACTGATTGTCCCCTCCCCGGACATCACCGCTATCCGCCTGAACACTGACACATATACTGTACTAATCTATAATGTCTACAATGCGCAGGACCACGACGACACACTCCGCATCCTCGGCGATGACACCCGCACGCGCCTCATGAACATTCCACGTCATCGCCAGACGTTCGTCGTCTGGCTCGGCGACTTCAACCGCCACTCTCCAGTGTGGGATGCAGCTCACAACGCTCACTTGTTTACGACACAGAATCTTGCAGCAGCCGACCGCCTCCTGCGGCTGCTGGCACGACATGACCTTGTCATGGCACTACCGCCGGGCATCGCTACCCTCGAAGCATGCAACTCCAAAAACGAGACCCGTCCAGACAACGTTTTCATTTCCGGCGACTGCGAAGACTGTGTCGTCCACTGCCAGGCATACCCCGCGCTGCGCCCTCCTCGTACTGACCACTACCCTGTCCTGACTGCCCTAGATCTTGCCGCTCCCCCATCCGAGCTGGAACCTGGGTTCAACTATGCTCGTGCAGACTGGGAGGTATTGGAGCGTGCCTTGCGCGAGGGCTTTGAGGTGCTCCCTCCGCCACGGAAGCTTAACTCCATCCCAGAATTCGACCGCGCACTGTGCGCCATCACTGACATCTTTTCACAGGTAGTAGCAGAGCATGTTCCCCGCCGCAAACCCTCCCCCTACCAGAAACGATGGTTGACCGACGACCTCAAGGAGTTGCGCAGGCAGATGCACCGTGCACAACGCAACGCCGGGCGTCATAACGGCTGGCCCGATCACCCCTCACACGAAGAAGCAAGACGAGCCCGCAACGCCTATGCAGAAGCTACCGACAAGCAGAAAGAGGGGCATTGGGTCCAGTGGCTCGAACGGCTCACACAGCCAGACATTTGGATTGCTAACTGGTACATCACGAGCGGCGGCACTGACACTTGCCGTGCACGTGTCCCGACACTCACTGTTGACACAGAGCGAGGCCGCGAGCTCATCACGAACAACGAGCAAAAAAGCGCAGTCTTCTTCAAGCAGTTCTACCTACCCGCCTTGTCTGCAGAGGACATCGACCAGGTTGCACCACCAGACATGGTCTATCCTCCACCCGCCTACCATTTTCGCCCGCCCACCAACTACCAGATCGAGCGCATCATCCGCGCCCTCCCTCCCGACAAGGCGCCAGGGCCCAATGGCATCACTAACCGCGTGTACAAGGTGGCGGCCCCTTTCTTGGTGCCGCACCTTGGTCCCCTCTTCCGCGCATCTTTCTCGCTCGAGTACTACCCCGACCAGTGGAAGATGTTCAAGACAGTTGTGCTACGCAAGCCGGGCAAGCCTGACTACTGTCTCCCCAAAGCGCACCGCCCAATCGCCCTCATGGACAGCCTCAGCAAAATTCTGTCAGCCTGCGTCGCCGAAGAGCTGTCATACCAGGCCGAACGCCTGAACATGCTGCCACCCACACAGTTCGGCGGCCGCCCAGGACGCTGCACCACTGACAACTTGCACCTCATAGTAGACGACACCAAGAAAGCATGGCGGGGGGGCGATGTGGTCGCCGCTTGTTTCCTCGACATCAAGTCCGCATTTCCCAGTGTTTCCCCGCAAATACTCGCACACGACATGCGCATGCGTGGCGTTCCCCGGCAGGTGACAGACTGGCTCCTACGGAAGTGCACCAACCGCCGCACTGTGCTCTGTTTCGACGACTATGTGTCCCCCGAGCACGTCATTGAGCGTGGCCTGGACCAGGGCTGTCCCTTCTCGGTCATCTGCCACCACTTCCACAACGCCCCCTCCCTCGAAGTTGCTCAGGTGAAGCACGGTGAACGCGCAGTCGGCTTTGTCGACGACACCACACTCATCGCACGCGCAAAAACCCTCCCCGCCTGCTACGAGAAGCTCAACGACATGATGACACGCATGGGTGGTATACAGGAGTGGGCGCGTCCACGCAAAGTGGAGTTTGAACTCACGAAGACGGCGGTACTAGCACTCACACGACGGCGGGAGCCCACACCAGGGCAACCACGGCGCACCCGTCCTCTGACCCGCCCGGCAGCCCTCATTGCTGGACAGGCGGTCACCCCCTCAACATCTGTCAAGCACGTCGGGGTCATCCTCGACCAAGAGCTGCGTTTCAAGGAGCATGCACAGTACGCACTGGGTAAGGGTTCCTTCTGGGCGAACCAATTCCGCCGACTCGCAAGACCCTCCAAGGGCATGCCCGCACGCTTTGCGCGTAGCCTGTACATCTCCGTCGCAGTGCCGCGCATGCTTTATGCTGTAGATGTGTGGGGTGCGCCCTCAGCTCTCCCTGACCGCCCTGCAGATTCCTCGTTCCCCCGCCGACACTCCCGCACCGTGCTCAAGTTAGCACGTGTGCAACGCCAAGTTGCCATGCAGACGCTCGGCGCCATGCGCACCTGCGCAGCAGACGTCCTGGACGCTCACGCTAACCTCCTCCCTTTCCCCCTCCTTCTCGATCAGCATCAGTCCCGCGCAGCACTCCGCCTTGCCACCCTCCCCCCATCCCATCCCCTCAACAGTGTGGTCCGCCACTCCGCACGCCGACTTGTCAAATGCCACCGCACCGCCCTTCACAACCTCCTTCATGCCTACAACATCGACCCCTCTCGCACCGAGAAAGTAACGCCAGCGCGCCGAAGCCCACGCCTCCGCTCCGGCATCGAAGTCGTCATCGCGTCCTCCCCCGAGGAGGCGATACGATCTCTCGAGGACAACACCGCGGACACGAAGGTCTTCAGTGACGGATCCGTCATGCCGAACGGCGGCGTCGGGGGGGGCAGCAGTTTTGGAGCAGAATGACCGCATTACGGCCACTTTGAGGGTGCGCCTAGGCTCTGCTCATTTCTACACTATTTTCGATGGGGAGAACGTGGGTCTCGCGTTGGGACTGGAGTTGGCACGGCGTGCGCGGCGCATCCGCCACCTTCTGGTGTGCGTCGATAGCCAATCTGTCATCGTCGCTCTCGACTCCCCCTTTGCCCGCGCGGGGCACCACCTGACCGACCTCGTCCTCCTGCAGTTCCACCGCCTGCAGCGTCGTCACCCCCGCGCCCGCATCACTGTGCACTGGGTACCCAGCCACACCGGCATCCCAGGGAACGAAGCCGTCGACCAGCAGGCCAAACTCGCCGCCCGCGGCAAGCCTAGCCCACTTGCCGCCCTGCCCCCGTCGCTTCGCAAGCCCCTCCCGCGCAGCGTTTCCGCGATGAAGCAGCACATCGCGACGTCGCTGCGCGCGGATGCCAAACGCATATGGATGTCGTCGCCGTGCTACACCCGCTCCGCCCAACTCGGACCCCCTCTCCCCTCCCGAAAGTACTTAGAAATGATAGCATCCCTGCCCCGCAAGAGCGTCAGCATCATCACGCAGCTCCGCACCGGACACGCTCCCCTCAACCGCCACCTCCACAACATCGGAAAATCAGACACCGCCCTCTGCCCCGCCTGCCACGCCGCGCCAGAAACGGTCCTGCATTTCCTGATTCAATGCCCTGCCCTCCGCCGCCAGCGCGCCCCCCTCGCCCGCTCCCTACCCCCCGCATCCCTCACGCTGAAGAACGTGCTCGGAACTACGCGCTGCCATGACGCGCTCATGGCATTCATCCATGCCTCTGGTCGTTTTGCGCACATTCTCGACACCGCGCCCGTGCCCGCGCCCGCACTAGCCCCCCGCGCCCGCACTAGCCTCCCCGCGCCCGCGCTCCCTTCCGACGCCCTTCGCGATCGCCCTCGGCACTCCGCCGGCGCCAATTCCCACCCGTCCCCCAGGCAGGCGCACGCGCCGCCACGGTCTCTTTAGGATACTCGCGGTCTCCTTACGGTACTTACGGCCTTTCTAGATACCAACGCGCCCACACGCTCACGCTCCCCGCCCTCAAACCCCTAAAAAACCCCATTCCGTACGCACCCCCATCATCCCCCTTATCAATACTACACTATTCATTTAACAACACACTACCTTACACGCCCCACGATACTCGCCCCTCCCCTTTCCCCTTCCCCCCACTGCCTAGGTAGCGTCGCCCCCCCTCCCCTGCCCATCACACGGCCCCCTCGACCCATCGTCTGCACACTCGCGCCGCCCACCCCTTTCCGCCCCTCGCGTCAGTTCGGCTTCACGCACCTCCGTCTTACTTCCATGCACATGCCCCGTCTCGAGCACCTCCCACCGCACTACTCTCACTAGTACGTACTATCTGACATAGGGCGTCGCCCTCCAGCGGATAATAAACTCGGATTATAATAATAATAATACTCCGTCTCGCAAACACCTGGGCAACTGCGGATGTACATCCTGACTCTGTTCAACGTGCACAACGACAAGCTTGTACTCACTCCACATGTACAGACGTCTGGATGAAGTCATGTCTTGTGTGATACGATGTGGGTGAGTTCCACATGTCGTCGTCACCTCTCGATATATCCACGCAAGTCTGAACATGGTATCGCGCGTCCAGAGCATGGGCCCACCAGGTGAGGCTTCTGCCCGGAACCCCCGCGCATATCACAGAATGTGAAGTGAGGTCTCTGTGCACGCATATATAAGCCTCTGGCTGCAGATGTCAGAGCACCCACTCTTTGTCCTTCACTATTTCATCCGTCCCCTCTTCTCCGCGTGCCCCTCGCGCAATCCGCACGCTCCGGCCTGCTATCCTCGCGACATGGCACATCGCCAAGTATAGAGCAGCGGCTGCGGCGTGCTCGCGAAGACTCGAGACAGACGCTGCCGAAGTCGCGATGAGTGACGCGCTGAGTAACACGCGCTCACGTGCACAGTGACGCTCGTGACTTGGTCGCCTCCGGGGATCGCGATCGACAGGAGCTCGGAGTCTCTCCCTCTGCTCCTGTACTCACTCGTCTACACCACCGGATTTCTTCTGCACCACCCGTGCGCGTACCGTCGGTCGCGGTACCAGGACAACAAGCTGCCAGTCTGGTATGTTCTTCACGCTACGCTGTGCGACAGTCAGTCGGTGGTCCGCAGCGTTGCCGCTGCGCCGGGTCATGCGGCCACGATTAAAGCTCTCACAGCTTCGCGCTGACGTCGACTGCTACTCAGAACGTGCGCCCTTCTGTACACGACTCCACGACCACGACCGCTGCCACGACCACACCATGCACAAGGCAGACTACGTCGCGATCGCACAAGCCGTCTATGCCTCAGCCCAGTCCCCGGACGATCAGCTCGCGGGGCCGGTCCAGGAAGCACTGCAGGTCATAGACGAGGCATTTGACACATGGGGGTACGCACATTTATCAAGTCGCGGCTGACATACGCTGAACGCTCCCTAGACAAGACCATGTATCTCTGAGCTTCAACGGCGGCAAAGATTGTGAGTCTTGCTCGCCTACGTTTGACCTCGAACTTACTGTGCTCAGGTACCGTCCTTCTCCACCTGGTCGCCGCTGCACTCGGGCGCCGGTCGTCTGCGGAAGCGCCCCCAAAGCCGCTCGCCGCCGTCTGCATCCCCGTGCCATCCCCCTTTCCCCAGCTCGAAACGTTCATCGACGAAGCTGCCCAAGCGTACGACCTCGACCTGTTCCACTGCCCGCACCAGTCCGGTCCTAGTTTCCCTGTGGAGACCGTTGCAACACCCGGGTCGGTGCGCCCACCCGTTCCCGATCTCTCCAAGAACGTCAAGGGTGGCGAAGGCATGCGCCAGGCTCTCGAGACGTACAAGACACGCTTCCCGCACATCGAGGCCATTCTCATTGGCACGCGGCGCGGCGATCCACACGGAGGTACGTCGCCGTGTTGCCGTGTTGCCGTGCTGCCGTAGTGTACGCAATCGCCTTGATGCACTTTCTGACTGCGCCCACAGCGAAGCTAAGCTTCCGCAACCCGACAGACGCTGGCTGGCCGCAGTTCGTGCGCGTAAATCCTATCATCAACTGGTCGTACGCAGACGTGTGGGCGTACCTCCGCCGGTTCGACGTCCCGTACTGCAGCCTGTACGACGAGGGCTACACATCGCTCGGCTCGACGTACAACACCTTCCCGAACCCTGCGTTGCGCGAGTCGTGCACACGGTGTGCGCCGCCACCGAACGGCGTCTCCAGCACGTCTGCGGCGAAACCCACGACCAACGGACATCACCCCCCGATGCGGCATATCGAACCCCTCCCGGACACGTTCACCGTCCTGCATGGCGGTTCGGGCGCTATCTGCATCGGGGACACACACCCTGGCGCCCCGCTCCCGCACCGGTCGTTCCTCACGGACCTCACGGCCGCCCCAGGCCAGATGTGCGAGGTCGACCTGATCGACGAGCTACTCCCATCAGCGGCGGCGGCGTCCCCTGAGTGCGAGTGTGCGTCGCAGTACCGCCCCGCGTACGAGCTGCAAGACGGCACGCTCGAGCGGGCAGGGAGGGCGGGTGGGGCGGCGCCCCCCGGGCCTGCGGCGGCGGCGATCGCAGCGGCCGCCACGGCTCTAGCGCGAGCATGAACTATATCTTCTGGCTGTTGGAGTCCTGGATTGTATTGATGTGATGTGGGGCGGCCCTGACGTTGTATTATAGACTGTTTCTCTAGATATTAACCTGTGATATCGATGCTTCTTGACACACTGGACGGATGGTGGTACGTAGTACCGGCGTGCGCCTGTACTGTACATATGACGCGATACATCAGGTCTCTATCCTTGTTGCTTGAAGAGGTCGTCCGGTGTATGTGCCTTTTGCCCGGGTGTTTGCGGGAAGGAGACGTACTGCGCCCGCCATGCGCCGTATGCACCCACCGCGCGACGCATGCACGTCCGAGACTGACATAGACACAAATGATCGCGCGTAGGATGATCAGACCGGGCCACGCGACGCGTTCAACGTCAATACCTATACGCCATACGGATGCGTGTCATCTTCACCATGTCGCTCGTTGCTGAGATATCGAAAAACATTTCGCACTCCAATCAAAACAGCGTCGAGCCTGAGGCAGCGCGATAGTACGAGCACGTCACATGCACAGCTCACTACGATAAATATAAGCGTAATCTACGAGATACTCACTTCGGCGCACGTTGGTTTCCCCGGAGGCACTGCCGCCTCGACGGGTACTTATCCCGGGGGCCACGGAAAGGCCTGCGCCAGGGCCGCGCGCGCGCGCCCGACCCGTACCCCGGGAATCTTGAGGCACACAGTATTGTCGGTCGTCTTGAAGCACGCATATAAAGACCCATAGGCCCATATAGAGACCTAGGAGAGCACGATCAGCACGTCAGAGCGAGACGGCGGGCGCAGTGGGAGACGTACAGTGGGGTGGAGCGATGTACGCTGGCAGCGCGAGGTCGCCCGAGGCGACCCGCCCGCACGTCGAGCCCGGTCGTATGCCGCACTTGGGCGCAGCGCCGTATCGGGCCGACGCGCGGTGTCGTCGCTCCTGCGACGGGCGCATTGGCCTTGGGTGCGGCGATCGGGAGGGCAGCGAGCGCACTCGCCGGAGGAACCTGTGCGATGTGTGTGTCAGTGAGGAGTCCATTGCGTGCGGAAAGGGTGGTGGACGTACATGTTGCCCTGCTACAGCGTGCGCTCAATCCATTGCCCTGGCGACATATGCGTCAGCACTGGCAGAAACGTCGAGCAGAAGCGAACAAGACTCACCTGCAGGATGTCGACGTCCGCCGACACGAGCGCAGTTGGCTTCCCCGCCGCCGTGAGGCAGCGGGTACTAGTCCCAGGGGCCACGAAGAGGCCTGCGCTGTCCCTGGGGAGAAAGAAAAACCGCCCGTCCACCCTCAACGGGGCCGTTCCTGTGCGGTGTCCTCATAACTGGAGGTGGACGGGCGCCGTCCCTCACAGCGGGGCCGTTACCAAGCGGTGTCCTCATTACTGTGAGGGGACGGTGCAGGGAGTGGGGTCGCGGAGGATCCCGCGGGCGTCGGTCCGTAAGGACCTGAGCTCGTCGCGCGACCTCCGGCTTGGGGCCCGGAGTCGGCGACGCAGTCGACGCGCGTCCTGCAAGTGCGCGCGTCGACTTTAAGATATAATTGGGGACTCACCGAGAGCTAGTCCGCGGGTATGCGGGAGCGCAAAGTGCCCGAAAGTTGTTCGACAACACCCCTTGTGGGGTGGTGTCCCGCAGGGCGTTCGCCAGTGAAAGCGTCCGCCCCTCACGCGGACCCCAGATTGGGGCCCGACGTGGCGTGCGCGAGGAGGGGTGAGGCCCCGCTGGGCAGGGGTGCCGACATAAAGCCAGGCAGCCCAGACCCGAGCGGGAGGGAGGGTGGGTGGGGCCCCACTGGGTAGGGGTACTGACAGTTCGTCAAGCGCCCCAGTCCCGAGCGGGATGGCTAGAACGGCATGCCTTAGTGGTATGCGGGGAGGGAGGGACGAGCGGTACTCACTGTATATACAGTTGGGCAAAGCAGCCCACGTTGCCAAGGTGGGCTGTTCGCTGCCGACCGCTGGTGGCGGATGCGACACTGTGGAAAGGATGCTTGTCAGTAACCGTGCACGTACACCGTGAGGGGTACGGCGACTTACCGAGTGCATTAAGCGTTCTGAAAGACGAAGATGAAGGGTGATCAGCGACTACGCCACAGTCGCAGGTACAAGTAGAATTACCGTCCAAGCCCTCACGAGGGCGGCGCGCGCCTTGTAGACGACGCGCGCTGTCTATAGGCCTCGGAGGAACTTGAGCTGGCGGATGTCGACGGTGAAGGTCTGGGGAAAGAGAGGAGGGGCGAGCACGCCAGCTTATATACCTTCAGGGCGTGCCCTCCGGGCCTGAGCGGGACGGAATTCGCGCCCATCCGCGTGGGGGTTCCACAAGGGCTTCGCCCAATCCGGCTGCCTTTGTGTCGCATGCTGGCATGTTCTCATGCTGGGTTTCAACGGGCGTATCGATGGGGGCGCGTGCCGCGTCCCCGACCTTCCATGAGCGGTATGGGCGGCCTGGGGTGGCGGGACGAACAAAAGGGGCGGTGGCCGCCTGCCGCGATGGAGTGGATGATAATCAGAAATCCGAGTATCATGAGGTGCGGGGGTGGGTGCAGAGCGGCGGCGCGCAGGCAGAAGCATCGCCGTCGGAGTAGCGTGTCTTCTGGGGCGCGATACTGGCAATTGCTACCGAGTCCAGGTGCGCTGGTGGCCTGCAGCGTCTCTGACTTCCAGAATGCCTGAAATTTTATCAGGCATTCTTCCAATAACGAGGATTCGTCCTAAGGGCTTGTGAGAGACAGTCGATGCGCTAGACACGCCCAAAGTCGAGCGGCGACGGGGCATATTTTTACGCCACCACGGCGGCAACCCTTCGGTTTGGGTTGTGAATATGATAGAGCATCGACCCCGAAGCTCCAAGGCTGTTCTCTCCTGGCTGAGGCGGCGGTTCTGACAGGTTGCGGCCCTTGTACACGTTGTACTTGGGTCACCTCGTGTCAGGAAAAGACCCTGTCTACAAACGAGCGATCCTCGGAGCTGCCTCCTTCAGTAGAGTGGCCTCGCAGGTGAGGCTGACCTGGTGACGCAGAAGAATTGTCAGCGATAAGATCTAGACCATTGAACGGGTACGCACGGACGAGGTTAAGCGCAATTGGGGTGCCGTGAGGAATTTCTCCGTTGTCCCTACACTTAAATCCAAACCCAGCAGAGTTTAAGTCATTGCTCCCATGGGATATGCGTCATACCTGGAGATTTTGTGCGATGACAGTACTGGCATGTTTAACGATAGGCAACGACGGTGGGCGAGCGAGACCGACCATGCGATAGCGCAGGCGCTGAGAGCGGGTCCTTGGTATTTGTCTTACGATCATATAGATGTATTTTCGCGAGTATAAAGCATAGAATAGGCCCTGGAAACTTCCTGCTAGAGGATACAACCTGACGGTAGTCGGTGCGAGGAAACATAGATGAAAGTAGGAGAAAGAAGGAGAAACACTGCAACTCGCAAGAAGGCCGGCGCGATGATCGTCCAGTAGAGCTACCGGATGCGGAAGGCGCACAATCTAATCTAATCTAGCTGGCCAATCCCTCGATCATCCAGAGCCGAGCTGAGAGCTGCCATCTCTCTTCTGACTTCAGCTTGCATCATCCTCTGCTCATACACGTATTTACACATAGCTCATGATGGGCCGTGGAAGTATCACTGCACTGAACGACGACGTGCTCGACCTCATCGTTGAGGCAGCTTTGGTTGCCAAATCAATCCGCGCTCTCTCTAGAACCTGTCGGAGAATCAGGATGCACTGTCTGCCGGTCCTTGGTAGGGAATTTGACCTGAAAAACTATCTGCCTGTCGGTGTCGCGCCCAGAGAATTTGTGCCTGAATCACTGCGCCCATATGTCAGGTACGCTTTGACCAGGAAACATATCGACCAAAGTATAAGCAGTCTCTTACGGCATCTCTCTCTCAGGATCCTTCACTTCAACGATCGTTGTAGCGATATACCTTCCACCAATCATTTGGCTTATGTGCTCAGACGCGACCTGCGAGTCACAAAGGACCACTTCTTGTGCGGTGTCTACAGTACCCCCTTCCTCACCACGACGCTAAAGAGCATGCCCGGGCTACAAACGGTGTCATTCCGACTCTGCCAGGAGCCAAAGGCAATACACGGCCTCCCATGGTCGGTCATGCAACTGGTCCTATCTCTCCCCACCCTCAAAGATCTCGCTGTCGACCGGCATCGTTTTGCCCCCAAGCTATTGGCGGAGGAGGAGCTCACTCTCGACTATTGCGCGCCTCTTACATCCTTCCGGTACACGCTGTCCGATTACCGTTGGTGGCGAAAGCAGACTTTTCCACTCGAAAAGCAAGCGCTCCTGCTCGTTTTAAACAAGACCCACACATCTCTCGAGCGGCTGACGCTCATTGCAGAGCTGGCGCCCCTCGATGAGATCTGCAATACACTCGAGTGGCCGAACCTCCGCGAACTATGCCTCCGCGGCGAGCGTGGCACGATCGGCAACCCACCACTCCCGCTCGTGTCCATGTTCGCAAACATGCTCCGCCTACAGCGCCTAGAACTGAAGCTCGGGTTGCGGGAGGGTGTCGATCCCCAGCCGTTCTGGCCGCTTGGCTACGTGGCCGAGTGGCCCTGGGCTGACCTTCGCCACCTCACCCTGTCCTATCCACTCGTCAACGACCAGATCTATAGCTCTCTTCCGCCCACACTCGAAAGCCTCGCGCTGCGTTATACCCCTCATATGGTGCATGCCGAAAGATACGATGCAGATGTGCTCTGGAATTGGCCGCTCATCAAGTCATCGGTCATGCTGCAGATCTTACGACGATGCCGCTGCCGGCGGCTCTCTTCCCTGCAACTGGAGTATCGCGAGGACGAGGCGGACGCTGAGTTGATGCAGTGCGTCGGCGCGTCGTTCCCTGCGCTCACTACCTTCAAGTTGCTCAGGTATCGAGCGGCCAATGACGCAGAGGCTGGCCCGTTGGTACGTCGAAACATATCTGCGATATTTCCACCATCGTGCTCTAACACAAGACCGTCCACAGGATGCTCTCCTCCGCATGCTTGGGGCGCATCTCTGTCTACAGACAATACGCCTCCACATAGACCATGTCGACACCTCGACGCCCTTTTACCGGGGCGGGTACCGGGACTACGCGTGCGACATACCCCGGCTGGAGTCGTGCTTGGCATCGACGCAGTCGCTTGCGGACAGCCTGGCGGGCGCATCAGGCTCGTCGCTGGAGACGATCACGCTCTGGGCTCCGCACTCCTACTTCCCGTACTCCTGGTTCTGGGAGAACTTCACCGTCGTCCGAGATGAGACCACGGGCGTAGGTGTGCGCGCCCTGTCCACTGTGAAGACGCGCAAGCCGAGCGCCCCTGCTTCTCGTTGAGGGACATCACTGCATCCTAGCGCATTGGAAACAGAAGCACTCCTGGCAAGGTACGCTTTGAGCCGTGCACATCCCGACGAGACCCCGTTTTCTCGCAGCTGCCAGCGGTCGCCAGCCCCGTCTCAGTATTTATTGTACTTGTTTCAAACGACTCTCCAACTTCATTTTTCGTGACTTATCATCTGTACTATCTGTCCAATACAGCACTCATGTTTGTACTCAACAGCCTATGTGGTCACAAGCTGACCGGGAGTGTCTTAGTAAGTTGCGACACGCCAAGCTAGTCTGCGCCCGCGCTCACTCGCTACCACGTGCGAGTGCCTACCAATGAGCACGATCACGGTTCACGCTGACAGTATGAGGAAAGATGCCTCGACGATACGGTAGAGCCTCTACCGAGTGTGGCGGTTGCAGGTGAACTGGAGGACGTTTGGTAGAGCTACCGAATGTGGACAACGCCTGTTTAATCTGATCTAATCTACATGATTGACGATTGGCCCGCTGGATGAAACCTCCGAACCGTGTCGTCCTCTTCCGAGTCTTCCTCTTCACCTCATACACGTACGACGTACGAATAGCCTGCAATGGACGATGGGAGCATCGCTGCGCTGAACGAAGATGTGCTCGACTTCATCGTCGAGGCGGCCTCCCTTGTCCAAGCTGTCCCTGCTCTCTCCAGAACATGCCGAAGGATCAGGCTGCGCTGTCTGCCGAATCTTTGCAGGGAATTCAGCTTGCGGGCCCCCCTCCCCGTCGCACCTATGGGGTTTGTGCCCGAAGCACTGCGTCCATATGTTAGGTACGCCATCTTATTCATACAGACTAAATCACCTCTCACGCCATATCGGCCTTCACCAGCATCCTCCACTTTAACGACCAATGCGGAGATATACCTGATGAAGAATATCTGCCACACACGCTCGAGCGTGACCTGCGTTTCACCACCGACCCTCTCTTATGTGCAGTTTACAGTACGCCCTTCCTCGCTACCGCGCTGGAGAGTATGCCCCGGCTGCACACTCTGTCATTTAACCTCCGCTGGCAGCCCGTCCACGGCATCCCGTGGTCGGTCATGCAAATGGTCCTCGCTCTCCCTACCCTCCGACACCTCACAATTAATGGTCATCGGGTTGCTCCCAGTCTATTGCCAGAGGAGGAGCTCGTCCTTGACCGTTGCGCACCTCTTACCTCCTTCCAGCACACCATGTCCGATTATCGTTGGTGGCGAGAACAGAACTATCCGGACGAGAGGCAAGCACTTCTGTTCGTTCTCAACAGGACCCACGCTACCCTCGAAACACTGGCGCTTGTGGCGGAATTGTCGCCTCTCCACGAAATATGCAATACGCTTGAGTGGCCTAACCTCCACGAATTACGCCTCCTCGGCGAGCACAAGGCGATCGGAAATCCCTCACTCCCATTTATCACCCTGTTCGCAAACATGTCCCGCCTACGACGTTTGGAACTGAAGCTCGCGCAACCGAAGGACATCGATCCCCAGCCGTTCTGGCCGCCTGGCCTCGATATCGTAGAGTGGCCGTGGCCGAAACTCCTTCACCTCACGCTCTCTTGTCCACACGTCGACGACCAAATCTACGGCGCCCTTCCGTCGACACTTGAAAGCCTCGCGCTGCGTTATACCCCTCATATGCTACGTAGCAACTACGTAGGCACGCGCTGTCAGTGGCCGCTCATAAGGTCTTCGGAGATGTTACAAATCTTACGACGATGCCGGTGCCCGCGTCTCACCAGTTTGGAGTTGGAGTATCGCGAGGACGAGGCGGATCCAGAGCTCATGCAGCATATCGGCGCGTCTTTCCCCGCCTTGACCTCCTTCAAGCTGCTCAGATACCGGTCGGCCGCTGACGCTGAGGCCGGCCCGCTGGTGAGTTTACGATAATCATCACTCATACGAACCCTAGCACCGTGCAGCGCTAACATGATGCCCGGGTCGTGCACAGGAACCACTCCTCCGCATGCTGGGAGCACATCCCCGTGTACAGAAGATTTGTCTCCACATCGACCACCTCGACACTACGACGTCTTTCTACTCCTTCTCAGGGTACAAATACAGCATCACGCACAACAAGGAACTGCTGCAGTCATTCTTGGTGTCGACGCAGTCGCTCGCGGACAGCCTGGCAGGCGCGTCAGGCCCATCACTGGAGACGATCACGCTTTACACTCCGCACTCCCGTTTCCCGTACTCCTGGTCCTGGGAGAGCTTCTCCGTCGTCCGAGACGAGGCCACGGGCGTAGGCGTGCGCGCTCAGGCCGTCAGACCGCGCAAGCTCGATTGATGTACGTCGCATCCCAGAGCATATGAGCCGGGAGTAGCCGAGTCGCTCACAAAATACAGGAACCGTGCGTCACTTCAAAGCTTCACTCCCGACCTCTCCCTCAGATATCCTTTTCTCACCATTCAACCCACCCACTCACTCGCACGGAGGATGTATGCATAGGTGGCGCATGCACTCTAATAATGTAACTCACTCGCTAGAGTCTGATTACCTGACGTTTCGTGTTGACGCCGCGCCTGGTTGTATCAGCGTTGTCTCCGTGTTTTCGCTATGTGGACGTCTTTCTGTACTGATTATGAGCCGCTCGGGCTACGATGTCATCTTGACTCGGCGTTACTAATCGAGTATTATATACACCCCAAACACGTTCGACGAGCTCTCAAACCTGCAAACACGAGCGGTGTAGAATGCATCGTTTTGTACACCATAGTTCCGGCTGGATGCCGTACTGTATTGTGGAGGTATGTTATGGCAGCTATCACCCCGTTCCTGTTCCGTGCATCCCTGAGGATATAGGTTGAGAAATCCCCAAAAGCAGATTGGTCAAACATCGTGGCGTCTGGCTTCAAGCTTCAAGCTGCACCTACCAAATCTTCGGGTAGCTTTCAAGCGCGCCAGTACGCACACCTATCCAGAAACTTCCCTCCGGCACATCGGCGTCGCTCGGTTCCCGGAATGCCCAGCGCGCGGAGCCTGAGAGCCCTCTTCCCTCCCCGAAGGCGAACGTTCGACCGAGCCGTCGAGCCCTTCATACTCACACGGACCCAGCGTGAGGGCGCCGCGGCGGTTGACGTACATTTTACGACTTGTGCGCCCCTGCTTCTCCCGTGAGGCTGTCTAATTGAATGCCCTCTCACGTGGAGCCCCGCACACTCAATCGCTGTGAAGCTCCCGACCGTGCGCCGCCTCCGCCGCGCTTCTATCCCAGCATAAGCGCGTCTTCTGCAGAGGGATCGTCGGGGGTCACGCCGCAAGGGCCTTCGAGCTCGCGCGGAGAGTGCTCTTGGGTGCAGCACAGCGGCTTCCCCTTCATGTGCCGCGGCAGACGCGATGGGTCCTATCTTGACACGGTACGCCTCGCCTTGATTACGCGTGGAATTTGAAAGCTGTCAGCACACTGTTGATTGTGGAGGCCAGCAAGCGCATGCATGCGACTGGCCGTGACATTGTCCGGGACCGCGGCCCAGCACCCAGCACTCGGGAGTCGACAGTTGATGCATCGTGCCACACCGCCAGCCCTCGCCGCCGCCGCTGCTCGGAGGGCCCGAACGCGGGTAAAGCCACCGCGTTCACAGGACACGCTGCGCTCCAGGCGCCCCTCATGGCGTGGGGGTCGTCCGCGTGGGTGGGTACGTTACCTCGACGTCGCGCAGGGTCTTCGGAGTGATTGGCGTCCTCCAACGTTTAGAAACGCTTTCTAGAGTCTTGCCAAAGTTCACCTCCAGCCCCGATCTCGGCAATGCCCTTGGGGCTTCTCAGGCCTGGCTCCTGCGTTCCTGTCTCTTAAGCTGGGCGTGGAAGCAGGGGGCCGCGCGCAGCCCAAGCCTGAGGATTTGGGACTCCCCGCGGCGTGTCCATCAGGCATGCCTTCTCGCTGTGGACACACAGTGCGCCCGACGTCCCGCCGAGGGGAAGCCGAGTCCCTTATGCGGAACGCGCGAAGACGCAGGGCCTCTAGAACACGGCGCGCGAAGCAGGTTCTCCAGAAAACGCACAGACGAGTATCAGAGTTTCCCGTTCCGCAGCGGAACTTTCCAAACTGCCACCCGAGCTTGCTTGCTCAGTGGCGTGCGCGTGGTGCCGCGCGCGGGCTCGAGGTACCGCGTGGAGGCGGGGGATCTGCGTGGGCTCATGTGTACGGGAGCCATGGATCGGGAACTTGGATGACGTCTATGCGGACGCGCCGCGCCATGTGGTGGTACAACAGGACATCTACGAGAGAAAGAACCAACGAACATACTTGCACACCCTCGACTTCGGAAACACGCAGACGCGCAACCTTACTCCATGACGGGGCTATTTGAGTTTGTACGATACTGTGCCGCCGGCTCGACCGCCGCCCGGCCCTTCCGGTCGCGATAGAACAGCACGCTCCCTGCGCGCACAAGGTGGTCAGTCAGCGGCCAGTCAGCGATAGACGTCCGCAGCCGTCTATCAGAAGAGGGGTGCCGGCACTCTGCTCACCCGTGTCTTCCACGAACTGGCAGGCGTTGTAGTTGTCCCAGAGCGCACGGAAAATTGGCTGCTCCGAGTAGTGGTAGTGCGCACCGATGAACGCACGCAGGTGCTTCGTCGCCTCTGCACCGTGGTCTGCTTAGAGTCAGCGAGTGAACCAGTTATAGAGGTGAAGACGAAACTCACAGAAAGGCATTTTGGGGAAGAAGTGGTGCACGACATGGTAGTGAGCGACGTCGTGCAGAAAGAAGCGGCCCATCCAGCCGAGGAAGTTGCGGTCAACGGTCGCAGCCGCCCCACGCTGGAAGTTCCACTCCCCTTGCCGGTAGTGCGGCAGCTCCGGCGCCGTGTGGTGCAGGTAGGTGATCATGATAAACCTGCGAACGTACAGCCAGATTAAGTTAGCAACCGCGCAGCTACGAGCGGTAAGGACGCTCACCAATGCGTGACGCAGAGCCAGGGGATGCCGTAAAACTTGAGTACGGCGGCGGCGCCATAGGTCTGGCATGCGACGCGGACGAGCCACGCTGTCGCGAGGATGCCGAGGTTCGAGACAAGAACGACGTCCCGCTGTTCTTTGGTGAAGAGGACCGAATTCGCTGTGTCGCGTAGAGTCAGCAGCCATGACGACATGTGTTATGTGGACGCTTACGATCGAAGTGGTTCGTCCATTTTGGATAGCTTTTCTGACCGGAGACGTTATACACTAGCAGGCGGTCAGCGGGACGGAACGAAGGTGGCGAGGGCGTCAGCGAAGCTTACAGAGGTACGCGGGGAACGCGAGCAGCTGCTGGCGCACGAGCGTGAACAGCGTGTAGATCGGCGTGTCTCCCAAGTATTCGTCGTAGTCAATTTTGGTGTGTCCGTCTTCTTCGGGAATGCCAAGCTCGCTGCGCGTCTTCGGCACGTAGACCTCATCGCGCTCCATCGAAGCATGGTTGCAATGGTGCCGGTGGTGCGAGATCTTCCAGCTGAAGTACGGGGTCCACAGGAGGCTGTGGGTTATCTGCGGAAACGCGCTCGGTTAGCGATCGAGGCGGTGAACCCTCGGATCCTTTGCGCTACTCACAAAGCCGATGACATTGCACAGACGTTGACTGGGCGAAAAGGCACCGTGTCCGCACTAGAACATAAGGAATAATCAGCACCTCTTTTCTGATACAGCAGGCAAGTTCGAGAATCGTACTTCATGTCCGATGACCCAGATGCCAGTGAATATCAGACCCTGGAACCACCAGCTGCGGAATCCCGTCAGTCAGCGGAGCGCGCGGCAACGCGGTATAGGCGCTTACTATAGCACCCAACTCGCCCACCGAGCGACCTCGGCACCAGGCGCAGACATACGCTGGACCGCGGCGCGACTCGTAAACGTCGGGTCAATGTATAGCGCAGCCTTCCAGCAGCACGCTGCCATCACCAGGTCAAGGCCAAGCCAAGCCAACCCTCTCCGCGTGTCGCGGACAAAGAGGTGCGATGGGATGGCGTCCCGAATATCCTGCAGTTTCCTATACGACGTTTAGTTAGTAAAGAGCGTTCTGGTCTCGGCCAAGAAGTACATGCCATGTCATCGGGCTAAACTCGGGCATGCCTTTTTCAGAGCGACTCGGAGAGCGCTTGGGGCCGTTGTTGGGGACAGACATCGAGAGAGGCGAGGAGAGACGGCGAGAGCCTGTGGGGCTGGGGAGCGGTGTGGTGCGGCGTCGATAGCGAGGGCGAGCGGGGTCGCGAATTTATCTATTCCTCGCGCGGGCGAGAGCGAGATCTGCGGGCTTTGACTGTCGCGTAATGAAGGTGTCTACACGTGTGCGCTAAATGAGTGAATTTGCGGGTGATTGAGTTACAGCAGCCCGGTCGGTACTCACGCCCAGTGCCGGCGCAGAGTCTGATGGAGGGGCCGGAATGGAGGGACGCTGGCCGACGCGCAGTCCAAAGGAGTGCAGAAACATATACTAGAACCCGTCCGCGGACGCGAAGGGCAGGTGCGAGCCGACGCCGACCGAGGGTTTGTCGGGGGGCCTGGGGGGATCTGTCACGTCATGCGTGTTGGGAAAGTTCCCAGCGCGCGACGGGCCCTGGCTCCCACTGCATGCCGTGAGCAGCGCGCTTCTCCTGCGCTGTATTGCGACAAGCCACGCTCTGAATGGCACGGCAGAAGTAGTCATATTCGGGCACGTGGCGGGCCCCTGCGCCGGGCAGCTCACGGCGTGTCGCACTTTTGGACATCTTGGTGCGGCAGGGCGGTGTCGGGTGTCGACAGCGCGCACTTGTACGCACGTAGATCGAGCCTGTCGGGCACTTGACAAGACATACGGGGAGGCAAGGGGGAGGCATGGTGATGGTAGCGGTGCAAGACGGGACGCCCGCCAGCGGCCCCCCCACGCGTCAGTCCCGTTTTGGTAACATCGTTCGCCGCTTCCTGGGCGGAACTGACGTTCATACAAGAGGCGTGTGTGCTGTGAGCTTAAACGTGCAGAGCGATGCGCTTGCTTGAGTTGACATAGAGCAGCGTTCACCAGAAGGATCGGCGCTGTCTTCCATCACTTTCCGCTGCCCCTTCCCCGGCCGTTTCCAGTGGGTGGCGGTCACACGTGTTGTGCCGTGGCACACGTCCGACTCGGGACCTGTCAGTGCCTGAGGTTATCTGCTATATATGATGCTGTATCGTAAGTGGACGCCAGTGCATGCAGGCGCAGATGGCACTTATTTCCCCATTTGTAGCGTAGTCGACTTTGTTCGTCCCAAGTTGAGATATGGCCGCTGAGTTGCTGGCCGTATGAAGTCGCCGTTCAGACAACCGGTAGGACGACTACGACGACTGCGGAAGAGCAGCGAGGCACGGACATCCGTCATGGGAGGTTACGCTGCACTTGCTCAGGACAGACGGTCCCTGGCAGGTTGCGCGCTTGCAGCAGTTTTAGGGCACTCACACCATAGCCCCAGGTTCCAGGACGTAAACGTTGTCGAATAACCATCCAATATAAGAATCTAGATGATGGTCAATAGCTCTAATGAGGGCGCTCTCCGGGACCTGCGGGAAGCGCCACATATTAATCAGTCATCGAGTTCACCGCGGCTGCAGTGCAAAGAGCCGTACCGAAATCACCACCCGGAAAAGAGCTTCGAGACCTCCACGCCGCTCACGACGAGCTCGGACTGCTCCTGCGACAGCACCCGGAAGCCGACGTCATCGCGCTCAGGGTCGCGCACGAAATCGGTTCCCTCTACGTTAACGCCGCGCGGCTTCGGCCTGTCTGCAAGGTCGTACTGGCGCCCCGTCAATATCGGTTACCTGAAGAGGAGAGCGCACAGCTATACTAGGATCGCTAGGCCCCTCGCAACGCGTCCACTGCGGCGTAATTTCTGAGGCGGGCGAGCGCGCCGTGTTCATGTTCGCCACGACGGGAGACCCGTGCTTCTCCGCAGCGTCGCTGTGTCATGCACGGAGCTCCCGCCTATGCGCGCGCGTCTTTGCGAAAGGCCCATCGAGCCCATGACGACTGCAAGAGGGAATGTCGTACCTCTATCAATGCCTCCAGGAATTGCAGCACCGGCTTGACGTACCAGCGGGTAATCCCGCCGTCTGGGCCGTACTCGAACCACCCCAGATGGCCACCCGTCCGAGTAACGGCTAGCGCTATCCAAGGGTTGTCGTGAATCTGCATATGGCCATCGTACTCAGCGGAGGCGAAATACGACAAATGGGCGTCCTTACCTCGCGCCTCCGGAGCTCTCCAGTGCCCGTGATGGGGTCATCGGCGCTGTTGATAGACAGATACGGTACGCAGATATCCCCCGCGACCTTCACTGAGCTGATGCGCGAGTAGTAGTCGTACACGTTCTCAAATCCGTATAGCGGCGCGTTGACCAGCACGTCGTACTCCCGGAGCGTGATGCTCCGCCGCGTGAAGACGTCTTCCAGCACACCGCGCGCGACGGGCAGGTCCGCGGCCGCGTCGAGCAGCACCTTCCCGTGCATACGCAGGAGTCGCCGCAGAGCGTCCCCGAGCACCCAGCGGTACACATGCCGGCCGAGGAACGTACCCGGGAGGTGATGCGAGCCGGCGACGAAGTCCCACGGGTTCGCGAGCGTGATCAGCGCCTGCAGCGGGCACCGCGCGCCCTCCTCGCCCGCGTACTTCGCAAGGATGTTCGCCCCCAGGGAGAATCCTGCCCGCAAACGTCGTCAGCCCGTCCATTATGCGCTACACATCCGAGCGCAGCGCACGCACCGATCCCGAATATGCGGCACTCCGGGAACGTGTGGCATATCCAGAGCACGACGTGCCGGACGTCGTCCGACGACCCTGCCTGCGGCGCAGTCGTCAGCCCTCCCAGTATGTACTAGCGCGCGCCCGGCCCAGCACGGCAATCGGCTCGGGGGACGTACGTGGTACAGCCGCGGAGTCACCACGGGGCTGCCGTTGCACCCGCGGAAATTGAGCACGACCGCCCTGGTGCCGAGCCCGCCCGCGCCTGCGCCCGGGGTCGCGCGCGCGAGCACCGCGCGGACATACGGCTCGTGGGAGCCCCCAGTGAGCCCGTGCGCCACGAGCAGGACGTTCTCGCGCGGGGAGATGGGCACGCTCGAGAGCGGGGGCGAGATATCGACTGCGACGATGCCTGTCAGCGGTGGAGGGGTGAGGTCGGTTATTGCTCATGGGAATAGGAGTGGAGGGCAATGTGCGGCCGTACCTTTGTCGGGGAGCTGCAGGAACTTCCTAGTGGGGATCTCCGTTAATGTGCGGCGGCAGAAGCGGCGGGGACGAGAACCTGCCTCTCATAGACGACCGGGTCGACCTTGCTGAAGTCCCCGACAGAGCAATACATCGTCTGCGCGTCTCCTCTGCCGTACAAAAAGTGAATTAGGAACCGTGGATGCCTATGAGTTGGACGGAAATGCACATACCCTGGTAACCACCACACGCCGTTGAACGTGGCATCTGGAGCAAGCGCTGGAACCTTGTCGCGAATGAGCTTGGCAAAGGGCAGCTCGGACTCAGCACCGCGTCGTTCGCTGTTCCTGGGCAGAACGGCAGAGTCTGATGCGTTCAGTGTGACAAACGGTTGTTTCCTGCCGCCCAATTTATGCCATAGGCCGTAAATCACGACAACCGTGACGCCTGTTATAAGTAGCGCGTTCCCTGGAGATGACAGGTGTTCAGTATGCTTTCCGAACAAAGACACTGGAGGTTTTAGAGGGTTACTGCTGCTTACCGGACATAGCGCTCGTCTACAATGCTGACTTCACGTCAGCTGCGACTGAAAGATGCTATAGAGTGTGCACAGGTGTACAGAAGCAGCCTGAGTGAACGCAAAGCCCGATAGACGTGGCAATCCCGGAGGAGCCCACCGCGAAAATGTGCGGTGATTCACGACAGGTGCTCGAAGACGGCTTCTAAGCAATATTGGATGTCAATTAGAGGATGGTAGTAGAGCTCCTGTAGGCTAGAATACTCGACCGGTGTGAGGGGCGTAAGAGCGGGTGCAGAGTCGGGAGAGTCCTCCACAGGACACTCGTCGGAGTGTGAATTTATATACCGAAAATCCCATCAGCGCTAAGAGGGTAGCCGCGATCTCGCTGCTGCGGAACCAGCACTCATCAGAGACCCAATTTGCCAGGAGAAGGGGTTGGAGACACAGACACGGATGATGAGCACGAGTGCCAGATTTTACGATTTTTTGTGTGACCAGATTGAAGCTGCTGGCCTGGTGAGAGATACCGTGGGAACGTGCGCTCACCCATTTCGAAGACCGACATTCCCACGGGGGACCATGCTTTGCCTCCGCAACGGGGTTCAAGGCTTCGAGTCTCTCCACATCTACTCTTCACTGTCCACTCGGTCTTCGAGGCGAATGTATGCCGCTAGGATCCAAGCTTATATCAGAGGCTACCCACGACCAGAATTTCCAGCTCTCGAAGCACTTCGTCAAATTCACAGGCGCGCGCTCGGTGCATATGCACGCACATGTGCAATACAGCCCTTTCAGGCACCATAACACCGAGGCCGACGCCACATCCACACACACGACATCGTCCTTGAAGACACACGAAGAGCACGCACACACTGTGTTATAGGCACGTTGACCCTCGAGACCGGTGTCTCGCTTCATTGCGGTCCAACAGCCATCGCTGATGTAAATCTATTCTATCAAGATGCATGACGGGCAGGCGCGGAACTGCCTTGCATTCCTCCTTCGACTTGCCCACCAACTCTTCTGACCCACTCGTCTTTAGAACATCTCAATCCACATCAACGGCTATGTCCACACCAACAGAGCGCAAGTTACTACCTGCCTGGGCCATACCCCTCTTGCAGGTCGCCGTCATTGCTCTGACCGTCCTCCGACCTTCCGTGCCTCTTCGTCTTGCCCTCACGCTCATATTCGCCAACTATGTCTACGTGCTGCTCATGCACCATAGCACAGGAGATGGCGCGGTGCACGACTCCACCATAGGGGGAGTTATCGGAAATGCAGCCTACAGTGTCGTGGTCTATGCGTGGCTGTGTGACCCTGTCAAAGACTGGCATTATCGTGGAGAGAAAGGTCCTTCCGGCACCCACATCTCCTTCTCAAGCAAGGTATACAAAGTGACGTGTGTGATCGTGAACACACGTCTCATCGGCTGGAACAACGAGGTTAGTCGTGCAATCTTTGTGCCCCATCTCCGAGGCTGAGCTGAGGGCAACTCGGCGTTTAGGTACCCAACGTACCGCCCGCCACAGCTTCGCGGTCGCACGGCGAGTTTCTGCGGCATAGGCTCCTCCGAGTGCTGCAGTGCCTTCTCTACATCGATCTCGCGCAATCATACGTGCACCTGCAGCCGCTCTTTTCGTTCCAAGGGACAGACGCCTTCCCAACAGGTGGGAAAGGCGTCTTGTTGCAATTCTTATGCCTCTTCGCATGGTATGTCAATGTTTACGCCACTATGAAACTTCTTCATACGGCGGTGGCAATCGTATGTGTCGCTACGGGGCTCTTCAACGGCAATCCGGAGGATTGGCGCCCTGCGTTCGGGAACTGGTCGGACGCGTACACGCTACGACGCTTCTGGGGGTACGCATTCTATCAAATCATACTAAATACCCTTTACCGAGATATACTAATGCTTCCGCACATAGGAGAACGTGGCACCAGTTCATGCGCGTGGTATGCATCGCTGCTCTATCCACATTTAAGAACAACGATTAACACTCTCGCCACTTATCTACAGCTATTCAGAGCGACAGGCCAAACCCTCGTGTCGACCTTCGGTTTCAAGAAAGGCGGCTGGGCGTCATCGCAGACCCAGCTGTACGCCGCGTTCTTCGCCTCGGGCCTGATACACACCGCATGCGACGCCATGGTCGGGAAGGAATATATCGGCACCCGGATGAAGTTCTTCATGGCGAACGCCGTCGCGATCACGTTCGAGGACGCTGTCATCGGTACAGCGCGTCGGCTCGGGATTGGGGCAGAGGCGCCAGCAAGGTGGATGAAGTGCATAGGGTATATGTGGGTGGCGGTGTGGTTCTACCACGCGTGCCAGCCGGAGATGCACTACATCCTCCCGCTGGGGGCAGCGGAGGAAGAGGTGCTGCCGTTCTCCCTCGTGCGCTTATATGCGCCGGCGTTCGTGTGAGTGCCTATTGATTGTATCAGTATATTCGAGTTGACGACTGAAACTTTTGTCAGTACCCGTGCAATGAAAGCTACTTTGTAGTATTCCTAGCAATTCAGTTCTTCCGGCGCCACCGCTATGGTCTTTCTGCCCTCGCGCGCACTCTCGTTCAGTCTCGCCGGCCCCTCTGCGCTGCTCCGATGAGACGTCCAATATTGGGATCAACTCGAACGAAACGCTGTGCTCGATCAAACCCAGCCGCCCCTGCCGAAAGAGAAGGCGGCCGCCGACAACGTTGCAAAGCTCACGGACTCGACATCGTTCCTGATGGTAATTTACTGTATCTAGCACAACCGCCGTGCATTCCTAGGCCTTTAGCATCTTCTCCATCTCGTGTTCTACCGTAGGCATCGATGATGCCCTTCCCACACCACCCTGATGTGCTGCAGAGTTCGGTACTGGGAAGAACCAGGTTCTGTGCGGTGCGTATTCATCCCCGGGCCAAAGGGCTGTGTTTTTCTGTCACTGACCATCTACCAGATGTAGATCGTCGGAGAGCAACACAACCCATCGCTTCCGATGCCTCTCCTCCCAGATGCTGGTCGCGCGGATATCTAGCACGTCCGCGGTGCGTCGTTCCTGATCCCGTCTGCCATTCGACGTGCTATGAAATCTATCGGGTTTAACGACATCATGCATCATGGGTAACGGTCTGTCGACCGAAAATTGTTCTAAGATATATTTACCTCCTTCATCACGTTAGTTCTCATGACAGTTCGGAGCTACTCAGTACATAAACTCGGCCTATTGGGACACATACCACGCGCTACTCACCTACTACGCTATGGCTACACCTACTCAGGTGTCGATCGACCTGTCTGGAATTCCATCCTTGCCTTCTACGCTTCATATACCCTCGGTTGCTGGTACCCTCGGAGCGGTTCTTATCGGCACATTCTTAGGACTCATGTGAGTGTAGTACATCTGTTCGAATGGTGACACATTCGCTAACAACGATGCCAGCCTCTATGGGCTTACTCTTCACCAGGCTTATCACTACGCGCGCACGTTCCCGAGGGACCCTTCGTGGCTGAAGGGCGTGGTATGACTGTACTCGCTGCGTTGTGGTTATACGACTTATCCTACGCTTGACAGGTCATGGTCACAGTGCAAGCAATATTTCACTTCGGCGCGGTCAGGGGGCCTCGACTGTACTAATGTTATCTCCAGGATCTTGGAAACCGCTTCAAGCGTATTTACTATGCACATGTGGTACGTCGTTCTTTCGTATACTAATGTAGTTCAGCGAACGCTCAAAGTGCGTTTCTGCCAGTTATACTTACATGGTCACGGATTACTTCGATCCGCAAGATTTGGGGTCGTTATGGTAGCTATGCGCAACTTCGTGTTGTCTCGAATGCCACTGATGCGAGTGCTCTACTAGGTCGCTTAATGTGAGTATAATGCCCAGTATAGCAAGAAGTCTCTGGGCCGTTCTCACGTCACATTTGCAGCTTTTCTATTCTTTCTCGGTGCGTGGACTCGCGGCTGCAACGATGAATCGACGGCGACGATGGGTTTCTTGCCGTAGGGAGCAACTATGGTCACAGCTCAAAGGTCAGTGTCAATTTTGGTACCCATCCGAAAGGCAAGACTGACGGGTAATCGCATATATTGCAGCTTCTTCGCACGACGCCTATGGATCCTTGGGGGCCGCATTTACAGGATAGTGGTCGTGCTCTCGGCGAGTAATAAGCCCGTGAGCGCCAGCAGACATACTAATATTGTCGTCTAGTGCATATCCTCATTGGCACAGTTGGGTAAGTTTCGGCGCTACCCTGCATCATGTCCACTAAACTGACGTTCAATGTCTGCCGGCAGCGATCTTCATAGGCAAGAAGAGCGCACACTTCGACGTGTTTCCGAGGTCACTGACTTAACTTAACGCCCTGGGTTTTGTTCACCCCAGCCGCGACCACGATCACGTATGTGTAGCTGCGGTGCATCCTGAGCGGATACTCATTTGCTGATAATATGAACCTCTGCCGTCCAGATTCGTCACCAGCGATGCAGACAACGTGGTAGCTTTGGTATGAAAAGCCTATCGGCAACGACGGCTGTGACACTCACATCGTGATTGACCTGTCTGTAGCGCCTTTTACCTTCGGCGTTCACGTTGGCTATGGTATCGGACTTACTACTGACGGCGTCTCTGATCCATGTCTTGCATTGCAAGCGCACGGGTTTCAAGAGGTTCGTCTAATATCAGCATATTATCTGCGCATGATATCAATGCGTATACATAGGACGGACACCGTGATCGATACTCTGATTTTGTATTCCATCAATACGGGTATGTCGCATTGCATCTAGCAGGCTGGATAGTCTCACTATACTAAAACTAAGCATCTAGGCCTTCTCAATGGGTGCATTTTTTTTTTCGTTAGCGTACCGAGGTCCGGGTCTGACTACCGTGTCTTCCTCCTGACAGCGTCTTTGACCTCATCACCGCGATATTGGTATGTCGATTATTTCAAAAAGGCTCTACATTGCCACATACATCTGACGGACTTTGGACTTTCAAGGCTTTTGCTCAGCCAGATAAACACCTCTATAGCGTCTTCGGTATCCCCGGAGTGAAACGTAAGCATCATACCCGGGTCGGTCCATCTACGTGCTAACGCGCAATCTGACCCGCTGCCTTTTAGTGTATGCCATCACGCTCCTCGCTGCGTACGCCCCTTCGACCAACTCGTCGGCCATGAGACTGACACCTCAGGCTCTTGCTCATATAGCCTGAACTCTCGCCGTACGATCCAAGCGCAGAGTGCCACGGTCGACTCGGAGCTCCATGGCAGCGACCTCGCGTTTGGAGTCAGCGTGTCTCCGCCGCCGACAACCAAACCAATGTCGCTGGGTGCACGGCTTCGGGGCCATCGGGTACGTTTGGTGCAGGCTTGCTTTATGTAGAAGACTCGGAATGGCTGACGTGAACCCGGAAATCTAGGCTTCGTCTGTGGGCACATCAGGTGGAAACCACGCACTTATCGAACTCAAAAACATGTCGTCGTCGAGGCCGTCGCGCGGCACCTCCGTTGAGGAACGTGCCGACAGGGTCGGGAGCGATCAGGATTCGTACCATCCCTCCGCGAAGACAGATGACGTTGAATCAGCGCACATCGATTCGCCGGTGGGATGGTGAGTGCTTCCGAGCAGTACGATTGTTAATGGCGTCCTCTGTTAATGTTGTGGATAATCTTAGATACTTCATAATGCTATTTGGGCGACTCTCTCAAACACGACTGAATGGGAGTCACTATTTGCTCTCCCTGCTGCAAGTCTTGACGAGATTTGCAAAAAGATGAGCCACTGTACGATATCCATACGATGATGACAACAATGAAAAGCCCGCAGATGACTCGCCGGCGATTTTGAAAGAGGCCACAGGGTACGTCGTTGAGGATGCTGTACCATTTTTCTCTATCCTAGGTCCTACGTACCCCTGCAAAACAGAAGGAACTTCTGGCACGGTCGTCGTTCTTCACGGGGTCGGCGTAGCGCCAGTGTACGCGTGGATCGTCTCGTCCGCGCACCCAGCAGGAGTCATGTAGTCGTAGTTGCCCAGGTTGATGTATACGTCCTTGTTGCCCTCGGCGTCGGGGCAAACGAGCCAGGCCTGCACACGCTTGCGTCAGCCTCACTTCCAGAGCCAAAACACGCAAGATACTCACGTTGGTCTGCGGGCGCTGGATGGTCGGGATGGACCACTCGACGGTGTCGCCGGAGAAGACGAATGTGCCGGCGTTGGCGCCGCTCGCGGGCGCGGTCGACCACGACATCTTGAGCTTCATGACGGACGGGTCGGAGCGGCCCTCGACAACAGCATACAGCTTCGTGCCGTCCGCGACCTCCTGGATGAGCTGGCCGCCGGTGATCTGGAACTGCGCGGCGGTGGTGTAGTCGCCGAGTACGGCGTCGCCCGCGGTACCCTCAACCTCGGAGCGGAGGTACTGGTGGAAGTTGGGGTCCTCCTGCAGTATTAAGTGCTCACTCAGTACACGGGTTATGGAGAGATGGGGGTGCAATACGACGTACCACAGCACGAATGAAGGAGTTACCGGAAACCAGAGTGGGAAGGCTGCCTGGGGCACTGGCGGTAGAGGTCGGCGAACCACCGCCGCCGGGGGTGGAAGGGGTGGTCGGTGTGGCCGGCGTGCTGCTTGGGGCGGCGGCGCCAGGGAGGCACTGGGAGTAGTACTGGTTGGACACTGTACACGCCCACCCCGAGGGGCAAACGGTGGCGCCGGACCAGCCTTGGCCACCACACTGGTCGGGTAGGGCGGGTGTAAGCGAATGTATACGTGAGCAGAAGTTAAACACGTACTTGGCCGTACTGCGGGGCAGTGGCTTGTGCAGCAGCACCTGTGGCAAAGACGAGCGCGCCGAAAATCGAGAGGGTCGCTGAGGAGATCATGGTTGTTGAAACCCCACACCCCCGCCTCGCGGACCATATATGTATCTCCGCGCGGAGTGCATTGTTGAGGTAGTGTCGCGTCACACCGAGCAATTGCCTCTACCTCGGGCGTACCGGAACGACGTGACGCGGCGGAGAAGCAGCGAACGCGAGCATCACTCCGTGATGGGTAATTGTCGGGGACTCGGGGGGAGGAGGCGTCGTTCGGGCGTCAAGGCCGTCGCGCTACGATGCGTCTGCTGAGCGCAACGTAGCACTCGGAAGACAGTTGATTCCTCCGAGAATATACTCCATGATGAAGGGTGCCTCAACGAGAATATCTGGCAGAGCTCGTGATCATTTTCGGCCGTGTTGCTGCCTTTGTTCAACCCTAGTGATTCTTCTGATGATTCTCGGTTGAAGAATTGGCGCATGTACTGTCCATTTAGCATGAACCATTCAGGATCATCGGACATAGATGACTTAGGAAAGTTCAGCACGATGGGTGAGTAATTGGGACAATATGAGGGTTTGTCGGTAATCACTGCTACTTACTGCCAGAGTACACGCCGCATTTATTTGTTAGGCTGTCAGATTCTGTGCATTCAAAATCTGCATGAGCTGTGGGATAGGAATATAATGAGTGAGGGGAGGCGATAACTTTACTGGAGAGAGAGAGCGAAGCGACTGGGGCCGGCGCTTCCGAGCGGTGGGTGTACTTTTCGGGATATGCCGTCAGACGCCGAACGCGATCCTCATACCACTACCATGGCACCACCACCACCATTTTGTGGCGTCCCTGAACGTCTTTCGCCCCGCTTGCGCAGGAAAAATCTCGAAGGATCATACATAGGTGAACACATCCTCAAGGTTATTAGGTGGGTCAATAATCGGCCACCATCTAGTCACAATCCCGGCTCGTCTGCTCGATCAGCCACTTTAGTGTAGACCAATCTACCTGCTCTACGCAGCACAATGTCTTCTGAAGACCCTCCCCCGTAAGTCTGGAAGACTCTCCGTCACCGTATTTGCGAACTCATCGCCATGACACAGACTGCTCCAGCTAAATCATGATATGCTTATGGCAGTCATAGACGTACTCGGGGCACATAATGAACTGACATCTTTCTCGAGAACATGCAAGGTCATCCGAGAGTTCTGCATGCCAGTCCTATTCAGACATTGCAAGATCAAAGTATACCATCCCGTAGAGTTCGAGAACTCCCTCGAGGCGCGCCGGTCGCTGTGGCCTTACATTCGGTAGGCCACCTCCTCTGGCGCTTTTGCTGGCACCGCTCATCATTTTTCCTTGTATATAGTTCGCTTACCATGATGGACTATTGCGACAACAGAGGTAAAATAACGAGGCCAGGCATGTTACTGAAGCACACGATGGACCCCCTCCTTTGTGGCGTCTACAATCCCCGTGAACTGGGCACCGCCCTGCGCAATATGCCTCGCTTGCATGCTGTCTCCATGGTACTCTGCTGGGCTGAAGGACATGGCCTTCCGTGGTCAGTGCTAGACGCCGTATTGACAGTGCCACACTTGCGGGAGTTCACTTGCGACCACCACGAGTTCTCACCCCGCCCAATCATTCCCAAAGAAACCAAAAACTTCACCGATCCACCTGCTGCCCTCACTGCGTTCCATTACATCGTTAGCGATTACCGACATAACTCTCGGGGGTATCCCCCGGAGGCCGATGCTCTCCGTATCGTCTTGGGAAGCCTTTATCGAACTCTGCAGATTATCGACCTACCTACCGAGCCAACGAGTCTTCGCCACATATCTAGCCTTGCCTGGCCCGTCCTTCGTGAGCTTCGGCTCCGTGGAGAGCTTTACCCAGCGGAGGACCGCCCTGTCCCGTTGATATCCGCGCTGGCACATATGTCGGCGCTCCGTGTTCTCGATCTGCGCTTCAGTGTCACCAAGGGTTCACATGTGCCCGCACCGCCCATATGGCCCTCCGGCCTCCACGCAACGTACCCGTGGCCAGACCTGAAACACCTCGTCATCTCGTACGCGAACACGGATGACCAGTTATTTCAACATCTCCCGCCGACGCTGCGCAGGCTGACCCTTCAGTACTTTCCGCATCTCGGGCCGAGCGAGTGGGACGGAATAAACACTCTCCCGGTTGTTTCGCTACGCCGGTACTCTTCGTACATCTTGCACATCCTGCGCCTCTGCCCTATTCCCCAGCTCGACGAACTGGAAGTCGACTACCATCAAGATGGCGAGGAATACAGTCTGCTGCGGTACATAACCGCCGCGTTCCCTGCGCTCACGTCTCTCAAGGTCCGGCGCTATTGTGCCTCGGACGCAACCGATGTCGATGTGGTAGGTTGATTTTCCTACCATCGCTCCTTCAATCCACGGATGTGTGCTCTCTTTCTGACTCCGAAATCATGCAGGAATCAATCGCCCTCCTCATCAAGCCCTTGGTCCATCTCCGCATCCTCCACCTGCACCTGGATATCCCAGTCGCCGGCATAAGCTTCGAATATTGGTTTCCGAGCCTCGAAAAATACCAGAAGGTGCAGGATCGTGCCGCGGACACTATTGCGCCGCACCTCGGGCCATGCGTCGAGCTGCTCAAGCTCGGGCGGCTCGCTTACTCGTGGGCGGTGTACAGGGTGCTTCGCGACGACGCGGACATTGACGGTGGGAGGGCCGCGCCCGTGCGTGTTCAATATGATAGCGTCCTTTCGGTGAGGCGCATCTCTCTCGGTGGTGTTGTACTGCTAACGTTTTTCCGTGCTTGGCTTGCGCGACACAGGGGGATCCTGTGTTCACTCCGATCACCGTAGTCATATCACCCGCAGGAAATTGATCCTTCTTCCCTCTACACCGTCCTGTCATATCGTTGGAGCTGGAAGTATTTATGCTTATGAGTTCTCGAGTCATGGAGGGCGGTGCGTCTATAGTCTGCATATTTGAGACGAGCCTGTGGTTATTCCCCGGGGCTCGGCATCCTCGCTTTGCCTCCCAAAGTAATCATTCATCTGTGGAAAAAACTGCAGCTTTTACCCCCTACTGGTAAATCACAAAATGCGATCCTTGATATAGAGAAGCGAGTTCCTCCTCCCGGTCGACGTGGGCATAAACCGGCCCCGCAGATGATACACCAAATCTCTTTCTCTCCCCTCGTCCCGGCCCTCCGACTTGGAAGCGCCGGTACGTCCAGTTCCACCCCGCCGTCTTCCTCTCGTCTATTTCCCGTTCCATACCCACACGATGATACAGCTCATACCCGTGCTTCTCGACGAGCATCAACGTCAACTCGAATAAACCGACGGGTCTGGGTCCTTCTCCCGACCATGACTGGTGCTTCCACGTATCGGGGTTCCGGTTGAAGTTCTTCTTCCGCCCAACGACGACTGCCCAGACCTCTCGGTCGTCGTACACTGTCTGTACCACAGCCCAATCAGCACCAGTCATCCTCCAGGCAGATGCGGTTTCCACTAGCATCGGCGCGGCCCTGCTCCAGAACACAAAATACCCCGAGTCGGTCATTTCTCCTCGCGGCGCGCCCCGTGTGTCCCATGAGCTCGACTCGAAGAACGTCTCCACCACTATGGCGTCCGTAGCAGGCACCGGTCCTTTCGGCGTGTGTATGTAGGCACGGCCACTTTCACTCGTCTCCGGCATCTCGGGGAGCGTCGAGAGCTCCTTGGACGGCGTCATTGTGGGCGCGATATAGAGCCATGTCGCTGTTGCGCGCGGGCGTCGCATCATCTCCTGTATCAGTGCAATCGTTGCGCGCAGCCTGTCCGTCTTCCCGAAGCGCGACACGTCGAGGTGCACGCCAAACAGCCCCATAATGCTGAACACCATGTCCACAGGGCGAGAGGACGAGCGTGTGTACGCCGCAGTCCAAAGTGGTAGTCCTGTCCGAAAGGCGACTGCATTGCTCAGCGTCAGGGACTCGACCCCGCGGAGAATGCGGATAGGAAGGCGGGCCTGCAGGTCGGGAAAGTCGGGGCCGTGTTCGCGCAGCGCTTCTAGCCAGGAGTGGATTTCTCCGCGCAGCATGTTCAGGTCGCTGACCGCGGACCTGTCTGGCTCCAAGACCCGCTCGACAAATGTCCCGTGTGGGGCGACCTCGGTGTCGAACCTGAGATCGGATGTGAAGACGGCGCGGCAGCGTTCGTTGTATTTCTCTACGTCGCACCGCTCCTGGATGAACTCGCGGTATGTGGGATGGGTGAGCGCAAAGACGACTTTGACGGTCCCGTCCTGGGGAGCGACGGCCTCTTGGAGCGTCCATGCGCGGTCGATCCATGACGTCGCATCGTCGAGGCGCGCGAGGCGCACGAGGCCTCCGGAGAACACGAGGCACGTCGTGCATCGCCGGTAGATGTGGAACATGCGTTGGATCTGCCAGTCCTTATCTTCTTTGGATGCTTGGAGGATGCACAGACGGTCGAGCCACAGGTAGTTGCAGTTGTATGCGCGGGCGGCGAGGCATGCTGTGCGGATGACAGAGATGGAGATGGGGTCCGCGTGGAGGGCGCCCGCAACGGAGAATGAGGGAGTTGAGCTCCCCGCGGGGAGTTGAAGGTCGCGCCACGGATATGAGATCGCTGCGAAGAGTGGAAGCGATATGGAGCAAAGGTCGGTCTTCGAATCTTGGGAGTCGAGGATGGCAGGAAACTCCACGACTTGTAGACTGTCCGCGTCGAGAAACTTGGCAACATCCACTAAACGAAAGCGTCGAGGTTCTGCTCCAGATGCTCCAGGGTCTACGACACATTCTCTGGAGAGGTGGTCCAGGGGGATGGCAACGACAATGCTATGCTCTTGAGGGCAATTTTGAGAGTCCTGTATCGGCCTCGCTGTCGTTCCGGCTAGAACTGATAAACGTGTCAGCTAGTGAGCCTATTGAAGTGTCCGGATGCCCCGGACAACGGTCGTAGTACACTTGCCATTTGATAAAGTGTTGCAAAGACTCGTACGCATGAACGAAGATGCGATTTTGATGGACCATGAAAATAACTGGCCCATGCTTGGTCGGAGGAGGTCATAGGAGGTGCAGTAGCAATACTAGTCAGAAACCCGATCAGTGCCAGACGAGCACAATTGGTTTAGGAAACCCACGCTAAAACCGCCCATGAGAAGTCGAGGGATTGGAACTGAACGTGTTCAAAGCGTTGCAGACGCGTGCTTAACTTATTGTCGCCGTCACGGCGATCATGAACTCTAAGTGCATCTCTTGACGCACGGATAAACCGGTCGTCCGCGCTGAGAACACATTAAATGCCTGATCTAGTCGGGGCAGCCTATGCCCCGAGAACGATTCAATGAGTCTACGAGTATTGTGGCGGGAATACTAGCGTACTCACCAAGGGCTCCCAGAAGGTATCATGGCAGACAAGGGCCTACTAGGACCAGTGGCTCCAGATTCGAACGCACTTGCAGGAAAATCGGGCGCGTGAGAAGGAGCGAGTGTGTGCAGACGCGCACGTGTGTCAGATGCGAACTTGAAACGCGTGGGTCTATTCGGGGCCGCCGGACGGTTAGGTGAATACCTAGGTGGCGCGTTGCGCGCGTGGTACCAGGGATCTAAAACATGGAACTGACCGAAATCGGAACGAGGGAAACGCGCTGAGTCACTTACAATAATAGTGGATACTAGACATTGACGGTGCTGGCGGATAACCGTGCGTCAAAAGAACGCATGGGGTGTTCGTGTGTGGGAAACAACGTGCGGCTTTGAACATGGACAGAGATGCTTGTAACGTACATCAATCACGCTTGCGCGGGTTGACGGCCTCAGCGCGCACACCGACGCCCGTGGTCTCGTCTCGGATGACGACGAATTTCTCCCAGAACCAGGAGTACGGGAAGTAGCAGTGTGGAGCCCAGAGCGTGATCGTCTCCAGTGACGGGCTTGATGCCCCCGCTAGACTGTCCGCAAGCGACTGTGTCAACGCCAAGTAAGACTCCAGCCGAGTTATGTCCTCCGCGATATCGTATTTATATCCCGTTGGATAGTAGAAGGACGCAGTGGTGTCCGGGTGGTCCAGATGGAGACATATGTGCTGTAGACGTGGATGCGCTCCCATCATGCGGAGGAGTGGTTCCTGTGGACGACCCGGGCATTGTGTTAGCGCTGAACGGTACCTGGAGTCGAAGATGAAACATCGTGAACTCACCAATGGGCCGGCCTCAGCATCATCAACCGCACGGTACCTGAGCAACTTGACTGAGGTCAGGGCAGGATACGACGCGCCGATATGCTGCATGAGCTCCGTGTTGGCCTCGTCCTCGCGATACTCCAACTCCAGACTGGTGAGACGCGGGCAGCGGCACCGTCGTAAAATCTGCAGCATCTCCGAAGAACTCACGAGTGGCCACTGACAGCGCATGCCCCTGCCGTTCCATACACTATGAATCATATGAGGGGTATAACACAACGCGAGACTCTCGAGTGTCGGCGGAAGGGCGCCGTGGATTTGGTCGTCGACGTGTGGACAAGAGAGCGTGAGATGACGGAGATTCGGCCACGGCCACTCCACGATATCGTGGCCAGGCGGCCAGAACAGCTGGGGATCGACGCCCTTGGGTTGCGCGAGCTTCAGTTCTATATGTCGTAGGCGGGGCACGTTTGCAAATAGGCTGATAAATGGGAGTGAAGAGTCTCCGATCGCCTTGCGCTCGCCGCGGAGGCGTAATTCGCGGAGGTTCGGCCACTCGAGTGCAGTGAACACTTCGTCGAGAGGCGACAACTCCGTCACAAGCGTCAATGTTTCGAGGGTGGCGTGGGTCCTATTGAGAACAAGTAGGAGCGCTTGCCTCTCGTCTGGATAGTCCTGCTTTCGCCACCGACGATAATCGGACATGGTGTGCTGGAAGGAGGTAAGAGGTGCGCAACGGTCAAGAACGAGCTCCTCCTGTGGCAGTAGGCTGGGAGCAATCCGATGACCATTGATTGTGAGGTTTCTGAGGGTGGGGAGGGCGAGGATCATTTGCACAACCGACCACGGGATGCCGTGGATTGGCAGCCGGTGGAGGTTAAACGACAAAGTGTGCAGCCGGGGCATGCTCTCAAGTGCAGTAGCGAAGAAGGGCGTACTGTACACTGCACATAAGAGAGGGTCGGTGGTGAAACGCAGGTCACGCTCGAGTGCGTCTCGCAGATCTTCTTCACGAGGTATATCTCCGCAGCGGTCGTTGAAGTGGAGGATGCTAGGGAAGGTCGACGTGCCGTGAGAGGTAATTTGGTTGGTATGGATAAGATGACATACCTGACATATGGACGCAGTGCTTCGGGCACAAATCCTCTAGCTGCGATGGGGACGGGCGATCGCAAGCTGAATTCCCTACAAAGACTCGGCAGGCAGCGCAGCCTTATTCTTCGGCACGTTCTGGAGAGAGCAGGGATTGCCTGGAGGTGAGAAGCCGCCTCTACAATGAGATCGAGCACATCATCGTTAAGCGCAGAGATGCTGCCATCGTCCATTGCATGCTGTTGGTGCATGAGCAGAGGAAGTTCAGGTCGAGGAGGAGGAAGACCGTAATACGGTTCGGATGTTTTTCCCAGCGGGTTAATCATGTAGATTAGATTAGATTACACAGGCATTTCCACATTCGGAAGTTCTACCAAACGGTCGTCTAGGCCGCTCGTTCACCTGGACCACCATCATCAGCGTGCCCAGCAACTCACGGGGTCAGCGCTCTCTGCTATACGCGTAACGCTACTCACACAGCACCTGTCTTCATTATTTATCTGCCAGTTTGCGTTATTAGCCCACGACTTACGACGCGGCATAAACGAGGATCCGTCATTCGTGATGCTCTTTCAATCGCTACGTTATAATCCTCTTCTTAATCGACTCGCGGATTAGCCGCGCGTACGAATTCTGGACTCCTTCGAATGAACTGTAGTGATCATTCAAGTATATAAGGAGAGAGCTATCGGCTTACACAAAAGTCAAGAGCAGGTGCGTGCACGAAACGAATACGGTACGGCGTCCACCGGAATTGTGGTGTACGAAACGACACGTTCTATACCGCTCCTGTTTGCAGGTCAGATAGCTTGTCGAAGGTGTCTGCAGCGTATATGATACTACTCCTTTAGGGCAGCGGAGTCAAGATAACGCTGTATCCTGAGCGACCCACAGCCAGTACTGAGAGACGCCCGCATAGCGACATAGACGAAGATCGAGCTGATACAACCACGGGCTGCAGCAACACAATACATCAGGCAATCCGAGTCTAGCGAACGAGTAACAATATCAGAGTACATGCACCTCCTATGCATATATCCTCCGTGCGAGTGAGGGGGTAGGTTGAAGGATGAGAAAAGGATATTTGAGGGTGGGGTTCGGAGTGAAGTGACGCGGAGCTCCTGTATTTTGTGAGCAACCCGACTGCTCCCGGCTCATATGCACTGATATGGGACGTACATCAACGACGGTGAGTGCGCGGCTTCACTGCTTCTGCACATGGCTTTACTGCCTCTGCGCGCACACCGACGCCTGTGGCCTCGTCTCGGACGACCGCGAAGCTCTTCCAGAACCAGGAGTACGGAAAATCGGAGTCCGGAGTCCAAAGCGTGATCGTCTCCAGCGATGGGCCTGACGCGTCCGCCAGGCTGTCCGCGAGCGACTGCGTCGACACCAAGAACGTTTCCAGCAGCAATTTGTCGTGCGTAATGCTGTATTTGTAACCCGTGTAAAACAAGAAAGAAGTCGTAGTGTCGAGGTGATCGAGGTGAAGACAGATTCTTTGCAGATGGGGATGTGCTCCCAGCATGCAAAGGAGTGGTTCCTGAGGACGATACAGGAATTGTGTTAGCGCAACACGGTGCCAGGGTGAGCATATGAGTGGTGGGTGTCGTAAACTCACCAGGGGGCCGGCCTCAGCGTCAGCGGCCGACCGGTATCTGAGCAGCTTGAAGGAGGTCAACGCGGGGAAAGACGCGCCGATATGCTGCATGAGCTCTGCATCCGCCTCGTCCTCGCGATACTCTAACTCCAGACTGGTGAGACGCGCGCACCGACATCGCCGTAAGATTTGTAGCATCTCCGAAGACCTCACGAGCGGCCACTGACAGCGCATGCCTACGGCGTTGCCACGTAGCATATGAGGGGTATAACGCAGCGCGAGGCTTTCAAGAGTCAATGGAAGGGCGCTGTAGATTTGGTCGTCGACGTGTGGACAAGAGAGCGTGAGGTGACGGAGATTCGGCCACGGCCACTCCACGATATTGTGGCCAGGCGGCCAGAATGGCTGGGGATCGACGCCTGCCGTTTGCGCGAGCTTGAGTTCCACACGTCGTAGGCGGGACATGTTTGCGAACAGGGTGATAAATGGGAGTGAGGAGTCTCCGATCGCCTTGCGCTCGCCGAGGAGGCGTAATTCGCGGAGATTCGGCCATGCGAGCGTAGTGAATATTTCGTTGAGAGGCGACAACTCCGCCACGAGCGCCAATGTTTCGAGGGTCGCGTGGGTCCTGTTGAGAACGAGCAGGAGTGCTTGCCTTTCATCCGGATAGTTCTGTTCTCGCCACCAACGATAATCGGACACGGTGTGCTGGAAGGAGGTAAGAGGTGCGCAACGGTCAAGAACGAGCTCTTCCTGTGGCAATAGGCTGGAAGCAATCCGATGACCATTGATTGCGAGGTTTCTGAGGGTGGGGAGAGCGAGGACCATCTGCATGACCGACCACGGGATGCCGTGGACGGGCTGCCAGCGGAGGTTGAACGACAGAGTGTGCAGCCGGGGCATATTTTCCAGCGTGGTGGCGAGGAAGGGCGTACTGTAAACTCCACATAAGAGGGGGTTGCTTGTGAAGCGCAGGGGACGCTCGAGCGCGTCTCGAATATCTTTTTCACGAGGTATATCTCCGCAATTGTCATTGAAGTGGAGGATGCTGTTAGACGTCAACGTGCTGTGAAGGATGATTTGGTCTGTACGAACACGATGGCCTACCTGACATATGTACGCAGTGCTTCGGGGATGAATGTCATGGGTATGACGGCAACGCGCGTTCGCAAGTTGAATTCCCTGCAAAGACTGGGCAGGCAGCGCAACCTGATCCTTCGGCATGTTCTAGACAGAGCAGGAATAGCCTGGACAAGGGAGGCCGCCTCGACGATGAGGTCGAGCACATCGTCGTTCAGTGCACCGATGCTGCCATCGTCCATCGCAGGCTATTCGTACGTGTATGAACAGAGGAGAGAGAGGAAGCGCATGAGGTTTCGCCCGATGGACCAATCATGTAGATTAGATTAGATCAAACAAGCGTCTTCCACATTCGGAAGTTCTACCAAACGGTCGTCTCACGTTCACCCCGGACCACCATCATGGGCGTGCCCAGCAACTCACGGGGTCAGCACTCTCTATTATTCGCGCAAAGCTACTCGTTTTTGCAAGCAGAAAACAGGGAAACTCACGACACTTCCTGAGCCTTTGCATCTCGGACCGTGGACGCATCCGTTTACGATTGCGCCAGCTGTGCAACTCGAGACGCCACCTTAATCTAGCTGTTAGCGGGATCAAGACTAGATGTGTGTGGGACCCTCCTGGGTTCCGGAGGTAAGTCTTCAAGCACGGGAGTACGGAAATGCTCCTCGCTGCACCCTCGTTGTAATCAGTGCAGATCGTACGTATCCGCTGAAAAGTCTGGATTCCATCGCTGACGATTGTCTGTCACCAGGTCAGAGCCGCTCGACCTAGAGAGGCAGCTCCGACGATCGCTCGCTCGTACGTGTTCTTTCTGACACGAGGTGACCCCAGTACAGCGTGTACACACGAGCATAGCATTTTATCGGAACCGCCCTTCGCCACGAGGGAACAGAAGCAACGCCCGGACTGTATCCACAACACCCTGCCACTGTTGGACGCTAAATGTGTCCAGCGGAGAGCGCAACAACTGTCTCTTGCAAGCTCACAGGATACCTCTTGACTACCGGGAGAATTGCTGACAGTCGGTCAGGGATTCTGGAGGTCAGGGCCGCCGCAGGCCGCCAGCGCACCTGGATTCGGTGGCAATTGTCAGTATCTCGCCCCAGAAGACACGACGCGACTCCGTGACTCCGACGGCGATGCTTCTGCGCGCGCGCCGCCGCTCTGCACCCACAGGCCCACCATATGATAGTCGGTTTTCTGATTATCTGCGCTCCATCGCAGCAGGCGGCCACCGCCCCTTTTGTTCGTCCCGCCACCCCAGGTCGCCCATACCACTCCTGGAAGGTCGGGGACACGGCACGCGCCCCCATCGATACGCCCGTTGAAACCCAGCATGAGAACATACCAGCACGCGGCACAAAGGCGTCCGGATTGGGCGAAGTCTTTGTGGGACCCCCACGCGGATGGGCGCGGATGCCGTCCGGCTCAGGCCCGGGGTGGGCTCCCCGAAGCTATATAAGCTGGCCTGCTCGCCCCTCCTCTCTCCCCAGGCCTTCACGGTCGACACCGGCCAGCTCAAGTCCCTCAGAGGCCTATAGACAGCGCGCGTCGTCTCCAAGGCGCGCGCCGCCCTCGTGAGGGCTTGGACGGTAAGGTCGCTCGTATCCTGCGACGGTAGCGTTGTCGCTGATCACCCTTCATGCTCGTTTTTCAGAACACTTCATGCACTCGGTAAGTCATCACGTCTCCCTACGGTGTACGTTCGCGGTTGCTGACTCGCATCCCCCTCACAGCGTCGCATCCGCCACCAGCGGTCGGCAGCGAACGGCCCACTGTGGCGACGTGGGCGGCTTTGCTCAACGCTATAGACAGTGAGTGCCTCCTGTGCCACCCGACGCGCATATCACTAACATGCCGTGCTAGCCATCGTCAGCACCCCTACCCAGTGGGACCCCATCCATCCTCCCGCTTGGGGCTGGGGTGTCTGACTTCATGTCGGCACCCCTACCCAGTGGGGCTCAACACCCTCCTCGCGCACGCCACGTCGGGCCCCATGTAAACATCTGGGATCCGCGTGAGGGGCGAAGGTACTCACAGACCGACGCCCTGCGCGACACCACTCCACAAGGGGTGTTGTCGAACGCCTACCGGGCACGCAGCGTCCGCGCATCCTCGCGGACTCCAGGTGAGTCCCTTCTATCTCAAGGTCGGCGCGCGTGCTGCAGGGCGCGCGTCGATATCGCCGACTCCGGGCCTCAAGCCGGAGGTCGCGCGGCGGGCTCAGGTCCCCCAGGACCGACGCCCAGCGGGGTTCTCTGCGACCCCGCTTCCTGCACCGTCCCCTCATAGTTATGAGGACACCACGCGGTAATGGACCCGCTATGAGGGACGGCAGCCCGCCCACCCTCAGTTATGAGGACACCGCAGAGGAACGGCCCCGTTGAGGGTGGACGGACCCCAGGGATAGCGCAGGCCTCTTCGTGGCCCCTGGGACTAGTACCCGCTGCCGTGAGGCAGCGGAGAAGCCAACTGCGCTCATGTCGGCGGACGTCGACATCCTGCAGGTGAGTCTCTTCTCTTGTCTGCTTCCCGCTTCTATGTAGGCTGACACATATCTGTCACCAGGGCAATGTTTTGAGCTCACGCTGTAGCAGGACCACATGTACGTGATCCGCCCTCACCGCGCCGAGCGAACTCGTCGCTGACTCCCATTGTGAACAGGTTCCTCCGGCGAGTGCGCTCGCTGCCCTCTCGATAGCCGTACCCCGGGCCAATGTGCCCCGTCGCGGGAGTGACGACACCGCACGTCAACCCGATACGGCGCTGCTCACAAGTGCGGCATACGACCGGGCTCGACGTGCGGGGCGGGTCTTTTCGGGACGAAGCTGCACACCGCGGCATACGTCCGAGCAACCTCGCGCCACCGGCGTACATCGCTCCACCCTACTGTACGTCTTCCGCTCGCAAGCATTGTCTCACTGCGTCGTGCTGATTATGTCCCCCCAGGTCTCTATATGTGTGCTTCAAGACAACGAACAATCACTGTGTGCCTCAAGATTCTCGGGGTACGGGTCAGGCGCGCGCGACGCGGAGGGGTTTGACCCCGCGTGCGAGCCTGGTCCTGGCGCAGGCCTTTTCGTGGCCCCCGGGATAACTACTCGTCGAGGTGTTAACGCCTCCGAGGAAACCAACGTGCGCCGAAGTGAGTATTGCGTAGATGAGAATTTCATATGTGCGTGCTAGTGTACGAACGGTGTAATCAATTCGTACTACTTGGGCGTCCTCTCCTATGACATACACGATACCTTTCCACGCCGGGAACCGAACGACACCGACGTGCCGGAGGGAGATAAGTATTACTGTGTTGGTGTGCGGTACAGTGTATCAATTAGTTGGTGCTGAGCGACTACGCGGCTTGACGGGATGAGCGCGCATGCCTGTCCCCGTAGCATCGTCTCGGACCACGGCAAAGTCCTCCCAGAACCAAGGAAACGGGAAGTAGAAGTATGGCGCCCAGAGCGTGATCGTCTCCAGCGACGGGCCTGATGCGCTCGCCAGGCTGTCCGCGAGCGACTGTGTCAACGCCAAATATGACTCTAGCCGAGTTGTGTGGTACACGATCTCGAATCTGTATCCCGTGGGGTGGTAGAAGGACGCCGTGGTGTCTGGGTGGTCTACGTGGAGACATATGTGCTGGAGGCGGGGATGTGCTCCCACCATGCGGAGGAGTGGATCCTGCAGGCAACCCGAGCATCGTGTTAGCGCTGCACGGTGCCAGGAGTCGAAGATGAAACTCGTGAACTCACCAATGGGCCGGCCTCAGCATCATCGTCCGCACGATACCTGAGCAGCTTGAATGAGGTCAGCGCAGGATACGACGCGCCGATATGCTGCATGAGCTCTGCGTTCGCCTCGTCCTCGCGATATTCCAACTCTAGACTGGTGAGGCGCGGGCACCGGCATCGTCGTAAAATTTGCAGCATCTCCGAAGACCTCACGAGTGGCCACTGATAGCGCACGTCTGTGAATTTCCGTACGTTACGCAGCTTATGAGGGGTATAACGCAGCGCGAGGCTTTCAAGCGTCGACGGAAGTGCACCGTAGATTTGGTCGTCGACGTGTGGACAAGAGAGCGTGAGGTGGCGGAGATTCGGCCACGGCCACTCTACAACATGGAGGCCAGGCGGCCAGAACGGCTGGGGATCGACGCCCTTGGGTTGCGCGAGCTTCAGCTCTATATGTCGTAGGCGGGGCATGTTTGCAAACAGTGTGATGAATGGGATGGAGGGGTCTCCGGTCGTCTTGCACTCGCCACGGAGGCGTAATTCGCAGAGGTTCGGCCACTCGGGTGTAGTGAATATTTCGTGGAGAGGCGACAAGTCCGCCACGAGCGCCAGCGTTTCGAGGGTAGCGTGGGTCCTGTTGAGAACGAGCAAGAGTGCTTGCCTCTCGTCCGGATAATTTTGTTCTCGCCACCAACGATAATCGGACATGGTGTGCTGGAAGGAGGTAAGAGGTGCGCAATGGTGAAGGACGAGCTCCTCCTCTGGCGACAGGCTGGGAGCAATCCGATGACCATTGATTGCGAGGTTTCTGAGGGTAGGGAGAGCGAGGACCATTTGCATGACCGACCACGGGATGCCGTGGATTGGTTGCCAGAGGAGATTGAACGACAGAGTGTGCAGTCGGGGCATGCTCTCCAACGCGGTAGCGAGGAAGGGCGTGCTATAAGCTCCACATAAGATGGGGTTGCTTGTGAAGCACAGGGGACGCTCGAGCGCGTCTTGCAGATCTTCTTCACGGGGTATATCTTCGCACAGGTCGTTGAAATGGAGGATGCTAGTAGAGGTCGACGTGCTGTGAGGGATGATTTGATCTGTACGAATCCGATGGCGTACCTGACATATGTACGCAGTGCTTCGGGGATGAATGTCATGGGTATGATGGGAACGCGGATTTGCAAGTTAATTTCCCTGCAAAGACTCGGCAGGCAGCGCAGCCTGATTCTTCGGCATGTTCTGGAGAGAGCAGGGATAGCTTGGACAAGGGAGGCCGCCTCGACGATGAGGTCGAGCACATCGTCGTTCAGTGCACCGATGCTGCCATCGTCCATCGTCAGCTGTTCGTATGTGTATGAGCAGAGGAGGAAGAGGAAGAGCACGACACGGTCACTCGGAGGGTTTCGCCCATCATGTAGATTAGATTAGATCAAACAGGCGTCTTCCACATTCGGAAGTTCTACCAAACGACGGTTGTCTCTCGTTCACCCGGACCATCATCATCGGCGTCCCCAGGAACTCACGGGGATAGCAGTCCCTATTATACGCGCAAAGCTACCAAAACAGCAGTTGTCAACCTCTACGCACATACAGGGCGCTCTCCGACACACGCCTTTGTGCGGCATGAATGAGGACCGGTCGCCGACGATCGTGATGCTCTGTTCGCTACGTTACAATCCTCTTCTTCAAGACACTTGCTAATTCGACCCGCGCACGAGTCTTAGAGTACATGAAACGAAATTTGTTGTGCCCTACGATGATCTAGCTCTGCAAGTCGGCCCTTGCAAGCAGAGAAGGGGTAAGTCACCGTATGCCACGAGGTATGCTATATGCAAAGTGGCAGAGATACCGGCCTCTGGTAGGAAGGTCACTTTTTGCGTCTTTGCATTTCAGACCGTGGACGCATCCGTTTACGATTGCGCCAGCTATACAACACGAGACGCCACCTTAATCTAGCTGCTAGCGGGATAAGGACTAGATTGCGGAGGGACCCTCCGGGACTACGGAGGTGAGTCTTTGAGCATAGGAGTACGGATATGCTCCTCGCTACGCCCCGGTTGCATCCAGCGCAGATCGTGCGTATCCGTTCAAAAGTCTGCATTACATCGCTGACGATTGTCCGTCACCAGGTCAGAGCCGCTCGACCTAGAGAGGCAGCTCCGACGATCGTTGTCTCGTACGTGTTCTTTTTGACACGAGGTGACCCGAGTACAGCGTGTACACAGGAGCATAGCATTTTATCGGAACTGCCCTTCGCCACGAGGGAACAGAAGCAACGCCCGGACTGTATCCGACCACAACACCCTGCCACTGTTCGACGCTGAACGCGTCCAGCGGAGAGCGCAATAACCGTCTCCTGCAAGCCCACTACCGACCGATTTATGACTGTTTGAAGGATTCCTGGAAAATGCTCAGGCATCGTGGAGCTCAGGACGTTGCGACGCTGCAGGCCGCCGCCCACCTGGACTCGGTGGCAGTTGCCAGTATCGCGCCCCAGAAGAAAGGACGCGACTCCGCAACTCCGACGGCGATGCTGCTGCGTGCGCGCCGCCGCTCTGCGCCCACAGGCTCACCATATGATACTCGCATTTTTGATTATCTGCGCCCCATCGCAGCAGGCGGCCACCTCCCCTTTCGTTCGTCCCGCCACCCCAGGTCGCCCATACCACTCCTGGAAGGTCGGGGACACGGCACGCGCCCCCATCGATACGCCCGTTGAAACCCAGCATGAGAACATACCAGCACGCGGCACAAAGGCGTCCGGATTGGGCGAAGCCTTTGTGGAACCCCCACGCGGATGTGTGCGGATTCCGTCCCGCTCAGGCCCGGAGTAGGCCCCCCCAAAGCTATATAAGCTGACCTGCTCGCCCCTCCTCTCTCCCCAGGCCTTCACGGTCGACATTCGCCAGCTCAAGTCCCTCCGAGGCCTATAGACAGCGCGCGTCGTCTCCAAGGCGCGCGCCGCCCTCGTGAGGGCTTGGACGGTAAGGTCGCTCGTATCCTGCGACGGTGGCGTTGTCGCTGATCACCCTTCATGCTCGTTTTTCAGAACACTTCATGCACTCGGTAAGTCATCACGTCTCCCTACGGTGTACGTTCGCGGTTGCTGACTCGCATCCCCCTCACAGCGTCGCATCCGCCACCAGCGGTCGGCAGCGAACGGCCCACTGTGGCGACGTGGGCGGCTTTGCTCATCGCTATAGACAGTGAGAACCTCCCGTGCCACCCGACGCGCATATCACTAACATGCCATGCTAGCCCACCCGCTCGGGACTGGGGCGCTCGACGAATTGTCGGTACCCCTACCCAGTGGTGCCCCATCCACCCTCCCGCTCGGGGCTGCGGTGTCTGACTTTATGTCGGCACCCCTACCCAGTGGGGCTCAACACCCTCCTCGCGCACGCCGCGTCGGACCCCGGGTAAACCCCTGGGATCCGCGTGAGGGGCGGACATCCTCATGGACCGACGCCCTGCGTAACACCACCTCACAAAGGGTGTTGTCGAACATTTACCGGGCACGCAGCGCCCGCGCGTCCGCGCAGACTCCAGGTGAGTCTCAGGTTTTATCTTAAGGTCGGCGCGCGTGCTGCAGGGCGCGCGTCGATATCGCCGGCTCCGGGCCCCAAGCCGGAGGTCGCGCCACGGGCTCAGGTCTCCACCGACCGACGCCCAGCGGGGTCCAATGCGACCCTGCTCCCCGCACCGTCCCCTCATAGTTATGAGGACACCACGTAGTAATGGACCCGTTATGAGGGACGGCAGCCCGTCCACCCTCAGTTATGAGGACACCGCATAGGAACGGCCCCGTTGAGGGTGGATGGACCCCAGGGATAGCGCAGGCCTCTTCGTGGCCCCTGGGACTAGTACCCGCTGCCTCACGGCGGCGGGGAAGCCAACTGCGCTCGTGTCGGCGGACGTCGACATCGTGCAGGTGAGTCTCGCTCGCTTCACCTTGCCTCTTCTACGAACGCTGATACATTCTGTCACTAGGGCAATGTTTTGAGCTCACGCTGTAGCAGGACCATATGTACGTGTTCTGCCCTCATTGCGCGCGACGAACCCACCGCTGACACGCGCATTAAATAGGTTCCTCCGGCGAGTGCGCTCGCTGCCCTCTCGATTGCCGTACCCCGGGCCAATGTGCCCCGTCGCGGGAGCGACGACACCGTGCGTCGGTCTGATACGGCGCTGCTCACAAGTGCGACTTACGACCGGGCTCGACGTACGGGGCGGGTCTTCTCGGGCCGAAGCTGCACACCGCGGCATACGCACCGAGCGACCTCGCGCCGCCAGCGTACATCGCTCCACCCACTGTACGTCTTCCGCTCGCGCGCGTCTTCTCGCTGTGTTGTGCTGATCGTGTCTTCGCAGGTCTCTATATGGGTCTCTATATGCGTGCTTCAAGGCAATCAACAACCACTGTGTGCCTCAAGATTCTCGGGGTACGGGTCGGGTGGGCGCGACGCGGAGGAGCTTGGCCTCGCGCGCGCACCTGGCCCTGGCGCAGGCCTTTACGTGGCCCCCGAGATAAGTACTCGTTGAGGTTTCCAGTGCCTCCGAGGAAACCAACGTGCGCCGAAGTGAGTATCTCGTAGATTACGCTTGTATATGCTGTAAAACGCGAACGGTGTAATGCATTCGTGTGTCGACTGCACCTTCTATGAATACAGGATGCCTTGCAATATCTTGATAACGAGGGTGCCGAGCGACGCGGACGTTGCTACTCCTGGTGCGCGTATGTTATCGATGTCTTGCGCAGCGGTGGTACCGGTTCAACCTAATGAGCTCGCCCGCGGTCATCCGCGACTACGTAAATGCCCCAGCCTGTCCTGACCTGCGCGAGTTTCTCGCTAGATGTGGGTGCTCGTAAAAGTAGTAGAAGTCGTTCGGTCCACGAAACTTGGGCAAAGGGTCCATGTACCAGACTTGCTCTTGAAGCAACAAGGATAAGCCTGAAAGCCTGGCGTCCCACACCATACGCGTGCAGCGCGTATACACGGTACTACGTGTCACAATATGCGAATAAACAATTTAGAATACAATACCAGAACCACAATACATCGCATTCATACAATCCAGGAACATGACTCCAGCGCCGTTCAACATCTAGAGCAACATGCCCCCGTCCGAGTGGAAGCCGCACCCTCTGCTCGTTGTGCCTGCTCAACTCAAGCAGTCGTCTTGTAGGACGTAATCGAAAGTATCCTTACCGCCTTGTACTGATGGCCCGTCCCTGGCGTGGTAGTCTGACCAAGGGCTGTTGCTACGGTAGCATCGATGCTCTTGCCGCACTTCGGCCTAGGGGAGCAGGACTAGCCCAAGAGCGCAACAGCAAACGTTGCGCAACGTGAGACGCCTCTCTCAGCTCGCCCACAGTGTTCCCCAGCTAGTCCACAGCGAACGACCCTAAGAGCCCACGAAAGAGACGTCCGAGCCGGAAGCATAGTTGAGCGGTGGATCGGGTGGGGAGAGCTTGTTCTCAACCCGGTCGTCGCGCGCCAGAGTACGCTGAGCGAGGAAGGTCCGCCAAAACGTCTCCAAGTGCTCGGGGTCAGCCCACAAGTGCGCAAGTTCGCGGGGATTGCTGGTAGGACCCTGCAGGTCCATGACCGCATCCAGCCATGTCTGGATATCGGGGTCGGCCCACTTGACGCGGCCGCTGAACAGGCGGGTAGCGCTGTTCACCCGTTTCGCCGCCCCGCCGTAGAGCTGGCGGCCCATGGAGAAGGTGCGGTCGAAGAACTCGTGCATGAGCGGGCGCAGCTGGTCGGGGCGGAGGTTGTGGCGGAGGTGGAGGAGGCTGCAGTGGAAGACGACGTATAGGAGGGCCTCCATGTCGTCCTGGCAGAAGTGCCCTTTTTCGGGCTCGGTCAGCATTTTGCCCGACATGAACCGCCAGGTGCCCTTGGGTTCGGACGCAGTGAGTGAGGTGCTGCCGGTGGGGCGAGGCAAGGTGCTCACCATTCTGTACGCGCAAAGGGAGCGGCCATCACTGTCAACACGGGAGGATGCTTCCCAGTCGATCAGATAGCCTCTGCGCATTTCGCTGCCGCGTTCTTTCACGAGGAGGATGTTCCCGACGGATATGTCTCTGTGCAACCGCGAGTCCTTTTGAAGGGCGTCCCTCATGGCTGATAGAGTTAGATATGTGCTGACGCAACGAAGTTTGGGCCGGCTCACCCTGAAATGCATCATATGTCGCGTGCAGAAGCTCGTCGGTGCCCTTGAAGCTCTTCAATGCGTAGCCTACGGTTCCGAGAACCAGCCGGTAGTGTACATTAGTATTCACTGAGATCCTCCTCCGGGCAACTAGGGACGCCCAAGATGTCGTGTCGTACACATCAGTCCAGGAATAGTGGATGAGCTCGCCTGCGGAGTAATTATGAATAGCGGCGCAAAGGAGAAGAGAACTGACTTACGCGAGCGCACTTCGCCGGGCGTTGGAAGCCTGTGATAGACATCGCCGTGAGCCACGAGGAGTGGGACGTTGCGCACACCCGCCGTATGTAGTCCGGCGATAACGTCGCCCTCGAGTTCTCCAGGAAGACGCCAAGTGTCCTTGAGGAAAACCAGTCGCCTAGTACTCGCTTGAGCGGCCCAATAGCCGCGAGTGGCACGTCCGCCCAGCATCATTGGAGATGTGACCGGCCTGGAGACGAGGTAGCGGTCGACAACGACATCTGTGCCAGTGTTCACGAAGACGTGAACGGCCATCACATGGCCCTCCTGGTAGTGCTCTGAAACGGCTTCGGCGAGGTCGTCGCCTGTAAGACCCAACTGATCCTCGATATGGCGCGAGACGACGTCTCGGAATACCGCTTCCTCCGCCAGAGTCGCCATCTCCACCGTTTGGTCGTGTCCGCGGTCCATGTGGGAGGCGCAAGCATACCGAGCTAGAAATTCGCAAAGTAGTTCCGGCTGTTCGCGCACATCGAAAGAGCGGCTGACGATGATCCCGGAACGGTCCCAGCGGAAGAGGCGGGCGCGGGAGCCACAGAAGGAGACGGAGAAGAGGCAGAGTCGCTGTTGGCGTGCTTGGATTTCCGTAGCGTACGCGATGTGTTGCCCGAGAGCCCTCTCGATACGATCCCGCATCCGGTCGTCCTTGATCTCGACGACGACGTCGTGCTTCTTCCACTCCTTTGGTTGGCTTGAAGTGAGAGGGTCGATAAAGTATTCGAAAGCAATGTCCGGCCTGACTTCGATGAATAGCTCCGCATAGCCAAGATCAGCGCGCGAATAAGGCGGCAAGTGGCGTACACGTTCTAGGTTTTCCGACCGAAAACAGCAAATGTGAGGTTTCATTAAACCTGGTTCGTGTGGCTGCTCCGAACGAATGGACGTGTTCTCGAAGACGAGTCCGGGGGAACGACTCTTGTTATTCGTGGACTTGTTCAACGCAAAGATATTGAGGGTCATGCATCAGTATGCAGAGCTATATGAACGATAGCAGACTACTCACCAGGGGTTCGTATATAGCTGAAGGGGTAGAGCCGCTCGATGGCACCGCGCTGAAGGCATCCCTGCTGGAGAGAATCTCCTGCTTCCTGTCCGGGGGAACATCGGGCAGGAAGTTGTCGATAAATAGCTGCACCGGCATAGTCCCGACGATACAATCCAGAGAGGCCTGAACATTCCGCTCGATGCGTGCATATGCGTCTCTAGGCTCCAGTCCCCGTACTCCAGAGTGGTGATCGTTGAGAGCCAGCGGACAGTCGTAGACGCATGCCAGACTGTATCCTGTGAGATACCCTGGCATAGTTCAGCAAGCAAGAAGCACTGATGAGGATGGAGTACGGAAGAGGTGCACCTCCTCGCGGAGGCGACTCAGGGGATGAAGTTGCTTTTAGCGCTCGGCTCCCGCTAGATAGGCGCCCGTAGTAGGGGTCCGTTTAGACGATAATTAAACTTTTAAGCTTGACCTTGAACGTTTGAACCTCGATCTCGCAGTTCTCTTACTCTTGGAAGTGTCTCTCTATCAACCATGGACAGAAACTCATCGCCCAGCACGCTTGGCTGTGTCTACGACGCTCCGATGGCTCACACCGATGACGACCCGCACACAAACGGATTAGAACCTCTTAGAGCGTATCCTCGTAACCAAAGGCTTCTCCGAGACGCAGAAACGTGCACGGTCGGACCTATGCCAGTACAGGGGTTCATAGACGCTTTCTTGACTCCGATTCCTGATGGCAAGAAGGAGTTTTTGTCCAGTAAGGGTGCATTCAACGATGTGCCGTCGAGTGGCGCCAAGCCCGTCGACATCTACACGCCGCTGGTGCGTGTATTCCATACTTTATTTCCCTAAACGCGTCTTATGCCCTACCAGCTCGCTGCGTTGAACAAGTCTACAAAGCTTAGGTAGGAGCCGCGCTCCCGGCCTTGTGTTCGAGAACGCGTCAATAATCGCCACCGAACCTCACACACCCGGGTTCATGAAACCACACATCTGCTGCTACACACGTGCCAATCTTAGCAATGTACGCGATGCTCCTGCATCCTCCCGCGCCGAACTAGCGTACGCGGAACTCTTCATAGAGGTCAAGTCAGACGCCACGCTAGACATTTTCGTTGACCCCGCTCCGGACGCCACCAGCGAAGAACGTAACTCGCATGACTTCTTCCAACGTTTCCGGGGAGAGGATGAGGAACGTCAAAGCCGTGCTGAGAGGGCATTCGGGCAACACATCGCATATGCGTTAGAAATACAAGCTCGCCAACATCGTGTGCGCCTGTTATCGATCTCCATCGCTGGTTCTTGTGCTCGCCTGCTGCGGTGGGACCGTTCCGGCTGCCGGCATCATCGTCCCTGAGGCGTTCGACATTTGCGTAATCCCAGGCCTGCTCTGCGATTTTCTTGCCCGCTTTGCCCTCGCGTCCGACCATGAGCGTGGACACGACGTGTCTGTACAGATGGCTAGAGTGAAGGAAGAGCTGTTGTTCCGAGGTGTCGTGACAAAGTCTGTCCAGGATCAGCTGGACACGACTTCGCTGGAGCGGTGGCCCAGCATTCTCAACAGGGATGCGTGCATGTCATACAAATCTCTGTCGAAGACTCCGCGACGCCGACTGTCGAGGCTGAGGATGGAGAGGCAGGGCTAATGAGATGAAGGTTGTACTACGCCGCCGTGCGGGTGGTCGTGTAGTAGGCCTGCCGCGCTTTTTGGCTGTAGATGCAGTCGCGGTATATCCTATGCTTGCAAGGTACTTCGAAACAATTGGGGCTTCCCATTACTAACGTCGACTCTATCAAATACAGATTGACAACAGCGTAACCGGCGACAATATAGATATAGAGGTACATGGACGCGCGAAGGCGAATACAATTAACGGGTATCTGTTGACGATGACAGGTCAGAGGAAGGTCAGTCATCAAATATAAATACGTTGTCTTTACTCGCCTTCGACTTCCACCTCGAGCGTCCTACCGCCGGTCGGTGCTAGGCCCGGGAGTTGCATTCTCGGTCTTCTTAGGCTTCGTCCGCGCCTTCTTCTGTGGAGGCTCTTCAGACGCTGCGCGGCCCTCATGTGCGTCGTGGGAGATGATTGGCAGACTGCCCTTAAGCCCGTTCATGGGCTTCCAGGTTCCGGGTTCCGCCAGCTCGTTCACCTCCTCGCCACCTTGAGGAGGCTCGGCCGCCGCGGAAGCGGCGGGGTCTTCAACTACAGATGGTGCTTGGCCGTTATCCCTGGAGCGGCCACTGCCGCTCGCGACCGTCGCAGGGAGGGATAGGCGGTCTCGTTTCCGCTTCACTCCGACACCGCTCTGGGAGCCGGGATCCGCTCTGTTGTTCGAATGGAGCTTGAAGGTATCCAAGGATTCCTTCCACCACCGCTGCGTCTTGACAGCATCCGCCCACACCCCTGTGCCGACAGTCTTGTTCTTCTTGTCCTTCTTGTACTCAGCTCGGCAAAATTTCATGAGCGTGTCCAGCCAACGTTGGAGCTCCTTGTCTTGTAACTGGACTCGATCGGTCCAGTATCCGATGTTCTGCAGGTTGTAATCCTTGCCAGAACAGCCTTCGTAGCCCTTTTCAGCAGACCAAACACTGATGTCGAGGAACTGCTGCTGAACAAAGTTCAAATTGGAGGGGTTGTTGTGGGGAAGCCAGCGAATGCTGCAAAACCAGGCGACGTAGAGAAGGGACTCCATGTCATCCTGGATTGAGTGTGGCTTCGGCGAACCTGCGCCCACATTGATGGACATGAACTGCCATGTCGCCTACTCGCGGTGCGAGATCTGAGAGTGAGCTGATATACATCCTCGACATATGAACGAGGCTCACATCTCGCGGGAGCATTCGATGGAGATCGGGGAAGCCAACCCGCCAGGACAGTTCCCAGTCGATGAGATAACCTGTTCTGCGGCTGTCCCCTTTCTTTCGGAAAAGTATGATACTTCCCACGCTGATGTCCCGGTGAAGGCGTCGCAATGGCTGGGGCTCATGCGCATCCAAAGCGGCTACGGTACACAACCAAGCGATCGGAAGTAGCTGAAATCAGTAATGCTAACGTGATATTGTGTACTATATGAGAACGCACCAACGAACGCATCGTAGCCTGCATGTATGAGTTCGCGCGACCCCGTAATGTGCGCCAGGCTGTATCCGGCGACCGAGTGGACCAACCGGTAGTGCCGGTACTCGATGATAGCCTGGATCTCCATACCGCCGGCGCAAACCCAAGGCTGGTCTACGAACGTCTGCGTTTTGCTGCTGCAGCAAGCTATGCCCCAGTTGCGACTGAACGTCAGCCGAACGCTCGCAGTAACTTGAAGTCGAAAGGGGGGTAGACGCACCTGTATGCTCCTTCTTCGAGCAGTTGTCGACGACGCACTGCACATGCCCGTGGCATAGAAGCGTTGGCACGTTCCGCACGCGTCGTTGGTTGAGTGCTAGATACACATCGCCTTCCAGCTCCACGCCTTCCACGTTGAATCGCCACGTGTCCTTGAGCAGGACAACCTCCTTTGTGACTGAATCGACAGCCCAGTACACGCGCGTCGCTCGCCCTGATAATGATAACGGCGACACCAGGGGGCGGCAAACCAGGAACCTCCGCTGGTGACACACTGTCGGATCGGTTGGATCGGGAGTGGCTACATGAATGACGCAGACGGATTCCTCCTGGTAGTGGTCCCGTATTTGAGCATCCAGTTTACGCCCCCTCAAGGACAATTGGCTGGCGACGTGGGCTTTGATAGCCTTCACGAATACTTCTTCTTCGGCCTTACTCGCCGGCTCCACCGTCAGATCGAGCCCCCGTTCCGACTCGGTCATGTGCGCAAAACGCCACACAAACTCGCAGAGGAACTCGGGGTCTGCCTTGATGTCAAAGGACCGGGTGATGATGAGGCCAGCACGATCCCAGCGCATCAGTCGCGCTTGAGAGCCGGACATGGAGAGGGAAAAGCAGTGATTGCGGTATTGTCGAGCTGAGATCTCAGTAGCATATGCAATGTTCTGGCCAAAACACGTGGGAGCGTCCTGCGTCGAATATCCACCCCGTAGATCGTGGCTTCTTGGAGACGCGAGGGGAGCAGGGGGGTCGGAAAAGAGATCGAACGAAGGCTGCCCTTTGATTTCGATGAAGAACGCAGCGTACCCCATGTCTGTGCGTGATTTCGAATCACTGATGCGCGGTTCCGGCTTATCGTTGAGTGGTTTAGACTTGTTGGTGCACGATTTCGTGGTGCGCGATTTTGACTTGTCGATGAGCGGTTTCGGCTCCTTGAGAAACACCTGTACACGCTCTAAGTGTTCGTTTGCGTAGCATATGACGTCTGGCTTCAGCGCAGCGTGGCCGGACGTGTCGGGGTGATTGGAGGTGTCGCGAAAGGTGAAGCCCGGGCAGCGAGACACTTCGCCCACCACAGCATTCAAGGCCTTGATCTAATGATGTTCGTCTGCGATGACCGGTGCAACACTGGAGAACATGTACACGCACCAGAGGATCGTATATAAGCTTCTCATTATCAGCCTTCATGGGAACATCGTCAAAGGCGCCGCGTGCACTGGGCATCTTCTTCAAGAGTTCGGGGCTACAAGGGCAGAAGGTGTCTAGGAAGTCTTGCGGCGGCATCGGGCCTAGCACGAAGTCACGACTTTCGTGCGCCAACCTCTTGTAGCGACTGGTCGAGTCGTTGGGGTCGGAACCATAGACCTGCGAGCTGTCTTCAGTCCTTGCGAGGGGTACGTTGTACGTCCCCGAGCCAGCCGTGGACGTGCTATCCTGCCGAGTCTGTGAACCGGTGCCGATGGTAGCATTGTCCCGCACACTCTCCGTAGGGTCTGGGCTAGGCAGAGAGTCGGAACCCCGGGGGGATAGAGACATCGTTAAGCCAGTCGAGACGGCGGGTTTCAGCGGGGGATGTATAGGTGGTCTGTCTATCGCGAGGGTGTCTGGTGATGAGACTCTCCCACAGAGGCTCGCCTTCATAAAACCTCAATGAGCGCCAGTACATCGGCGTTATTCCTGCCTGGAGTTTCTCTATAGCGGAGATCCGGTAAGTGCAGACCGATATTTGGACTGCCTTCCCATGGCCTTCACGCCGAAGACGTAACCGTCACTGCGTGTCTGCGTGAGAAATGAGACGTACCTAGCGGTCCAAGACCTGCTAGACATGATCCCGTTACACGAGCGACAGTTCGGCCCTCTGGATAACTGGTACTTCAAGTTGAAGTACTGTTGCAAGTACGAATGTTACTCGCCCAAGACCTGGAGGGCCTTTTGCGACCACATTGAATGGAGAAGCATCATTTGACGGCCGACGGTGTCTTTCAACGCATCTGACGATGCTCCTGGCTGGTTATTGTCTTGTGCACTGGTAGTTGTCGAGGGGACCAACACATCCATAATGAACACAAATACATCCACGAAACACGTACATCCAGCACAGATTGGGCAGAAGCGGTGCACAAGGGTTATAGGGTACACCCGAAGGGGGAGGCCGTGGGGGCATGAATGTAACCGAGGACAGGCTCGTGAGGATAAGCCAATCAGCGTGTCCGAGGTCGTCTGGTTGGCTTAGAAGTCTTGTTATCACCCCGCGTCGGCGGTATGACACGTAGCGCATCGTGACGAGCCTGTGCGACTAGGGCAGCAGAGTTTGTACGACTTCGCAACCTGTCGCTTCGGCGAACGCGAAGGTCGTTCGTCTCCAGGGGTTGTTGGCGCTTCCGCTTGCCTAGTGGAACCGGCGCCGCAATAGGCTCGTGGTCTTCGCAGAAAGAAGTTGTCGATGGGGAACGAGGCCTGAGAGGAACAAACGGGCGGTCGGAGCCAGGAGCTTCGTTCGACGGCGGCTCGGGAGTGGAGAGCTTGTTATCAACTCTGTCGTCGCGAGCTAGCGTATGCTCAGCGAGAAACTCTCCCCACAAATTGTCCAAGTTTTCGGGAGCCGCCCATAGGTGCTCAAACTTTTCACGGTTTTCGGGGCCTTGGGGGCCGTGCAGGTCCATGACCGCATCTAGCCACGCCTGAAAGTCGGGGTTGGTCCACTTGATGCGACTGCTCATTCTGCGATTGACGCGGTTTACGCCTTTATTTATGCCGCCGCAGAGGTAGCCGTCCAAGAAGAAGGAGCGGTCGAAAAATTCGTGCACGATCATGCGCAACGTGCCCGGTGAGAGGTTGTGCCCAAGATGGATGAGGCCGCAGTAGAAGACGACGTAGAGGAGAGACTCCATGTCATCCGGGAAGGCGTGTGGGTGGGCGGGTTTTGCTTGGACGTCGCTGGACATGAATCTCCACGTGCCCTGGCCCAAAGACATCATCAGCAGGTGAGCTCATATAGCGCGAACGGCTGGATGCTCACCATTCTACTCTTGTCCAGTGAGTGGCCTTCGCTATTGATGCGCGAAGACGCCTCCCAGTCGATCAGGTAGCCCTTGCGAGTCGCACTTCCGGCTTCCTTGACCAGGATGACATTACCGACGGACAGGTCTCGGTGGAGACGTGAGTCCTTGTCAAGAGCATCCCTCATGGCTGTTACGATTAGACGAATGCGAGCGCAGCAACAGTGAGATAGCTCACCGTGGAAAACATCGTATGTTGCATGCAGAAGCTCGTCCGTGCCCCTGAAGCTCTTCAACCCGTAGCCCACGGTTCCGAGGACGAGGCGATAGTGAATATAGTTGGATGTGGAGATCTTCCTATCGGCCACTCGACTCGCCCAAGACGTGATGTCAAACATTTCAGTCTGGGTAGACTGAATGAGCAGGCCTGAGAAGGCTGTCAGCGAGCGTACAGACGAGAATAGAGGGCACGTACGTGAACGTGCTTCGCCCGGCGTTGGAAGCCTGTGGTACACGTCCCCGTGCGCCACGAGCAGCGGCACATTGCGCACGCCCGCTCCGTGTAGAGTGGCGATGGCGTCGCCTTCAGATTCCAAATCAAGGCGCCAGGTGTCCTTGAGGAAGACCAACCGCTTAGTGCTCGCCTGCACAGCCCAATACCCGCGGGTGGCGCGGGATCCCAGCGTGGATGGAGATGTGACTGGTCTGGAGACGAGATAGCGTTCGACGACCACATCCGTGCTAGAGCCACCTGAGGTGTTCACGAACACCTGCATGGCCATTACACGTCCCTCCTGGTAGTGCTCTTTGACGGCGTCGGCGAGATCGTCGCCTGTGACGCCCAACTGGTCCTCGACGTAGCGGGAGACAACATCCTGGAACGTCGCCTCCTCTTCAGCGGTGGCCATCTCGACCGATTGGTCGTGTCCGCGTTCCTTGTCAGACGCGCACGCAAAACGAGCTATGAACTCGCAGAGGATCTCTGGCTCCTCGCGGACGTCGAACGAACGGCTGACGATAAAGCCAGAACGATCCCAGCGGAAAAAGCGTGCGCGGGAACCGCATAGCGCAATGGAGAGGACCCATAGACGATGTTGACGAGCTTGGATTTCCAAGGCGTATGCGATGTGCTGCCCGAACGCCCTCTCGACACGGAATTGCACCCTGTTATCCTCGAATGCCACTGCAATGTCGTGGGCGGCCCACTCCTTACGCTTGGAATCCGAGGGAGGGTCGACAAAGTGCTCGAGATCGGTGTGTGGTCTGACCTCGATGAAGAACTCTGCGTAGCCCATATCTTCGCGGGAGGATAATGGTAGCCGCCGTACGTGCTCTAGGTTTTCCGCAGTGAAGCAGCAGATGTGTGGCTTCATATACCCTGCCTGATGAGGATTCTCTGAGCGCATAGAGGTGTTCTCGAAGACGAGTCCGGGAGCGCGACTTTTGTGCTTTGTAGACTTGTTGAGGGCGGTGATCTCCATGGGTCATCGTCAGTCTCCAAACTGATGTGATTAGTGCCGTCTCCAAACCACTCACTAAAGCTTGGTATACGTCCGATGACGTAGAGCCACTCGAAGGTAACGACCTAAAGGCACCTCTGCTGGAGAGAATCTCCTTCTTCCTATCGGGGGGGACAACGGGCACGAAGTTGTCTAGAAAGACATGCACCGGCATAGTGCCGACCGTGCAGTCAAGAGAGGCTTGGATATTCTGTCTGATGCGTTCGTATGCTTCCCAGCGCTGAAGCTCCCTCGTTTCGGAGAAGTAATCGTTGATAGGCACGGGGCAGTTGTACACGCATCCAAAGCCGACGCCTGGAAGGGTATCTGTCATAGCAAAGGACTACCAGAGAGCATAGACGATGAGAGATGTTTCAGGTTATACAGTCTGCAAGGAGGTGAGTGTGGGGACACAAGGTTGAACCTTCGCTTAGCGCTCACGCGCACGGCTGAAATCCCGAGTACGGACAAGCGCCTATTCGTCGCGACCTTCCGACTGCAGTAAACGCCTTGAATCCCACCTACCGCGAGGACGTACGTGAGATTATCTCACGCCACGAATAAGCTCGTGTCCTCGCTCGCGTTCTTGCAACCGTTAGCGTCGTATCTTTACCAGGAGGGTATAGAACGATCGTTAGGGCCACTGCAATGACGGCTTGGGGATGGATTGCTCCGGAACGGTTTGGATGTAGCACGCCAGAGGGGGTATGACATACAGGTCGCGCACGGCCGAACCGTGTGTCGTGTGTGGTATCTTCCTGGCCATGAGTTGCTACTTCGCACTGTCTTTGCCGTAATGAATCTTGAAATCATTATCACCAGGACCGTCACCCATACATCGAACGGTGCGCATAGATACCGGCCGAATTCCACATAGCGCCCATACTGCTACCGTATTTGGAATCATTCCGTAGCCCTGCACATCGAGGCGCTCGTTGTACTGCCTTTTTCGGCGACAGCATTGGCGCTGCACTTCCCTCTGCCCTTTTCTGGTCCGCCCAATGGAGCACATTTCACAGCCAGCCTCCGGAACTCTAAATTGCTAGTTTGTCTGTAATTTGATGCTCCGCGCCAACCTTCGCGTGCATGGGTATCTGCGCGGCGGCAAAACCAACCTGTTCGTATTGTACCTCTCTCCTCCGCAGCTCGCTAGCCTCCTCTTCTAGTCTCTACTCTACTTCCTCTTAATATCTGTCCGTCTATATTCCCTTCTAATGCCCGAATTTCCCTCCCCTACCCTGGTGGACCTTTGGACGACTGGCGGAGGCTCAGAACAACTGGACCTGCCTGAGATGCCTGCCCCTGAGCCTCCCCTGACTGCGCGACTGGACAAGGGCAAAGAGGTTGCCAGAGCGGTGCCCGTGACTGGTACGCAACCCCTGTTCTGTTCCTGTCATGGCCAGCTCTTTGACCAGTGTTTAGACCCGCTGCCAGGTTCCGCATCGCAGGATACGCAGCAGGACGATGCCGCCCCTACGGCAGAACTTACCCCATCCGTGCGGGGGACGCCCCCACCCTCGTCTAAGCGCAAGCTACAACGACAGACTTCGGCTACACATGCTTCGCTCTCGGAGGAGGGCGCTACACCAAAGCGTAAGCGAACCCGTGCATCAGGTGTTCTCGACCTCGCTCAGCAAACGTCAGCCTCTTTGGATATCGAGGGCAGCATTTCCGCGTCGAAGCAGAAATCGGCAAAGCATACCGTCGCCTCGCTCACCGACGTCGTCCTTGCACTCGAAGGACAGTTCGCTTCCTTCCGCCAGAGCGTAGAAGCGGAACACGCTGCTGCCCCGGCGATTGAACACCGCATCCAGGAGTGCCTCGCAAACTCAGAGAGCCGGTTGCTTCAACAGGTCGTTGCAGTCCTCCGCTCCGAGATGTCATCGCAGGCAGCGCAGCTCCGTGACTCCCATGCCAACATCATCACGCAGGTCGATGCCCGTCTACGCGACATGGCCGAGAGTATCGAGGAAGTGGGGTCGAACGCGATCAACGCCGGCCTCGCAGCGGACCGCGCGACCGCCCTCGCGTCACGACCTCAGTACATCCATGCACCCTCTTTGGCTATACCTACGCCGCCCGCTACCCTAGTCCCCAACCTGTCTGTTGAATCGGGCATCCAGCTCGGTACCGGACAGGTCGACCCACTCCGACGTGCAGAGCAGGCCTCACTGTCCCCGCTTCCGTCCGAACCATCCACCAGTTCGGTCCGTCCGCGGTCCCCTCCTCCTGCGTATGGTCATCAACAACGTTCCCATGTGCCTGCGCCACCCGCGATCGATGGCCGCGGTTCGTCGAGCGGCCAGACGACGTCACGCGGGTGGGTGGCGCCCAACATCCCTCCCACGCCCTACATACCTCTGCCACCGTCGGTGCCCTCCACATCGCAGTTTGTGCCCCTGCCTCCGCCCGTCGCCAGCACCGCGAACAACGGCGACAACTCAAACCGAGGCTCTCGCGATACTGGCCGTGCTGTGCGAGATGACCGCCGTCCTGCTGATGTCGTCCTGGGCCCGATTCGTTGGGAGCCTGCCAAAGTACGGGAGCAGGTTCTTGCTATCTCCGAACCTATCTTCCAGAACACCCCCGCCCTCAAGCAGCACTTTATGAACGCTACCATCGACGCCTCCCCAACCTTTGCTCGGATCAAGTTCTCCCAGCTGAAGGACGCTCGGATCTACGCAGAGCTGTGGGGTTCCATTGGTGTTCGCTCGGATCCTGACTATGCGAGTGTGAAGGCCGTCGTGCACCTGTAAATTTTTTCCCTGCCCCGTACACACTATATCTCACATCATGCATGTAACCGTAGTCAACCCGGTGATTCATTATCGATTTGTTCATGGAATCTGCATGGGAGCCTCGCACTCAGACTCACGTCATTGGCCTTCCGCGAGGAACTCTCGCAATACGATATTGTCCTCATTCAAGAGACATATCTACGCCCAGAACAGGAGGACAGCCTGGTCCTTCCCAACGGCTTCTGCATCTTCGCGGCTTCCCGTCCTGAGTCTCAGTCCATGGGACACCAAGGCGGCGGTGTCGCCACACTTGTGCGCACGGCCCTCAAGCCACATCGGCTACCCTGTGCTGCCACATCCGACATCCTTCCGGTGCTCATTGGAAACCTCATCTTCCTGAACGTCTACCTCCCACCTGTGTCATCACCATGGATTGCGGCCGCAGAGGTTCCTCCAGAGCAGATTCTCCACGAATGTGTTGCGGCCCTGTCGGTGCATGCTGAGGACGGACTTCATCTCTGTGTCATGGGCGACATCAACGCACGCACCGCTACTCTATCGGCGCAGCCCGAAACATACCCTCGAGTGTCGCCAGACGTCGCTGCACCATCCACGAGAGGACGAGACTTGATAGCCCTCGCTCAGGAATCCGAGCTCGTTGTTGTAAACGGCACATCGATGCAAGTGGAATCGTCACTCGGCGCGCTCACCTCGTTCCAGGCAAACGGGTCTGCGTTAGTCGACTACGCTCTGGTGAGCCGCGCACTCGTCGACGCAGGTCATGTCCGGATGTTTGACATCCAATCGCACCGATCAAACTTGTCCGACCACGCGGCCATCATTCTCTGCGTGGATGACTTCGAACGACCGGTGGAGCAACTGTCGGTGCCTCGAGCTGCGAACAAACCACCCGTCATACCGGGACACGGAGAGCCTGGACCGCTGGATATCCTCCTCGAGCGAACCCTTGCTGCGGGAAATCGATCGCTCGCTGATCAGCTCACTGCAATCTATGGTCGGGTCTCCAGTCAGTCTGACCGCGTCGATGTTTGGACGGATGGGTCCTCTTGCACACATGGCGGTCACCCTTGTGCAGGTGCTGGGGTCTGCTGGGGTCTGCACTCGGTGCGAAACAGCGCCGTGCGGGTTCCTGGTGATAGTCAGACGAATAACCGTGCAGAGCTCTATGCCGTCCTCTTCGCGCTCCGCCAAGCAGACCCTGTGCGGACCCTCGGAATCCACACGGACTCTACGTACGCCATCCACTCTGTCTGCCACTGGGCTCCTCGCAACGCAGAGTTAGGTTGGGCAGTGCCTCACGGCGACATTCTACGAGCCATCGCATCCACTCTGCGTGCAAGATCAGCCGCAGTACTCTTCTACTGGGTGAAAGGCCACAGCGGGAATGCGCACAACGAACTCGCAGACACTCTCGCAAAGAAGGGCTGTACCTTGATACCAGGAGTCGACATTGCTACGCTACCTCCACCTCCTGACTGGCCGCAACCCACCCCGTCGACACGTATCCCGCCAAGCGTGGTCAAGGTCCACACTTCTCTTCCCATACTTCCCGCGGCAGTGCAGAAGCGACCCCGGGCAGCGGAGAGCCGGAAGGATGCAGATGCGGACACCGATGATGCGGATGTTCGAGCCCACGACTCGGACACCCTCTCGGAGTTGAGGGACGTCATCTACGACAACCTGGCGAACGCGCCAAACGAGCGAGCTTTCTGGAAAATGCTGGGGTGTATTACCTTCCCCCGGGAGCCCTCGTTCTACGTCACCGCACACCAACTGAAGGACGTCTTTGAGCCCCGCATGAACCCGGTGCCTCATGAAACACATGGTGGCCCATTCGCGACCCTGCGCGCTTTGGATGGTGTCCTTCTTGATACCCTGCCCACGATCACCGAGGACCGCACCTCTACACAGTCCTTCTCTCGCCCACTTACTGTGGATGACATCGCCGCCGTCAAGGCTCGTCTGGCCGAGACTGGTGCGGGGAAGGCAAAGGGACCGGACGGAGTCTCCTATGCTCGTGTCCTGCAGATCCCCAACGAGGAACTACGGGTCCTGTTTCAATCCTGCCTGGACTCCCTGGATAGTCCGCATGACTGGCTCTCCGCAACGCTCGCAGCCATTCAGAAGAAAGGTAAAGATGCGAAGGATCCGGCAGGATACCGAAACATCGGACTGGAGAGCTGCCTCCTGAAGACCTTAACACTGCTCATTGATCGCCGCATGCGGGAGTGGTCGGACGCAGAGGACATCGTGCCCCCTCTCCAGAACGGCTTTCGGACAGGATACAGAACGGAGAACAACGTGTTCACATTACGCGTCGCTGCAGAGCAGGCGCAGTCACAGGGCAAGACGCTGTGGGTAGCATTCGTGGACCTCGCGAATGCGTTCCCCTCTGTGAACCAGAGTACCCTGTGGGCAAAACTGCGCGATCTCGGTGCAGGGGGGCCGCTGTTTGACTGGCTTCGTATGCTCTACGCGCGGCTGCGCTACTTCGTGCGGTTCAATGGTGAATACTCCGAATACTTTCAGGCTCTGGCGGGTATCTTGATTGGCGACCCCGCATCCCCCATCCTGTGGAACATCTTCTTCTCAGACTTCACCTGCCCGCCCCATGAGGACGATGTGTGGCTTGACACCCTGCGAATTCCCTACCTGGCTCACGCAGATGACATCGTCCTCCTCTCCACCTCGCCCGAAGGCCTCCAGTCCAAGCTGAACGCTCTCGCAACCTGGTGCACCCGCAACGGCCTGCGCGTCAACGTCTCGAAGACCTTCCTCATGGCGTTTGGCCGTCTGCCCAGGACACTGCCCGTACTGCGCCTGGAGGGAGAACAGCTACACCTGACAGAGTCAACTACCTATGTCGGTGTTGTACTGTGCTCAACAACACGGAACATCTTCGCTCTACACCGCGCCCTACAGGCAATGAAAGCGCGGCGTGTCGCAAACGCCGCGCTAGCGCTAGAGTGCTACATTGGCGCCATCCCAATGAATGTCGCACGGAAACTCTACAGCGCAAGGGTGGACCCTCACCTCACGGCCGGCTGCGTAGTCGACCTCGATGTCAACACCGCAGACCTTCGCCCCCTCGAGATCATACAACACACATTCGCTCGTCGTGTGTCCCGCCTGCCCTCACACACTCCCGCGATGCCGGTGCTGCTCGACCTCGCCCTACGACCGCTTCACTACAAGAGAATGCTAGCCGTTCTTGTCTTTGTGGAGCGGCTGTTGACGAATGCGCCACCGGTTCCCAAGGCCGCATTCACTTGTTCCCTCCGGATGGCCGCTGCAGGTCACATATCCTGGGCGGGGGACCTCTGTCACGCCCTTCGTGCCCTTCCGTCGCCGGTCCAATGGGACTTCAGACGACCTCCTACTCTGCTACATCTACAGAGGGCGCGTGAACACGTGGAGCTTTCCCTCCGTAATCACGCATTACAGTCCGTCATGCAACCGGTCAAGCTATCCCTGTGGAAATGGGGAATCATTCCGCAGTTCCCTGGCAGGAAGGATCCCCCCCCGCTGAACGTCCTCTTCGCCCTCCGTGCGTACACTACCACCACACGCATTTCTCATCGGCGTGCGGTCGCGCGCCTTCTTGCGGGTGTGCCACCATACGCTATCGAACTCATGCGACGACACAATGTGCCGCGCGAGCGCCGCATTTGCCGATTCTGCCGCATTCAACCGGCCATCGAGGACGAACCGCACATCCTCTTCCACTGCCCTGACACCGCACTCTGTACCGCACGCGATAAATTCCACCGCGACATCATCCTCCTCAAACCAGGTGCTCTGTATGCGCGGCGACGCTTGACGGACTGGGAGTTCCTCGCGGCCGCGTTGCTCGATGCCAAGATCTCACATATTGCCGCCGAATTCATCCACGCAACTTTTGAGCGCTGCAAAGAGATCCCTGTGATGATGATCGTGTCAGACACTGTGTGGGCGACGATACCGCTAGCTGCGCCCGCCCTGTAGCTCCAGACGTACGTCAAGTCCGCCCGCTCTTGCGATGAGACGTCCGATTTCACTCACGCCTGCGTTCTTGCCGTCTCGGGAGTCACAGATGCCGCACTCGCCTCGTAACTCCGCCGTGTTGTCTCCGAGCCTAACCGCCGGTTGTGCCACATAAGGTTCGCTGGCCACCGCTGTGTCTTGTGTCTCTGAGCTCACCCTCATACAGCATCTGCGTTTGGATATGATCACGATCGTCCCTGCGACTACATGTATCCTTATACCCCCGTCTGAGAATGGATAGATACAGGATGAAACATTTTAGAACGTCTCGCTGGTACTAGAATCACTGTGGTAATGGCTGGAATGTGCGTGGAGGACTGCGCCGCCATTCATTGGTTGTTGTTTCTCCCGGACGGGTTTGCAACAGGCACACGGTCCTGGTACCCCACCTAGTCGCCCATACTGTGAACGCGACATTACACTGAACATATGCTCTCTCGGGCCTGGGCGAGTTACGTTGAGGCATGCAGGAGTGTGCCTTGGCTCCTGGGGTTTTTAAGATTTTTCCCCAGGTTTTAGCCCAGGTAAGGCTGCCCCTACGGGGAGCGGCGCCTGCTTGTCTATGTGCGTCAGCACGTGGATAAAAGCCAGAGATTGAGCTTGTTCACGAGTAGTCCTCGCCGGAACACTGTGGATCACGACTGGGTCATGCGTGAATGGTATGAAGTGCAACATTTAAGTGTCTATTGCAGCACTGTCGATTATCGTACATACGTAGTGTGAGGTTGATTACATAACATGTACTAGCACATTGCGTTGGGGGTTGTACGTCGTCGAGCGGTCAAATACATACTCACTCACTCACTCTCTCTTGAAGCCTCCGCGACGATCTATATGTCATCTTGACCACTAGGGGAACCTTTCTCATATAATTTAATGTTACATCACAACCCTCAATGTGTACATGATAACACGCGCCGCGCGATGCGTTACCTTTGAATGCGCCTTCCGGCCCGACGCCAGTGGGCCCTTCGCCAACATGAACAGGGACTCGGTGCTAGTGAGTGGCAAGCCTTTCCGACGGCACTGGTATTCCACAAAGGTGAGCGCTGTGGCTGAAGCTAAGGCTGAACGTTGAACTTAAGCAACCCCGCCGATATTTGTTGGCGCTCCGAGTCTCTCTCGCGTCACTCGTTAGGCGCCCATATGGGTTCTCTTCCTCAACCTCGCTCTCCATGATGCATCGACACTCGCTGAGCATACTCAAGCTCAAGCCCCTGCGACGATAGGCCTTTTATTGTCGTCACTATCATACCAGCAATCTTTGGAGCGGCTCTCGGATGTCATGTCCACAGACATAGCATAGATTGAGAAGAAGGTGACGGCGGAGCAGATGTTGTTTGCGGGCGTCGGCAGAAGGCCTAAGAGTATGAGAACAGGGTGACGCAAGGTATGCCGTTTCATGATCAGTGGACGCCCACCTTATTATGCAGATGCTTGTAACAACAGAGATTGGTAGTGGCGTATGCGGCGACCACCACCTTCGGGTGGGTTTGACCATGAAACAAACATAGCGATAGCAACAAGGAGAAAGCGCTTGACAAATGGGTCACAAGACGACCATCGAGTGCAACAGTCTGTCAGACTGTCCTGCCACGGCGCCACCGAGTACGTTCAAAGACAGTTACAACTGGAGCAGCTTCGACTCATCCGCCACTCAGCGTCAAGCTTGACACTCGACCTCAACCTGCTCCTGCTCTTGGAAGCGCCTCTTCCTCTCCAACCGCTCTTTTAACGATGGATAGAAATCATTCTCCCACTGGCGGTGACGGACTGTCCGACTGTGTCTACAACGCTCCAATGGCTCTGGACGAAACTCGCTTACACACAAGGGTATTAGACCCTTCCGAAGGTTATTCCCGCAATAGGCGATATGTCCAAGATGCGAGAGATTGTACGGTCGGGCCCATGCCAGTACGGGCGTTCATAGATGATTTCTTGCCTCCGATTCCTGCTGGTAGGGAGAAGGAGGTATTATCTAGTACGTATGCGTTCAAGAATGTGCCGTCAAGTGGCGCCAAGCCCGCCGACATTTTTACCCCGCTGGTGCGCGAATCCGATGATATATGCTGGCAAGCGTACCTTACACTTTATCAGCTCGTCGCATTGAACAGGTCTACAAAACTTAGGAGTCGCGCTCCGGGCCTCGTGTTCGAAAACGCGTCAATAAACGCCACAGAGCCTCACACGCCTGGCTTCATGAAACCACACATCTGCTGCTACACACGTGAAAATCTTGCCAATGTGCGCGATGCTCCTGCATCCTCCCGCGTCGAACTGGGGTATGCGGAACTTTTCGTCGAGGTCAAGGCGGACGCTGCACTAGACTTCTTTGTCGATCCTCCTCCGCAGGCAACTCCCGCGGATTGTGACTCTCATGACTTCTTTACCCGGTTTCGGAATGAAGGAATGAAACACCGCGCCGAGAGGGCGTTCGGACAACACATCGCATACGCCATGGAAATACAAGCTCGCCAGCATCGTGTGCACTTCTTCTCGATCTTCATCGCCGGTTCTTGCGCTCGGCTAATGCGGTGGGACCGCTCTGGCCTCATCGTCACCAGATCATTCGACATCCTCGTGCACCCGGGCTTACTTAGCGAGTTCCTTGGTCGTTTTGCCTTCGCCTCCGACCAACAGCGCGGGCACGACATGTCCATAGGGATGGCCACCCAGAAGGACGAGGTCTTGTTCCGAGAGGTCGTCACGAAGTATGTCAAGGATCAGCTCGATCTCGCGGACGACGCTCTCACCGAAGCAGTGGCCGAGCACTACCAACGAGGATGCGTCTTCGCCGTGCGTATGTTCGCCACAGATCCCTCAAGCACCCCGTCGCGCTCCACGCCAGTCGCCGATCGCTATCTAATTTCCAGGCCCGTCACGTCTCCCTTGCGCCTGCGGGGGCGTGCGACCCGTGGATACTGGGCCGTACAGGCCAGTTCCAAGCGCCTAGTCTTCCTGAAGGACACCTGGCGCCCACCTCAGGAGCGGGAAGGTACCGTCATTGCTAAACTCAATGCCACGGGCGTTCGCAGTGTCCCGCAATTTGTTGCTCAGGGTGACGTCTATCAACTACCCTCTGATGTCGGCGACAAACGTCCCAGTATGTTACCCTATCTGTGCTCCGATGCTGTGACACTGATCAACTGCAGCCTCACCAGCCCAGCACACGGAGACAGATCGCTATCTTACGCAACCTTGGGTGTGTCGTATACGTGGCAAGCGTGTCTCGGTATCGACACACATACACTACCGACTCGTCCTCGGAACGGTCGGCTACCCTATACGCCGACTGAAGGGTTCCGACGAGCTCTTGCATGCCACCTACGATGTATTCCAGGGTACGTCCGCGGCTTGACTACGTACTCCCATTCCCAACTCATCTCATCAGCGATGCGAGATGCCTCGAGCAAGACATCGCGTCTCCACAGGGACATCAGCATCGGCAACATCATCCTCGTGAAGGAACCCGGCTGTGAAACTCGCAGGGGCTATCTCATCGATTGGGAAACATCCTCTCCACTGGATTCTGAGGGTCGCTCTCTCGATAAGAATAGAACAGTGAGTGTGAAGGTCGCCGCGTCGGTGAATCGGATCTGACGGTCATACGAAGGGCACCTGGAAGTTTATGTCTGCCAAAGTCCTATCCAAGCCCGAGAAGCCGCACATGTTCCAGGACGACATGGAGTCGCTGCTCTGGGTCGTCCACTACTGCAGCCTCCTCTACATGCCCCACAACCTCGATTCCGACAGTATGCAGTCAATCATACACGAGCTCTACGACGACTCTATATTCCTACGTGGCGAGATGCGCGGCGGATTTGGCAAGGCGATCAACAGGATAGACCGCTCCTTGACCGAAAGCATTGAGTTCGCCAACCCGGACCTGCAGAAATGGCTGGACCACGTCATGGACCTGCACGGTCCCAAAGGCCTTTTCGATGAGGCGGCCGAGCGGCTGTGGAAGGACCCTGAGAACCTGGAAACGCTCTGGCGCGAATTCCTCGCGACGCACACGCTCGCTCGCGATGATAGGAACGAGTTCGAGTTTCCGGACCCCGACACCTACGATGACAGGCCGGAGGGCTCACACGTCCCGTTTGTCCCTCCTCCGCCGCCGGAGCCTCCCGCCAAGAGACCAGTCGAAGGCGAGGTCCAGGTCGGGCATGAGGAGGGGGCGCGTCGCGTCAAACGGCAGCGGGCAGAGCCCTCCGTCGCCGAGCCCTTGCGCCGCAGCGACAGACTCCGCAGTCGCTCAGGACCGCCTGCGCCGCCGCCAGCGAAGCGAGCAAATCCGAAGGGGACCGCAACGAAGCAACGCGCTGCTACGAGCAACAACGCCCGCACAAGCAAGAGACCTAGCACTGCAAGCTGAGTATCATCATTCTCTACACTCTTCGTTTCTCGTGTCTGTCATTCGTTGCGGCTGTTATATTTGCTTTGCTGCTATGTGTTACTCGCTTGATGTACCTCGGCTATACCCTTGGATGATCGTGATGTATGTCTTTGTTGGGACAAACACGAATGGCTACTATCGCCTTCGTAATAGGCTCGCATTCATATGAAGCTCGAACTCGCTGGCGTCGATGCACTTACCGAAGCGGCCCACAATATTGTGTTGTCTAGAGTTATCTTCCGTGCAGGACGACCATGATTCATGACGCGGACGTCTGGGCTTCTCTTCCTCCTGCCAGAGCAATCTCATTCGACCAGTACTTGCGATGGAAACCCTGTCGACACATGAATGATGTAAGTACGACGCCGCTGCCCGCTTCTTGGTGCGTGGCCCGAGCGAGGCGCAAGGCTTGCACTTCGAATTCGGAATAGCCCTGCACGCTAGCACTTGGAATTATTATTGTTTTCTCGCTTCTTTTGGAAAGTTGAGAAGGCTTATACTCTTCGAGTGTGGTTCTAAGTGTTTTTCGATGGATAGTGAGTGCATTGAAGTGATCATTCGAAAGGGCAGCTGCCAGAGGGCGCCGCAGCGCCGCCAGAACCAATAAGAAGACGCCCATAAACTAGGCGCCCAATATAGCACTCCAAAGTACCGATTAGCGCCCGAGGATAAGTAGCGAATTTAAATATCGCCATCCCCGCCTCCTGCCCTCCCTCTCCCCGCTCAGCGCTCAGCTCTTTCTCTCTCCCCACCACCATGTCCGCGCAAATCGAAGACGTCGCTGCCCCCTTCTCCGCAATCCGCGGTGCTCTGCCGACTCCGGAGGAGTACCGCAAGCGCAAGGTCGCGCTCATCTCCGGTGCGTCTACCTCCTATGCTTGACTGATCGCGGCTGATTGGTTCGGCAGGCATTACTGGCCAGGATGGATCCTATCTGTAAGTGCTAGTTCTTATATAGCCTCCCTATGGTCCAGGTTGTGCGGTGATATCGCTCGCGTGCTGCACAACATCCGTCAAGGAAGCGGGCTGGCGTTCGCGCCACCATCGCCCATCGCGTCGCTATTCGTGCCAGCCAGCACGGCGCCCAAGGCCTCGCGACTTTGCCGCGACTGAGTGGGTGGCGGACGTCGGGGGACGCGTACACCCGCGCCAGTCGTTCTTCTACCGGCTCAATGTGACCATGGCCTGCAATGTGACGCGACTGACGCGCTGCACAGGACGGAGTTCTTGTTAGAGAAGGGCTACGAGGTGCACGGTATCATTCGTCGGTCATCCAGCTTCAACACGAGCCGTCTGCACCATCTCTATGAGGACCAGCATGAGCGTACGTCCCCCCGCACTTCTCGCGCAGATCATCTATATTTAGCGTCATACAGGGCCTAACAAGTTCAAGTTGCACTACGGCGACCTGAGCGACAGCACGAACCTCGTCTACATCATCGCGCAGGTGCAACCCACGGAGGTGTACAACCTCGGCGCGCAGTCGCACGTAAAGGTCTCGTTTGAGATGGCCGAGTACACGGGCGACGTCGACGGTCTTGGCACGCTGCGCCTGCTCGACGCGATCCGGACGTGCGGGCTCGAGAAGCACGTGCGCTTCTACCAGGCGTCGACGTCCGAGCTCTACGGCAAGGTCGTCGAGACGCCACAGAGCGAGACTACCCCGTTCTACCCGCGTTCTCCTTACGGCGTCGCCAAGCTCTACGGCTTCTGGATCACTGTCAACTACCGCGAGGCGTACGGCATGTACTCGTGCAACGGCATTCTCTTCAACCACGAGTCGCCACGCCGTGGACGGACGTTCGTCACCCGCAAGATCTCGCGTGCCGCTGCGGATATCTCCCTGGGCAAGCAATCGTGCCTGTACCTGGGCAACCTCGATGCGAAGCGTGATTGGGGACACGGTGCGCGCGCGCCTCTCATCTGTCGCCCGTGCTTCCTCCGCTGACACGCCGCCGACAGCCCGCGATTACGTCGAGGGCATGTGGCTGATGCTGCAGCAAGACGCGCCCGAGGACTTCGTGCTCGCCACCGGCGAGACCCACCCCGTCCGCGAGTTTGTTGAGAAGTCGTTCGCCGTGCTTGGTATCACCGTGAAGTGGCGAGGCACCGGCACCGAGGAGGAGGGCTACGACGCGAAGACAGGCAAGGTCATCGTGCGCGTCGACCCGCGCTACTTCCGCCCCGCCGAAGTCGAGTACGTATTCGATTTCACTTCCCTTCCTGCTGCCGCAGGGGTGATAACGAGGCTGATCATGGGCATTGTGCGCAGACTTCTCCTCGGCGACCCCGCGAAGGCGGACCGGCTCCTTGGATGGAAGCGCAAAGTCGACTTCCCCTCGCTCGTGAAGGAGATGGTGCTAGCCGACCTGGAGGCGTCCAAGACCCGCATCGAGAACCAGAACTAGGTAGGAAATGGACAGAGCGCGCGAACGATCGAGAAAGGCGCGTTGCTACACGCGGCGCATTCTTAGCTTGGCGGTACCCGTCACAACACTTGTAATTCCTTAGAATTGTATGGACGATTACGGTTTTCTTGTCTCACCGAATTATCGAGCGGGCGGGAGCTTTCTCAGGCCACAACTTGCCGTTTGGTGTATTTGTTCGACCGATAATCTATATGGTCGTTCAAAGTATTAAGTGCGACCATCCCAGGGTATATCGAGCAGAGGACGAACACGCAAAACACATTTAACTCAACAGACAAGGGGGATATCGAAATGCCTTTCCTCAATCTGCAGCACTCAGCTGTCTGTCATTGTGCGTTTCCGCGAGTTCGCGCTCGCAGCATGATGTGGCTTCCTTACAGTTCCTGCCAGCTTTGCTCGTTTTGCTGGCGGCGCCACAGCAGTAGATGAGCGATTGCGGATTCTGTCGCTGCGGCGCACGGTCTCAAAGCCAGAGGCGTCCTCCCGACGGCGTCTGAGACCAAGAGCTCCCCCAACATGTCCAATGGGGGCTGCGTCTTCACCTGTCTTGTTGGTGGGGGGCATCGGCCGTGGAGGCGGGACGAACGTGACGAGCGAGCTCTCCGGTTTGTTGCGGAACGTCGGGGGGTCGGGCAGCGCGTTCTCGACTCTGTCCCCACGAGCGAGCGCCTGGTGCGTCGCGAAGAAATCGCGCCAAAGCTTGTCCAAATTCTCGGGCTCCCTCCAGATGAGAGACGATTGTGCGGAGGGTACGCCGACGCGGCCGTGCAGGTCCATGGCGTCGTCGAGCCACTTCTGCAGGTCCGGGTTCGCGAACTTGATGCGCTCGGTGAGCGTGCGCGCTGCCCTGTTGGCGACCTTGCCGGAGCCACCGCGGAGCACGCCTTTGATTTGCACGGAGTGGTCGAACAGCCGCTGGATGACCGTCTCGAGGCTCTCGTCGTCGAGGTTGTGCGGCAGGTAGAGGAGGGCGCAGTAGAGGACGACGTAGAGGAGGGACTCCATGTCGTCTTCGAGCGTGTGGGGAAGCTCGGGCTTGGACAGCACTTTGGAGGACATGAACTTCCATGTGCCCTGGCGGCCGCTGTGAGGTTGAGGTCTCTCTGACGAATGAACATCGGACTTACTGTTCTAGTGCTGTCCAGCGAGTGTCCTTCGGAATCGACAGCGGAGGAAGTCTCCCAGTCGATGAGATAGCCCTTGCGCGTGCCACAGCCTGGTTCCTTCACGAGGACGATGTTGCCAATGCTGATGTCTCTGTGAATACGTTGAGCTTTGCTCGACGTATCTCTCATGGCTAATAAGGTTAGTCGATCATGTCGCCGGATGGTAAGGAAGCGGCCTGACCTTGGAATACGTCGTAAGCTGCATACAGGAGTTCATCGGTACCTTTCAAGCGTCGCAGTGGGTACCCGACCGTTCCAACAACAAGCCGGTAGTGGATGTGGGTGGACACCGAGACGTGCGCGCCACGTATGGGACAGACCCAGGGTTGTGTATCGTAGCGATCTGTTTCCGTGCGTTGTACCGGCGGTGCTGCAGTGGCAATTCATGAGATACAGGGGGCCACATAGCAAAGAGTATGCGACGTACTCTTGTCAAGAACAGAGGGATGCTGATACACGTCGCCTTGGGCCACAAACTGTGGGACGTTGCGGACCCCGGCGGCATTCAGATCAGCAATAACGGTACCTTCCTGTTCTCCACGCCGTCTCCATATATCTTTCAGAAAGACCAAACGCTCAGTATCTGCATGTACGGCCCAATGTCCACGGGTCGCTCGACCAACGAGTTGCAAGGGGGAAGTGACGGGCCTAGAGACTAGATAGCGCTCGACGGCAGGCGTGGCGGGATCCTTGGTGGACACGCGCATCGCATATACGCAACCCTCCTGGTAGTGCTCGGCCACCGCTCTAGTAAGATCGTCATCGGCGAGGTCCAGCTGATTCTGGACATATTTCGTCACAACGTCTCGAAACAACAGCTCCTCTTGCGGGCTGGCCGCCTCCACAGAGCCGTCGTGACCGCGCTCGTGTTCGGATGCGAAGGCGAAGCGGGCAAGAAATTCGCTGAGCAGATCAGGGCGAACGAGGAGATCGAATGATCCGGTGACGATTATTCCAGAGCGATCCCACCGCAGAAGGCGAGCATAAGAACCAGCGATGGAGATCGAGAAGAGGTGCACACGGTGCTGGCGGGCTTGTATTTCCAACGCATACGTGATATGCTGTCCGAACGCTCTCTCAGCTCGGCGTTTGAGGTTGTCGTCGCGGAAACGTGCGAAGAAGTCGTGGGTACCGCGTTCTTTGCTGGTGGCGTCCGCCGGGGGGTCGACAAAAAAGTCTAGAGCAATGTCTGGCTTCACCTCGATGAAGAGTTCCGCGTAACCTAATTCGGCGCGCGATGATGTGGAAGCATTGTGCAATGTGTCAAGATTTCCATGCGTGTAGCAGCAAATGTGTGGTTTCATCAGACCGGGGGTATGAGGTTCCGAGGAGCTCATTGAGGCGTTCTCGAAAACAAGTCCAGGAGCGCGGCTCTTAGATTTTCTGGACGTGTTCAAAGCAGATAGCTGATAGGATATAAGAGACGTTTGCGGACATATATCATGGAATACACTCACCAGTGGCGTGTAAATGTCGGATGCTGTGGCGCCACTCGACGGCACTCCCTTGAACGCACCCGTGCTGGATAGTACCTCTTTCTTCCTGCTAGCAGGAACTGGAGGTAAGAAAGCGTCTATAAACGCCTGCACTGGCATAAGTCCAACCGTGCAAGTTCTTGCATCCTGGACAAGCCTTTGGTTGCGAGAATATGCTTTAGACGGCTCTAATCCCCTCGTGTGTGGCTGGTGGTCGTTGAGGGCCATCGGAGTGTTATAGACAGGACCAAGTTTGACAGTTAAATCATCCATGTCCATGATAAGGGCGCAGGTGGGCGGGCTGGTCACGTAGAGTAAGTGGACGTCGAGAGGCAAGATGCTCTGCAGGTACCAACCAGGATTTCCTGGAGAGGCGAAGCGCCCAAGTATGCATCTAGCTAAGCGCCCATTAATTAGCGAGCCGCTCTCACTCGGCAAACCTATCCTCTTCTCCGCTCTTCCGTCTCCCCATCGATCAGCCCTCTCAGTGAAACTCTGCAGGTCTCGACGAGATGTCCGTCATTCTCGTTACTGGAGGCACTGGCCTGGTCGGAAAGGCCATTGAGTACATCATCGAGACTGAGCCAGAGGGCTCGCGTTTCGGGAAGCAGCCGGGCGAGAAATGGGTCTTCATTGGTTCCTCTGAGGCCGACTTGCGGTGAGCATAGTTCATATTGTCTCACTGACAGCTAAGTGCTTATAACTGTGGACAGCAATCAGGAGCAGTCCAAGAAGCTGTTCGAGAAATACAAGCCGACGCATGTTATCCACCTCGCAGCACTTGGTGCGTACATGATACTGCGCGTCGCGCGACGCGTTCTGACGCGCCGATGTAGTCGGCGGACTCTTCATCAATATGAAGCGCAAGGTGAGCATCTGTATGGGCATTCAGTCTGCTAAGAGAATGTACTTCGAAGGCGTACTGCAGAGCAACGGAAGCGTATTATCGGACCTACGGCCGATTCACATTCTTTGTGACCACAGCGATCCCTACTTGTATCTGTGGTATGGTTTACCAAGTTTTGCGGAGTTGTACACACAGATTTTCAGGCTTCTTGCCGTCTCCCAACGATAAGAGCCGTAAACTGATTGTCTTCAAACCATAGCTCGACTTCCTCCGTGACAACATCCTCATCAACGACAACGTCCTGCACAACTCGCACGAGCAAGGCTGCAAGAAGGTCATTTCATGCCTGTCCACCTGTGTCTACCCCGACAAGGTCGACTACCCCCTGGACGAGACGAAGATCCACCTCGGTCTCCCCCACGACAGCAACTTTGGCTATGCGCACGCAAAACGGCTCGTAGATGTCCAGAACCAGTGCGTCTTGCGCCTTCCCTGCTTCTGCTGTCGGTGTAGGTTAACCGTCTCGCCGTTACAGCGCATACAAGGACCAGTACGGCGATAACTTTACGTCTGCGATTCCGACGAACGTCTTCGGGCCGCACGATAACTTGTAAGATCGCATTTGCCCCGCTTCTCCACATGCGATGTTGATAACGATGTGCCGGCAGCGACCTCGAGAGCGCACACGTGTTGCCTGCGCTCATGCACAAGTGCTACCTCGCGAAGAGTGCGTTTATATTTGGTCCCATCAGCCCGCGCACGCTGACACCTGCCCCGTAGAGAACGGCACGCCGTACGTCGTGTGGGGATCCGGCAAGCCGCTGCGGCAGTTCATCTACTCGCGCGACCTCGCGAAGCTCTTCATCTGGATGCTGCGCGAGTACGACGACGTCGAGCCGCTCATCCTCTCCGTCGGGGAGGACGAGGAGGTGAGCATCGGGCAGGCCGCGGACGCGGTCGTCGGCGCGATGGGCTTCGCGGGCGAGTACCGCTTCGACACGACGAAAGCGGACGGGCAGTTCCGCAAGCCCGCGTCGAACAAGAAGCTGCTCTCGCTCATCGGCGGCTTTGAGTTCACGCCGTTCGAGAAGGGTGCGTACCGTTTCCTTTTATCTATCTCTAAATACTGCGTGGCGGCTGTTGATGGACTTTTGTCTATGTAGCGCTCGAGGAGACGGTGCAATGGTTCCAGCAGAACTATGCGACCGCGAGGGTCGGCAAGCCGTGAGGAGGTTCGTGCTACCAACAAGACATGTAGAACAGTGCCAGTGTTACCCATTCTGCCAATGAATTTAGTAAGCGGGACTGTGAGTGACACCGAGGAATATCGTACTTTGGTCGCAACTTCGTGTTTGATGAAACCGTGTACAGCTTAGGCTTGGCTTAGGCTCAATATAAGGTTGGCCACACGATCATATTTGTACTTGGCCTTCACTTACGTAGTCTCACTCAGGGTATCTAGATAGGAGGACAACGCATGCTGCATGACCAGAGGTCTCCTCGCGACTGCTTGTTGTTGTGGACGCTCATAAGACAATAAGGGTACATCGTTGGGCGCTAAGTCTCACCCCTCCTTCGTCCGAACTGCCACCAGCCTTCGCGCTACACCAACATCCCCATCCTCCAGCTGCGCTACCAATCATGACGGAATCTTCCTCAGGCGTCTCAGGGTGCGTGTACAACTGCCCGGTGCCTCTCAATAATCACTATTCCGAAACGAGGGGACTTGAGCGCTGGGAAGCATACGAACGCATCAGGCAGAATGTCCAGGCCTCGCTGGACTGTGCTGTCGGCACCATGCCGGTGGACCTGTTCCTAGACAACTTCCTACCCACCATTCCTCTCGACCGAAAGAAAGAGGTTCTCTCCAGTAGAGGAGCCTTTAACGCGGTACCCTTCAGTGCGTCTACGCCACAAGACATCTACGAGCCTCTGGTACGTGCTCCAAAATTTCCCGTATTGTAGTGCTGCTTTATCGACACAGGTATGCATAGCTTGCTGCGTTGAGTAAGCGCACGAAGCTCAGGAATCGCGCCCCTGGTCTCGTCTTCGAGAACAGCTCTCTTCGCTCTGAGAAGCCTCACCAACCGGGGTACATGAAGCCGCACATCTGCTGCTTCACCTCCGAGAACATGGAACACGTACGACAACTCCCTCGTTCCTCCCGCGATGACATGGGTTATGCAGAGTTGTTCATCGAGGTCAGACCACACGTCGACCTCGAGCACTTTGTCGACCCTCCATTGGATTCCAAGCGTAAGGAGTGGGCTGCCCACGACATCGCGATGGCGTTCGAGGATCTCAGGGTGCAGCACCGTGTCGAGAGGGCGTTCGGGCAACACATCGCATACGCCTTGGAAATCCAAGCTCGTCAACATCGCCTGTCGGTCCTCTCCATCTCTCTATGTGGCTCCCGCGCACGCTTCTTCCGCTGGGATCGTTCTGGCTTTATCGTCAGCCGATCGTTCGACGTCCGCGAGGAGCCAGAGATCCTCTGCGAGTTCATAGCTCGTTTTGCGTGCGCGTCTGACAAGGAACGCGGACACGACCAATCGGTCGAGATGGCCACCGCTGAAGAGGAGGCGACGTTCCAGGATGTTGTCTCCCGCTACGTCGAGGACCAGTTGGGCGTCACAGGCGACGATCTCGCCGACGCCGTCAAAGAGCACTACCAGGAGGGACGTGTAATGGCCATGCAGGTGTTCGTGAACACCTCAGGTGGCTCTAGCACGGATGTGGTCGTCGAACGCTATCTCGTCTCCAGACCAGTCACATCTCCCTCCACACTGGGATCCCGCGCCACTCGCGGATATTGGGCTGTGCAAGCGAGCACTAAGCGGTTAGTCTTCCTCAAGGACACTTGGCGTCTTGATCTGGAATCCGAAGGCGACGTCATTGCTGGTCTGCATGCAGCGGGTGTGCGCAATGTGCCGCTGCTCGTGGCGCATGGGGACGTTTACCACAGGCTTCCGACGCCGGGCGAGGCACGTTCACGTACGTGCCCTCTGTTCTCGTCCGGACGCTTGCTGACAGTCCTTTTAGGCCTGCTCATTCAGTCTACCGAGACTGAAATGTACGACTCGGACTTCACGTCTTGGGCGAGTCGAGTGGCCGATAGGAAGATCTCCACATCTAACTATATCCACTATCGTCTCGTCCTCGCAACTGTAGGCTATGGGTTGAAGAGCTTCAGGGGCACGGACGAGCTTCTACACGCGACATATGATATCTTCCATGGTGAGTTATCTCTTTGTTGCTGCGTTGGCATTCGTCTAACCGCATCAGCCATGAGGGATGCTCTTGACAAGGACTCACGTCTCCACCGAGACTTGTCCGTCGGTAATATAATCCTGGTCAAGGAGACCGGAAGCACGACTCGCAAGGGCTACCTGATCGACTGGGAGGCGTCTTCGCGCATCGACAGCGAAGGCCACTCGCTGGACAAGAGTAGAATGGTGAGCATCCAGCCGTTCGCGCCATATGAGCTCACCCGCTGACGTCTTTGGGCCAGGGCACGTGGAGATTCATGTCCAGCGACGTCCAAGCGAAACCCGCCCACCCATACGGCTTCCCGGATGACATGGAGTCTCTCCTCTACGTCGTCTTCTACTGCGGCCTCATCCATCTTGGGCACAACCTCTCTCCGGGCACGTTGCGCATGATCGTGCACGAATTTTTCGACCGCTCCTTCTTCTTGGACGGCTACCTCTGCGGCGGCATAAATAAAGGCGTAAACCGCGTCAATCGCAGAATGAGCAGTCGCATCAAGTGGTCCAACCCCGACCTTCAGGCGTGGCTCGATGCGGTCATGGATCTGCACGGCCCTCAAGGCCCTGAAAACCGTGAAAAGTTTGGGCACCTATGGGCGGACCCTGAGAACCTAGACAAGCTCTGGCGGGAGTTTCTCGCTGATCATACGCTAGCGCATGATGACAGAGTCGACAACCAGCTCTCCACTCCCGAGCCGCCGTCGAACGAGGCCCCTCCGTCGAATAAGCCCTTCGTGCCCCTCAAGCCTCGAGCCTCGTCGACAAGTTCAAGTTCATCTTTCTCTTCCTCAGGCAGTACCTCTTCCCTAGAAGGCACGATTCGCGAGCCTAGCGCCGCACCGGTCCCAGCAATAGGCATCTCGTCCGTGAGCCCGCAGCATCGGGCCTCGTCTGCTGTGAAAAGGAAAGCCTACGGGGAACCGGCAGAGGACCCGCATGCGACAAAGCGTCAGCGGTCCTGCGAATGACTCTGCCACTCTGCGTCGAAGAAACGATTTCGCAACTCGGCGCAAAGGTGGCGAGGGAGCATTTTGTGAGTCTCGCGGTACTCTAATAGGAGTGGACAGGGTCGTATAAGAGCAGAAGCGAGAAGCGAGTCCGCGAGCATCCTGATAGCCGTACTGTACATGCACCCGATGCATATGCATAGACATAGTTTGACGGAATAGCACTTGTAGCAATTTTTAAGAATCGTTTGGACGATCCTCCTGTGTGTCCGCACTGTCACCCTGGGGGCCGGGCGGGATACTACTGTACCCAAAGATTTGTATAAGTAATAGGTGATCTACACGAGTCTACAGGGTATCTAGCGGGTGCATACAGTGCGTGCACGTCAGGGTATATTTGTTAGGTAGATGGCACGCAGAAAACAACAGACCCAAGAAGCAAGTAAGGAGAAAATATTGGGCAGAGCAGTGGGCGTGCTGATCCTCAGTTTCCAGCACTCGACCGTCTGCCAGAGCGGGTGCTCGCGCCCGCAGTACGGCGTGGTTTCGACACGGTTCCTGCCAACTTTGCACGCTCGATTGGCAAAGCCGCAGACGGGCCTGCCCGAACGCGTCGCTTGTCACCGCAGTGCGCGGTTTTAGGGCCAGAGGAGTCTACCCGCCGACGCTTGCCACCGTGTGCGGCATTAACACGCCCCGCCGGAGCCTCGTCCTCGACCGGCCTCTTACGCGGCGAGGGCGGCGGCCGCGGGGGCGGGTCGAACGTGACGAGCGAGCTTTCCCTATGAGTATACATGTCGGGCTCGGGCCACTCGTTCTCGACCCTGTCGTCGCGCGCAAGCGTATGCGTCGCCAGGAAGCCGCGCCAGAGCGTGTCCAAATTCTCAGCTGTCCACAGCCGCTCGGCCGCTTCGCCCCAAAGGCCCTTGGGGCCGTGCAGGTCCATGACATCGTCCAGCCATTTCTGCAGGTCCGAGTTGGTGAACTCGACGTTTTCGGTCAGGTGGCGCTCTATCCTGTTCACGGCCTTGCCGAATCCCCCACGCAGCTCGCCACGCAGGAATATAGAGTCGTCGTAGAGCTCGTGGATGATGGACTGCATGTCGTCAGGATCGAGGTTGTGCGGCAGGTAGAGGAGGCTGCAGTAGTGCACGACCCAGAGCAGCGACTCCATGTCGTCCCCGAACGTGTGGAGCTGCTCGGGCTTGCGTAGGACTTTGGCGGACATGAACTTCCAGGTGCCCTGCGTATGACCGTCAGGTGCGATTCACCGGCGGGCGACCGTGACACTCACTGCTCTGTTCTTGTCGAGAGAGTGACCCTTGGAATCAAATTTGGAGGACGTCTCCCAATCGATGAGGTAGCCCCTGCGCGTGTCGCGGCCGGGTTCCTTCACGAGGATGATGTTGCCGATGCTGATGTCTCTGTGGAGACGCGAAGCCTTGCTCGACACATCTCGCATCGCTGATATGGTCAGTGAGGAACGTGAGTATATAGTGGAGCAGAGGACGTACCCTGGAATACGTCGTACGTGGCATGCAGGAGCTCGTGTGTACCCTTGAATTGCCTCAAAGGGTAGCCGACCGTCCCGAGGACGAGTCGGTAGTGTATGCGTGTCGATACTGAGACCCGCCGGCCACGTATACGGCATACCCAAGGTTGCGTATAGTATCGATCTGTCTCCGTACGTTGAACTGGAAGCGATGCAGTTACTTAGTGAAGAAATTTACAGAGCTCAAACAGGGCAACATACCGGGGCGCACATCACCCTGGGACACAAATTGCGGGACGTTGCAAACGCCGACGGCGTTGAGTTCAGCAACGACGGTACCTTCCAGCTCCCTGTCCTGTCGCCATGTGTCCTTTAGGAAAACCAAACGCTCAGTATCTACATGTACGGCCCAATACCCACGGGTCGCAGACCCTGATAGATGCAAGGGAGACGTGACGGGCCTAGAAACCAGATACCGCTCGACAGTCGGTGTCGCGGAAGCCTCAACGGAAATTTGTATGACATGCACGCATCCCGGCTGGTGATGCTTGGCAATCGCTCCAGCGAGATCGTCACCTGCAATGTCCAGGTGATCCTGGACATACGTTGTGACGACGTCTCGAAACAACAGCTCCTCCTTCGGGCTAGCCATCGCCATTGACACATCGTGTCCGCGCTCATGGTCGGACGCAAGGGCGAAGCGAGCAAGAAAGTCGCAGAGCAGGCCTGGAAATACACGAATATCGAACGCTTCGGTGACGATGATCCCAGAGCGGTCCCACCGCAGCAGGCGAGCACAAGAACCAGCGACGGAGATCGAGAAGATGTGCACACGGTGCTGGCGGGCTTGTATTTCCAACGCATATGCGATGTGTTGCCCGAATGCCCTCTCGGCACGGTTTTGACGGTCTTCGTCCTCTCCCTGGAAACGTGCGAAGAAGTCATGAGAGTCACGTTTTTCATTGGTGGCGTCCGGGGCGGGGTCGACGAAGAAGTCCAGCGCAGCGTCTGACTTGACCTCGATGAAGAGCTCCGTATACCCTAGTTCGGCGCGAGAAGATGCAGGGACATCGTGCACATGTTCAAGGTTTCCCTTTGTGTAGCAGTAGATGTGTGGTTTCATGAAGCCGGGCGTGTGAGGTTCGGTGGCGTGTATTGACGCGTTCTCGAACACAAGGCCAGGAGCGCGACTCCTAAGCTTTGTAGACTTGTTCACCAGCGAGCTGGTATGGCATAAGACGCGTTTAGGAAGATAAATTATGGAATACACGCACCAGCGGTGTGTAGATGTCGACGGGCTTGGCGCCACTCGACGGCACATCGTTGAATGCACCCTTGCTGGACAAAACCTCCTTCTTGCCATCAGGAATCGGAGTCACGAAAGCGTCTATGAAGCCCTGTACTGGCATAGGTCCGACCGTGCACGTTTCTGCGTCTCGGAGAAGCCTTTGGTTACGAGGATACGCTCTAAGAGGTTCTAATCCGTTTGTGTGCGGGTCGTCATCGGTGTGAGCCATCGGAGCGTCGTAGACACAGCCAAGTGTGCTGGGCGATGAGTTTCTGTCCATGGTAGATAGATATACGAGGAGAGAGACACTTCCAGTCGAGGAGCTCCGACGCCACAAACCGCCCGTGCCGCGCGCGCGTCGCATCTGCCGCTTCTGCAAGAAGCGATGGGCGGTCGAGGACGAGTGCCACGTGCTCATTGAGTGCACCGGAGACGAGGTAGAGGCCCGACGAGCGTTGTTCTGGGAGGATGCCACCGCCCTCCTGCCCAAGCTCCCGGCAATTGCCCATTCCCTCTCCACCCCAGCAGTACTGGACATGCTGCTCACTCGGGAGAAGACAATCATTCCTCTCGCCGAGTTCGTCGCGGACGTCTTCGACCTATGCGACAACGTCCCGTGCTTCATTGTCCCCGACGATGACGCTCTTCTCGCGCTCGCCCTGTAACGCCGGCGCGAGGCGACCAGGCATAGGATCTGGCGAAGGCAAGCAATGTCTGGCAAGACGGTTAGTGATGTCAAGTCCCTTCTCGGGTCTGTTAGGGAACTAACCTTGGCGGCCACTCGTGACAGTCCCTACTTGGGTTTCACGCGGCCACGCTACCGTTTCGCCCGCTCCCTTCGGATCGCATGGAGGCGCTACAGGATGGATGAGCCCCCGTTCTGGTTGGGCGAGTGTAATGAGAGGCCGCTTCGTCTCACGGCGGTCTCTCCCCCTGCAGGTTTTTATGCCGCTTAATGGCTTTTCCTGCCCCGTACTCCTTTTTTTCCCCACCGGGGTTTTTTTTTTTTATCGCTACGTGGAGCAGGGTTTTTCGTCTGATCGGCACTTCGAGTGCCAGGAACGACTCATACTGTACGACTAGGGCTTCATTTCATACGATACGAAGGGGAGATGCCGGGACGCTGCGCTGCTGGGTACTTATCTACGTGCTGGCTCGTGATTTGTGCTGACTTTCTATTTTAGAATTACCTTACTCGGTATTTACATTAAAGTAGCTCGTCCGCGTGGATGCAAATCGAAACGTTCCTCCTCCTCCTCCAAGAGTAAGAGAACTGCGAGATCGAGGTTCAAACGTGCAAGGTCAAGCTCAAAAGTTTAATTATCGTCTAAACGGACCCCTACTACGGGCGCCTATCTGGCGGGAGTCGAGCGCTAAAAGCAACTTCATCCCCTGAGTCGCCTCCGCGAGGAGGTGTACCTCTCCCGTACTCCATCCTCATCAGTGCTCCTTGCTTGCTGAACTATGCCAGGGGATTTCACAGGATACAGTCTGGCATGCGTCTACGACTGTCCGCTGGCTCTCAACGATCACCACTCTGGAGTACGGGGACTGGAGCCTAGAGACGCATATGCACGCATCGAGCGGAATGTTCAGGCCTCTCTGGATTGTATCGTCGGGACTATGCCGGTGCAGCTATTTATCGACAACTTCCTTCCCGATGTTCCCCCGGACAGGAAGCAGGAGATTCTCTCCAGCAGGGATGCCTTCAGCGCGGTGCCATCGAGCGGCTCTACCCCTTCAGCTATATACGAACCCCTGGTGAGTAGTCTGTTATCGTTCATATAGCTCTGCATACTGATGCATGACCCTCAAGGTCTCTGCGTTGAAAAAGTCCACGAATAACAAGAGTCGTGCCCCCGGACTCGTCTTCGAGAACACGTCCATTCGTTCGGAGCAGCCACACGAACCAGGTTTCATGAAACCTCACATTTGCTGTTTTCGGTCGGAAAACTTAGAACGTGTACGCCACTTGTCGCCTTATTCGCGCGCTGATCTCGGCTATGCGGAGCTATTCATCGAAGTCAGGCCGGACATTGCTTTCGAGTTCTTCATCGACCCTCCCACTTCAAGCAAGCCCAAGGAGTGGAAGAAGCACGACGTTGTCGTCGATATCAAGGATGACCGAATGCGGGATCGCATTGAGAGGGCTTTTGGGCAACACATCGCGTACGCTACGGAAATTCAAGCACGCCAGCAGCGACTCTGCCTCTTCTCCATCTCCTTCTGTGGCTCTCACGCCCGCCTCTTCCGCTGGGACCGTTCCGGGATCATCGTCAGCCGCTCTTTCGATGTGCGCGAGCAGCCGGAACTGTTTTGCGAGTTTCTAGCTCGGTACGCTTGCGCCTCCCACACGGACCGCGGACACGACCAAACGGTGGAGATGGCGACTCAGGCAGAGGAAGCGATATTCCAGGACGTCGTCTCCCGCCATGTCGAGGACCAGTTGGGTCTTAAAGGCGACGACCTCGCCGAAGCCGTTTCAGAGCACTACCAGGAGGGGCATGTGATGGCCGTGCACGTCTTCGTGAACACTGGCACAGATATCGTCGTCGACCGCTACTTCGTCTCCAGGCCGGTCACGTCTCCAATGATGCTGGGCGGACGTGCCACTGGCGGCTATTGGGCCGCTCAAGCGAGTACTAGGCGACTGGTTTTCCTCAAGGACACTTGGCGTCTTCCTGGAGAACTCGAGGGCGACGTTATCGCCGGACTACATACGGCGGGTGTGCGCAACGTCCCACTCCTCGTGGCTCACGGCGATGTCTATCACAGGCTTCCAACGCCCGGCGAAGTGCGCTCGCGTAAGTCAGTTCTCTTCTCCTTTGCGCCGCTATTCATAATTACTCCGCAGGCGAGCTCATCCACTATTCCTGGACTGATGTGTACGACACGACATCTTGGGCGTCCCTAGTTGCCCGGAGGAGGATCTACGTGAATACTAATGTACACTACCGGCTGGTTCTCGGAACCGTAGGCTACGCATTGAAGAGCTTCATGGGCACCGACGAGCTTCTGCACGCGACATATGATGCATTTCAGGGTGAGCCGGCCCAAACTTTGTTGCGTCGGCACATATCTAACTCTATCAGCCATGAGGGACGCCCTTCAAAAGGACTCGCGGTTGCACAGAGACATATCCGTCGGGAACATCCTCCTCGTGAAAGAACGCGGCAGCGAAATGCGCAGAGGCTATCTAATCGACTGGGAAGCGTCCTCCCGCGTCGACGGTGATGGCCGCTCGCTTTGCGCGTACAGAATGGTGAGCGCCTCGTCTTGCGTTGCTGGCGACACCCCACTCACTGCGCCCGAACCGAAGGGCACATGGCGGTTCATGTCGGGCAAAATGCTGACGGAGCCCGAGAAAGGGCACTTCTTCCAGGACGATATGGAGTCCCTCCTGCACGTCGTCTTCCACTGCAGCCTCCTCCACCTCCGCCATAACCTCCGCCCCGACCAGCTGCGCCCGTTCATGCACGAGTTCTTCGACCGCACCTTCTTCATGGGCCGCCAGCTCTACGGTGGGGCGGCGAAACGGGTGAACAGCGCCACCCGTCTGTTCAGCAGCCGCGTCAAGTGGTCTGACCCCGATATCCAGACCTGGCTGGATGCGGTCATGGACTTGCAGGGCCCCACTAGCAATCCCCGCGAACTTGCGCACTTGTGGGCCGATCCCGGGCATCTGGAGACGTTCTGGCGGACCTTCCTTGCTCAGCGCACTTTGGCGCGCGACGACCGAATTGAGAACAAGCTCTCCCCACCCGATCCACCATTCAACTATGCTTCCGGCTCGGACGTCTCTTTCGTGGGCTCTTAGGGTCGTTCGCTGTGGACTAGCTGGGGAACGCTGCGGGCGAGCTGAGAGAGGCGGCTCACGCTGCGCGACGTTCGCTCCGCTCTTGGGCCAGTCCTGCTCCCCTGGGCCGAAGTGCCGCAAGAGCATCGATGCTACCGTAGCAACAATATTTGGTCAAACTACCACGCTAGGGACGGGCCATAAGTACAAGGTGGTAAGGATACTTTCGATTACGTCCTACAAGACGACTGCTTGAGTTGAGCAGGCACGACGAGCAGAGGGTGCGGCTTCCACTCGGACGGGGGCATGTTGCTCTAGATGTTGAACGGCGCTTGAGTCGTGTTCCTGGATTGTATGAATGCGATGTATGTGGTTCTGGTATTGTATTCTAGATTGTTTATTCGCATATTGTGACACGTAGTACCGTGTATACGCGCTGCACGCGTATGGTATGGGACGCAAGGCTTTCAGGCGGCTTATCCTTGTCGCTTCAAGAGCAAGTCTGGTACATGGTCTCTTTGCCCAAGTTTCGTGGACCGAACGACTTCTACTACTGTTACGAGCACCCACATCTAGCGAGAAACTCGCGCAGGTCGGGACAGGCTGGGGCTTTTACGTAGTCGCGGATGACCGTGGGCGAGATCATTAGGTTGAACCGGTACCACCGCTGCGCAGGGCATCGATGACATACGCGCGCCAGGAGTGGCAACGTCCGCGTCGCTCGGCACCCTCGTTACCAAGATATTGCAAGGCATCCTGTATTCATAGAAGGCGCAGTCGACACACGAATGCATTACACCGTTCGCGTTTTACAGCATATACAAGCGTAATCTACGAGATACTCACCTCGGCGCACGTTGGTTTCCTCGGAGGCACTGGAAGCCTCAACGAGTACTTATCTCGGGGGCCACGGAAAGGCCTGCGCCAGGGCCAGGTGCGTGCGCGAGGCCAAGCTCCTCCGCGTCGCGCGCGCCCGACCCGTACCCCGAGAATCTTGAGGCACGCAGTGGTTGTTGATTTTCTTGAAGCACGCATATAGAGACCCATATAGAGACCTGCGAAGACACAATCAGCACAACACAGCGAGAAGACGCGCGCGAGAGGAAGACGTACAGTGGGTGGAGCGATGTACGCTGGCGGCGCGAGGTCGCTCGGTGCGTATGCCGCGGTGTGCAGCGTCGTCCCGAAGCGACCCGCCCCGCACGTCGGGCCCGGTCGTAAGCCGCACTTGTGAGCAGCGCCGTATCAGACCGACGCACGGTGTCGTCGCTCCCGCGACGGGGCACATTGGCCCGGGGTACGGCAATCGAGAGGGCAGCGAGCGCACTCGCCGGAGGAACCTATTTAATGCGCGTGTCAGCGGTGGGTTCGTCGCGCGCAATGAGGGTAGAACACGTACATATGGTCCTGCTACAGCGTGAGCTCAAAACATTGCCCTAGTGACAGAATGTATCAGCATTCGTAGAAGAGGTAAGGAGAAGCGAGCGAGACTCACCTGCACGATGTCGACGTCCGCCGACACGAGCGCAGTTGGCTTCCCCGCCGCCGTGAGGCAGCGGGTACTAGTCCCAGGGGCCACGAAGAGGCCTGCGCTATCCCTGGGGTCCGTCCACCCTCAACGGGGCCGTTCCTATGCGGTGTCCTCATAACTGAGGGTGGACGGGTCGCCGTCCCTCACAGCGGGGCCGTTACAGTGCGGTGTCCTCATTACTGTGAGGGACGGTGCAGGAGCGGGGTCGCGGTGGACCCCGCTGGGTGTCGGTCTGTGGGGACCTGAGCCCGTCGCGCAATCTCCGGCTTCGGGCCCGGAGTCGGCGACATCGACGCGCGCCCTGCAGCACGCGCGTCGATTTTGAGAGAGAAGGGACTCACCTGTAGTCCGCGAGGATGTGCGGGCGCTGCGTGCCCGGTAGGTGTTCGGCAACACCCCTTGTGGGGTGGTGTCTCGCAGGGCGTCCGCCAGTGAAGACGTCCGCCCCTCACGCGGACCTCAGGTCGGGGCCGGACATGACGTGTGCGAGGAGGGTTGGGGCCCCACTGGGAAGGGGTGCCGACATAAAGTCAGACACCCCAGTCCCGAGCGGGAGGGTGGGTGGGGCCCCACTGGGTAGGGGTACTGACAATTCGTCGAGCGCCCCAGTCCCGAGCGGGATGGCTAGCACGGCGTGTTAGTGGTATACGCGTCCGTAGGGACAAAATGTACTCACTGTATATACAGTTGAGCACAGCTGCCCACGTCGCCAAAGTGGGACGTTCGCTGCCGACCGCGAGCGGCGGATGCGGCGCTGTGGAGGGGATGCTCGTTAGCAACCACGTACGTAGATCGCAGGGAAACACGATGACTTACCGAGTGCATGAAGCGTTCTGAAAAACGAGCGTGAAGGGTGATCAGTGACTACGCCACCGTCGCAGGATACCACCAGGCTTACCGTCCAAGCCCTCACGAGGGCGGCGCGCGCCTTGGAGACGACGCGCGCTGTCTATAGGCCTCGGAGGGACTTGAGCTGGCGGGTGTCGACCGTGAAAGCCTGGGGAGAGAGAGGAGGGGCGAGCAGGCCAGCTTATATAGCTTCAACGCGTGCCCTCCGGACCTCAGCGGGACGGAATCCGCGCCCACTCGCGTGGGGTTCCACAAAGGCTTCGCCCAATCCGGCTGCCTTTGTGCCGCGTGCTGGCATGTTCTCATGCTGGGTTTCAACGGGCGTATCGGTGGGGGCGCGTGCCGTGTCCCCGACCTTCCATGAGCGGTATGGGCGACCTGGAGCGGCGGGACGAACAAACGGGGCGGTGGCCACCTGCTGCGATGGGGCGCAGATAATCAGAAAACCGAGTATCATATGGTGGGCCTGTGGGTGCAGAGCGGCGGCGCGCGCGCAGAAGCATCGCCGTCGGAGTCACGGAGTCGCGTCGTGTCTTCTGGGGCGCGATACTGGCAATTGCCACCGAGTCCAGGTGGGCTGGCGGCCTGCAGCGCCGACTCGGCGACGCGCTCGCGCTCGAACTGCCACCATCTAACTTTAATCCATGATCTTGGATTGCAGCACGGCCTCCATCACACCTGCTCTCTCGAGACCCCATGCCATCTCCTGCCATGTCAAGTAGCACGGAGACTAGCATTTATATCGTCGCGTCGGTGCCAGGTAGTACACCATTGAGACGCGCTTCATGCTGTGCCAACCATTTTCGAATAAATGTACTTTCGACGGTTGATGTTAGGGTTGCATGCACTCACCATTGATGCAATTGCGAGCTATATATGGCCCATACCGGTGACTGCCAAAGCCAATCACCCCCGCCATGTGGGTTTCAATCTTCACTGGTAACATCTTCCAATCGAGAAGCACCAATGTGACGGGCAGGTCAAGCCCCCATTACTGCCCAAAGATTTGGTGAGCCATATAATGTACAGGACAGCTCACTGGTGGTGATGACACATTCATCCCATCCCCCCGACCAGCTTTTGGGACACACTAGCACTGTTGCCTCCATGTCATCTGAATCTGCCCTGAATCTGCTGCAGTACATGACTGGGTAAGTAACCTTACATTTCTTAATTATATGGATACACTGTTAAATCTGTTTGTACAGACAAGATGTTATCAAGGCTATTGTATCTGCAGGAGGTGACAAGTTTATCATTGTCTGCACTACATAGTACTAACACAGTACAATATTAATAAACAACATAGCCTTCCAGGTCTACAACCACATTGTCACATTCGACAGAGAGATTGCTCTATTCTGGCGATTCCCCTTCACTGCAGCATCAGCTCTCTACTTTGGCAATCAATACCTCTGCTCAACCAATGCGTTGTTCACTCTGCTTACAATAATGTTCCCACAGCTCAATGGGCAAAACATTGAGGTACTCATTGCTGATGGGCACTGTATAACAAATAAGTAATGCTCACTAATAATCTTGTTCACAGACGTACAGCTTCTTGTACATGGTTTATCACTTTTAATATGTCTGAACATTCTGCTTCACAGCTGTATTGTCATGTACTATGTTGGATGGGTGCTGGATTTAACACCCTTTGTCACTACTGCAGGTGAGAACAAACCAAGTACTGCTGATAACATCAATGTTAATACACTACAGTTTTTTCAAGCCTGCGCACCTATGCCTTAACCCAGAGAGTCCTCTGGGCAGTGCCTGTGATGATCCTATCACTGGCACCATTTATTGTGAATTGGGTAAGTTTTTCAATATATGTATGTTATGAGAGACACATACTCAGATTCATCAAGATTGGGCACAGCACAAATGTATCAGCAGATGGGTTTGATTCTTCACAAGTATGCATTATAAAAAATACCCCCTCACCTGCAGAAGGCAGTGTGTAAGTTTGCTATCCTTGTACATGTGTTTGAAATGTACTAATTGCTCTGCAGCTGTAGGTTCTTTGTTACATCAGGAAATTTTTGGTCAGCATATTCACAATTAAACACAGTGGTATATGCATCACGACTACCACTGATCCTTGCTGATCTTATTGTCCTCATTGTGACCTGGATCAAGACATATGAACACAGCAAGACAGCACAAGGCCTTAACATCATCTCCCTCTCATGTGTTTTGTTTAAAAATGGTAAGTCAGAATACCCGCTGTCAGTGATATTATGCACACATTTCCCCATCATTGATATAACCCCATTTTCAGGAAACATATATGCAATGTGTGTACATTTGACTATTTGTTTATGTTGATCTAGGCCAGTATCACATTGCTTACATGTTTCACAGATCATCCCTAATGCTCAACACGATTCATCTTCTCGTTTCAAAGCTCAGTGTGTGTGCCTCAGAAATAGCCCGCTGCCTGGAGGTTATACTGAATTTGTACCTCTTCCACCAGTTGCCTGGTGATCAAGTAGCTACTAGCTATTCTAGCTGGTTTAGCAGGTTGATTGAGCCGTAAGTGCGCTGTCCATGGTCTATTTACTGGCATACAGGTGCATATTATATACATACTCAACTATAACACAGGCTGTCTGGAGTGCTCGTCTCCCGCTTTCTCATGGACCTTCAAGAGGCATCCAAGGCTTATATCAATCAACACTCCAACTGGACAACTAGCTTGAACTCAATCAACTTTGAGAGGGTCATGGGATCACTCACTGCTATGCAGTCTACTCATAGTGTTGAGGAGGCGGAGGTGGTGGAGACAGCAGGAGCTAGCACTGAGGGAGATGGGACCACCACTGAGGAACATGGTGCTGGAGACATCAGAGAGGCATGTGTATGAATGAGATCCAGGATGTATGTACTTGTTATTTTCAGCAATCAGGTTTGCAAAGTGCAGAGCATGATGTAGAGGTTATGATATGTAGGCTATGGATGGCATACCAATGAGCAACACCTCGTGGGATCATTATGATTTCCCAAATCCTAGCCATTTCTGATGCTCTGCTAACTCGCTTTATCAAGGTGTGTACGTGCACATCAGACCCACATCTAGTCCTTATCCCGCTAGAGCTAGACTGTCAGGAATTCTCCCGGTAGTCAAGAGGTATCCTGTGATCTTGCAAGAGACAGTTGTTGCGCTCTCCGCAGGACGCGTTTAGCATCCAACAGTGGCAGGGTGTTGTGGATACAGTCCGGGCGTTGCTTCTTTTCTCTTGTGGTGGAGGGCTGTTGATGTGTCTAGACGTGCGTCGACGGCCGATAGCCGAGGGGGAGAGGACGTCTGAGAAAGGGGTGATGAGGGAGAGTAAGGGCTTGAGTTCCCTAGGATGGGTGGCCACGACCGTGTGTGCTGCGATACCGCCGACTCTGCTACACCGCGGACCAATATATCTCGTCGCACTCGTAGGCGTAGCCACAGACACGGGCGCGGGCACAACCGCCGACACAGATGCGGGCACAACCGCCGACACGGACGCGGGCACAACTGCAGACACAGACGCGGACGCAGTCAAGAGCGCAGGCGCAAACGCAGACGCAGGCCGGACGCGGACGCAACGCAGACGCAGTCGACAATCCTTTACGCTTGGTCGAGAGCGGAGCGTAACTCACCAATAAGCCGAACACGACAAGACGTCCACAGACGTTGACAAGCGGGGCCGAAGTTTAGAGGGAAGGGAGTGGGAGTTTTCTGGGGAGTCTCCTGGACCCGTTGACTATGTACAGTGTCCTATCTACGCAACGGTACTCAGGGCCGACCTACTGGGCCTGCGCGACGTCGCGATCGAGGCACACCTTGAGCAGCGCGCTGTGGGTACGATCGCGCTGTCGCGCTCCGCGCCACTATCTCTCTTTGTCGCGGAGCTAGACTCGACGCGACCAGGCAACGCCTACAACAAAGAAACTAATACGATCTAACCCAAGGGCGGCGAGCTCGAAGACTTGCTAACGCCGAGCGTAGACTTTCAAGTCAAATCTAGCCCAAGGACCAAGTTAATATTATGCTGACTAAGAGAATACAAAGGACGGCTTACCTAGCCCAAGGACCAAGAGGTCAAGATGAGGGCTAGGGTCGCTACAGGTGGGGTTTATATACTGAGTCAGGGGAGCCAAACATGTACAAACGTAAAGGTGGTCTGTGCGCACGTTAGTGCCAGTCTGCAGGTGGGGGTCAGGTGACTGGTCACATGCTTCTAACTACTGGTTCTAAGTCTAAGTGTCGTACAAATGGCCGTAGAAAATAAGGAAAAATGCGGAAAAATATAGGGGTCTCGTCGTCTCCACGACATTACCCCCCTCTATTGTCCATCG